GAAAGCGTCCCGGTTCAGCCCCCAGGGGCTCTGACACCTGGCCACCCTCTCACGGTGGTCAGGCAATGTCTAGCCCCCTCAGCCGACGAGATGCAGCCATGTACCGGTCTCCCATTCAGATGAAAATAGTCCTCTCCAGAGTCAGGGGGATTCAGAATAGTAATAATAATAGGGCATAGCGCCAATGGGTCCCACAGGCTGACAGTTGGTCCAGGTGGGCCCAGTTCTAAAAGGGAACGCTGGAGGAGAAAGAAATGGGGCAGAAATGGGGCGGCTTTCTCAAGCCCCCCCGCCCCCCGCACAACCACAAATTGAGGCCTCCCGAGGCCCAGAAAATCGCTCCGGGTCCTTTCCGCCCAACCGTGGTTGCAGGTCTCCCAGACCTGTTGGTTTGTTGCCCCCCCAGCTCCTACTCCAAAAAGGGGGGGGGTCCCCAGCGCCGTCTGACCGCCAGCTAGCCTCCACAGCAACCGCCATCGCCGCCACCACCGCGCCATCGTTGCCAGCCCCCAAAGAGCCTGGCGACGTCCCAGAGGTCTTCAGGGGGTGCCCGACACATCGTGTAGCGCTTCGGGCCACCCCCCCCGGGCTTCGAGACTTGCCGCGCGGCGGGCGCCCCCCGGCACAACGCCGCTCCCTCTAATTGATGGCTCCGGCTGTGAAAAAAACGCTGCTGACGCTGCCGACGCCCAGCTGATCAGCCTGGCGCTCCACGCATCGCCCCTTCCCCTCGGCTCAGTCACGGAGGGAAAGAAAACCCTCTCCGTGCTGGCCGGGAGCTCCCCTGACAGGTCCTGGGGTCGAGGATCTTCAAAACGACCCCCAAAGGACCCAAAGGGTAGGTCGGCGCCCCATCCTCAGATCGCCATCCCAGCGGGCGCCGCCATCTTGGACATGCGCAAATTTAGAATTCTTTATTGGTCAAGTGTGATTGGACACACAAGGAATTTGTCTTTTGTGCATATGCTCTCAGTGTACATAAAAAGAAAAAAAAGAATAAAAATACGTTCACCAAGAATCATAAGATACAACATTTAGTAATAGTCATAGCTTACTAATAAGCAATCAAATAATACTAGGAAACAAAAAGAACAATATAAATTGTAAAAATGCAAGCAACATGGTTTTAGTCATAAGTGGGAAGAGATAGGTAATAGGAAGGATGAGAATAATAATAATAATACAGTCTTAGTAAATAGTTAACATTGTGGGAATTAATTATTTAGCAGAGTGATGGCGTTCAGGAAAAAACTGTCCTTGTGTCTAGTTGTTCTGGTGTGCAGTGCCCTATACTGTCATTTTGAGGGTAGAAGTTGAAACAATTTATGTCCAGGATGTGAGGGGTCTGTAGATATTTTCATAGCTCTCTTTTTGACTCGTGCAGTATACAGGTCCTCAATGGAAGGCAGGTTGGTCGCAATTGTTTTTTCTGCAGTTCTAATGATCCTCTGAAGTCTGTGTCTGTCTTGTTTGGTTGCAAAGCCAAACCAGACAGTTATAGAGGTGCAGATGACAGACTCAATAATTCCTCTGTAGAACTGAATAGAATAGAATAGGAATAGGAATAGGAATAGGAATAGGAATAGGAATAGAAATAGAAATAGAAATAGAAATAGAAATAGAAATAGAAATAGAAATAGAATAGAATAGAATAGAATAGAATAGAATAGAATAGAATAGAATAGAATAGAATAGAATAGAATTTTTAACAGCTTTAATTTTTCTGAGCATTGCATGGTCTTGACCTTGGGTGAATTTGCTGGGATACCCACTCCTGGGAAAATTGACAGCTGGTATAGGATTGGACTAGGAGACCTCCAAGGTCCCTGTCAATTCTGTTATTCTATTTTATCTAGATGTTTTTTATTTTGATTGTTTTGTGCAGACTAAATGGAAGGATTATGTTGCTTTGTTTATTTGTTGAACTTTAGTATGTACCATCTGCATGAATTTTCAGACACTATTATTTTAGCTTGTTTGTGGAGTGTTGCTGGCAGATAACCAATACAAAATTGTACACTGTGCATTCATGCATTAGTAAGAGAAAAGACTGCAAGCTGATAACCAGAAAAATGTATTCTTTACTATTGTTGCTGTTCATAAACTGTGCTGAATCTTTCCTGGGCTAGAGCAGTTTTTTATAGAAGTAACCTGAAAAGATACATTTCTGTTGTTGATAAGCTGCTACCTGGCTATAGCAAGAAAATATTTTTTCTTTTATGTGCATTCTCCTATATTACTTATTTTATAATACAGAAACTACATGAGTTTTGACAAAATTTATAGCGATGAAGTTGTAGGGTATTGTCAGAGCTACAAGGTAGAGCTAAAATTTACACCTTGTTTTCAGAGCGGAGCTCATCCATATGAAATCTGAATAATCATCACATTTTAAATTGTAGGGGATTGCAGGGACTTATTTATAATGTGGTGCTGTTCTCCAGCAAACAGTTTTATGCTGTTGCATTATGCATAACCGAACATGTAAAAATTTGCTTTGAATTATTGTAATAGTGGGGTAGCTTTTCACATTTCTTTAATAACTTGAGAATAATAACATAGCATGATAATATCACTAGCCCTAGAACATAGACTTATATACTGCTCCACAGTGCTTTATAGCGCTCTTTGAACAGTTTACAAATGTCACCATATTGTCTCCAACCATCTGCTGTCAGCATTCCAGAAAAACCTCATCTCCAAATAAAGTTGCGGAAGCAAACATTTTCCAAAGTTCTCTTTACTAGAATAAGCAAACTGGCACATCTGAGAAAACCCGAATCTGAAAAGCCCGGATTTTCCTTCAGTAAGTCAAAGCTCCCCAAACCATCCCCCATTCCCCCCAGTCGGTTGCATGCTCCAATCAACGTTCGCTCCATCTCGATCCAGCCCCCTGACCACTCCTTCTCCAGATGCTGGATTGCCCTGACCTTGACCGACAGGAAGAATGCTATTATGTCTACTAACAACCCCTCTCCTTAATCCCCCCTCCTACTTTCCCACACACGAGAAGGTGGCAGCATTGGAGCTTCCGGCCTAATATGGCTTCCAAGGCTGACATCTGGATCCTCATTTTACTGACCTCAGAAGGATGGAAGGCTCAGTTAACCTTCAGTTGGTTAGGATCAAACTCCTGGCTGTGGGCAGAGTTAGCCTGCAATACTGCATTCCAACCACCGTGTCACCATGACTCGTTGAAATACTTGTTACAATTTGTTCTATTCCATCATGATTTCTTTTGGAAATTATCTGTGCGAAGAAACTGAACTACCAATCATAGGTGGTTTTTTTTTTGAACTAACAATCATAGAAGGTTGTTGAGAGTGTGGTAGCGCGACAGTTTCCTCAGTACTTGGATGAATCGGCTTATCTAGATCCGTTCCAGTTGGGCTTCAGGCCTGGATACAGCACGGAAACGGCATTGGTCGCATTGGTAGATGATCTCTGGAGGGCCCGGGACAGGGGTTGCTCCTCTATCCTGGTCCTATTAGACCTCTCAGCGGCTTTTGATACCATCGACCATGGTATCATGCTGCACCGGTTGGAAGAGCTAGGGGTGGAGGGCACCGTGTTGTGGTGGTTCTCCTTTCTCTCTGATCGGTCGCAGTCCATGTTGACAGGGGGGCAGAGGTCGACCCCGAGGCCCCTTGTATGTGGGGTGCCACAGGGATCGGTTCTCTCGCCCCTTCTGTTCAACATTTATGTAAAGCCGCTGGGTGAGATCATCCGTGGTTTTGGGGTGAAGTATCATCAGTATGCTGATGATACTCAGCTATACATCTCCACCCCGGACCACCCCAATGATGCCCTTGAAGTGATGTCCCGGTGCCTGGAGGCTGTACGGATCTGGATGGGGAGGAACAGACTCAGGCTCAACCCATCCAAGACCGAGTGGCTGTGGTTTCCAACGTCCCGATATAGTCAGTTGGTGCCATCACTGACTATTGGGGACAAGTCATTGCCCCCCACGGAGAGGGTTCGCAATTTAGGCGTCCTCTTGGACTCACGGCTGTCTTTAGAAGAGCACTTGACGGCTGTGGCCGGGAGGTCTTTTTATCAGGTTCGCCTGATTCGCCAGTTGCGTCCCTTTCTGAATCGGGACTCGTTAAATACGGTCACTCATGCCCTCGTCACTTCACGCCTGGACTACTGTAATGCTCTCTACATGGGGCTCCCCTTGAGGAGCACCCGGAGGCTCCAGCTGGTCCAGAATGCGGCCGCGCGGGTAGTTATGGGAGCAGCATGGTGCTCCCATGTGGCTCCCCTCCTGCGTGAGCTGCACTGGCTCCCGGTGGTTTTCCGTGTGCGCTTCAAGGTCTTGGTTATCACCTTTAGAGCGCTCCATGGCTTAGGACTGGGGTACTTACGAGACCGCCTTCTGCCACCAATAGCCTCTCACCGCCCAGTACGCTCCCATAGAGAGGGGCTGCTCAGGGTGCCGTCAGCCAAACACTGTCGACTGGCGGCCCCCAGGGGGAGAGCCTTTTCTGTGAGGGCACCCACCATCTGGAACGAGTTCCCCCCCAGAGATACAGAAGATCCTGGATCTGCGCACTTTCCGCCGTGCCCTCAAAACATTCCTGTTTCAGCAGGCCGGCCTGGCCTAACTTTCCCTTTATATTTCTTTTGATTTTGTTTTAAACTGGGATGTCTTGAATTATCTAGGACCAGAGTGTTTAGTATATTTTAATTGGTTTTTTAACGTTTGTATTACATGTATTTTTATCTTTCGCTGTTCACCGCCCTGAGTCCCTCGGGAATAGGGTGGTATATAAATTAAATTAATTAATTAATTAAATAAATAAATAAATAAATAAATAAATAAATAAATAAATAATAAATAGTTTTAAGACCAATTCCACAGCTAAGAAAATTAATTGTACAGTATTATTGGCTTTCTATGCCCAGGAAAGTTTCTATAATTTAAGAAATAGCATCCAGTGTCACAAACATATATATACAGTACATGAATGTTAATTAGTTATTATTTTTATTCTTAGATAAAAGTACTTACAGATTTGGGATTTTTCTCTGATGCCTTTCATGAACTCTGTATTATTAATCGTGGTGATAAAATTCCTTGGAAATTGCCTTCTGTATACAAACGTACTTCAAAAGTTTGGGTAAAGACATTTATTTTCTTTCCTTAGCCTAAAATCCAGAAAATAGACTCCCTTGCATTTAATTGCTGGGATAGTTTGCCTCTGAAGGGTTTAGAGCACTTGGCTTATTTTTTATCTTTTTCATTTTTAATGAAATAAAAGATTGTTTTCTTCTTTTTCTGAGATCAAAAGCAACCTACTATCTACCATACAAATAATCATTTGAAAATTTAAAGCCCCCCACATAGCAAAAAGAAACAATATAGGTATAGAAGGGTATATTTATTTATTTCATGAATTTGAACTGAATTTAAAGCTATTTTTGTCAGTGTTTTTACTTCAATTTTCCATTTTTCTTACTGTATAATTATATAGTAATTATATTATATTATTATTCTTAGGTCTGTCCAACTTTTGATTCATCACACACCCTCTTGACAAGTGGAAATGTACAGGTAAGAAAGTGTTATAGGTTCAGTGTGAGAAGAGACAGAAAAAAGAAAAGCCGAGACAATAGTCAGACAGATATATTTCAGCCCATGAAAGGAATGGGAGGTAGAAAGAGTCTTAGAAGGACTCTTCCTAGTTCTTGGGAAAGTAAAGGCAAAGGAAGGAAGAAGTGCTTTCAGACTTGCAGGTTTTTGTTACTCTAACCTTACAATAAAGGTAATGTTAGTGCTCATGGTTTTGATTTCTTGTCTGAACTATTTTGAAAAGCTGACATGCCTAATTTACACGTTCTAAGAGGAGACTCTTAGTCTGAGTATGTGATATAAATACTAACCAGTTTGGAAGTAGATTTCCTCAAAATATAAGGTCAGCTGTAATTTACATCTAAACATCTAAATCTACTTCTTCCCCCATAGAATCTAGTCCTTCTCACAACTGAAGACCTTCCTCAAAACAGAAATGATATTTTCTGTAGTGCTGCAGATTGATATCAGTAAGAAAGAGCTTAATACTGAGAGTGACATTGTCCTTGCCTTGTCCAGATAGGCTTATTGTTTCTGCAGAGAACTCATACTAATTCTGTCATATGTGTTTCTTTACATGCTACCAGCAACTTGTAACTCAAAATCTCTATGTAAATTGTAAAATAAGAAACGTTGCATTATTGCAGATGTATTTGAGATAACCCATGCATTATTTTACATGAATAATCTGCTATTTCACAAGAGATATCTCACATGTTACTGCTTTGTGCTATAATGCAATTTGTTGCAGTTAAATATGTTCAGTATAATTTCAGTTGAGAAATTTTAACTCTTTTTTAACAACTGCCTGTATATAATTAAAATATCTAGAAATTTAATACATCATAAATTGTATCTACTGTTGATAGGCATATGTAAAATTGTTAAATAGTAATTTGGAACTATTTGAACAACCACACATAAAATGTATTTATAAATCTTTTGTATAATCCAAGTGAGAAGTATAAATTGGACTCCCACAAGGCTACATGTGCCTAGGGCTATTACAATTTGTATAAATTACCTAGACTATGGAATGGTTTACTCGTCAAATTGCAGATCATATCAGCTAGGAAAATGGAGTAATACTGAAGAGACAAAAGTTACAATTCAAAATTACCTTGTCAGACTTGAATCCAACAGGAAAATGTCCAACTGTGTTAGATCTCGCATCTGGGTAAGAGAAATCAAGTGCATTGCTATAGGATAGGGTAGCTTGGTGGCAATGAGTGTTAGAAAGATTTAGGATTATTCCGATATGAAGTTGGAACAGGCTGGAAAAGAGCTTTCAAATCATTAATTCCCTTCTTCATTCTATCTCACTCACTCACTCATCATATTTGTATTGCCACTCATCTCATAAGGCAAGATTTTAGGCAGCGTAAAATAAAAAACAAGCCATAAAGTAAGTAATATTAAAAACATTTTACAATTTTTGTTAAAAAATCATCAGTATTTACTATTAACGAATAGTTGAGAGCATTTGATGTTAAAGACAATGCAGCAACCTCACTAGTCCTTCATACCTTTAAGATTCCCAAGCCTATTGACATAATCATATTTTGAGACAGTTTTGGAAGAATGACAGGGGTGGTGCCAGTCTTAGTTTGGGCAGCTGCTGTGCCAGAAAAGATTCCCAGGTCTCCCCAGATGTAGCTCCTTTGCAGATGACCTCTGCGATGTATTTCTTCTGCCGGGCCTGATGGAACAAGTAGATGTATTTAGGCAGAGACAGTTACTCAACTTGGCTCCCTGGTGTAAAGAGCTTTAAAAGTTAAAACCAGCATCCTAATTTAGACCCAGAAGTAAACTGACAACAAATGCAGCTCATGGAGCAGAGGTTTAACAGACATGCTAGACTTGAGCATATTAGCTTTCATAACAGAAGATTTAATAATGGCCATAAATATCTTTTAAAAAAGAAGATGGACTGTTCTTCGTTGAAACTGAAAGCAGGACAAAGATCAATATACTGAAATTTGAAAAGAAGGAATATTTAGACAGAATTTCTTGGCAATAAAAGCTTTTAAAAGCTTCATTTTAACAATGAAATCTCATTGTTAGAGGTTTTAAAATGGGCTGCAAGGCCACCTAGCAGATGTGCTTAGTGAATTCCTTCACTAAAAAGGATTGGGGCAGATGGCCTATAAGATTCCTTGCAATTCATAATCTTAACATTATTTTAAGTTGGTACTGATACAAATGGTTACATTTGTGATTCTTCAGCCTAAATGAGTTTAGTTGAATTCATATAAGGTCATGTTTTAAATGGAGGAAGTAGATATGTAAGGAACATGGAAATTGCACTAAATGTTTCATTCCATATGTCTTTGCTAGATTTTAATTTGGCCTCAAAGAAAGGTATTTTCTTTTATTTAAAAATAAATATTATTTGCATATTTTTTAAAAGAAAATTATTTGTCTTAAAATATTTTTTTTAATTTACAAGGTATTGGAAGAAGTATTTAACAAGCCTATACATTCAACATGGACTGTAGCATGTGAACCAAAAATCATGGATAATTTTATGTTAGCTAAAATGCATTTTATTATTAGTATATCTGCAACATTATATTGTGTTCCTGAAAAAGTAATGAGGACAGCATATTGTACTGACTCTGACACATTAAAAAAGTCAGGAAGAATTTCTGATGCACTCATGAAAGGTATTGATAAGTAAACTAAAAGTTTTATTTTAACTGTATGGTATATGAAGCTTAAAATATTTTGAAAAAGGTTATGCTTGCTTAACATGTCCCAAAAAGTGCTTCCCCACCCCAAATACCAACTGGACCATTTTTTTTTTTTTTTTTTAAGATGTTTCACTTTTCATCTAAGAAGCTTTTCAGTTCTAACTAATTGGTGGGGAATAGAAAGGATTTATACTCTTTGCAGTCAGCCAGTCATTAACATCTGAGGGCCCTTGAGACCTCCTGGGGGTTAATCTGTGTCCTCAGGGTCATCTGAATCAGAGTGCAAATGAGTCTTGGGACTGCTGAAAGGGCTGCAAACAGGAGCTTGTAAACAGGAGCTAAGTAATGTCCTATTTCTCCCCCTCTATTGAGAGAGGGGCTGTTCAATTTTGGAGAAATAAAACAACCACTACATGAATGCATGGCACAACACAGGAGAACCAATGCATCAGGACAGGATTAAACCATTCTTCTGCACTTGAAAGAAAAGGGCCACTCCAGGGTCACATTCTGGATAGGGAGGACCACTGGTTTGAAAAAAGAGTTAGGGAAACTATCTATGCTAAAATTGATAATTGTCTCTCAACAGAGGAGTAGGGATAGGATACCCCTACTTAGCTCCTGTTTACAGTGCAAGAGGATTCCATCCTCACCTTCCCTGACCTGCATCCCATCTCTTACATACCCTCACCCATGGTGCCTCTCACACACTCCCTTGCATCCTTACACATGTGTTGAATCCTTGACATTATACATTAACACTCAAGAATAGTAAATATACTTGAATGTAGCAGAGAAATTTTCGCTATTTTAAGAGTTACATGGTTTTGAGTGTTTTCATTGGAATTGATCGTGTATGTTATTTTTATAAAGGTTATGTATTACCTCCAGCATTTACAAGTGGAAAACGAGAATCTGTCATGATTGTAGAACTTGAAAGGAACAGAGACACATTAAATGCTTCTATACTGAAGGTAATTATGAACATCCACAGTCAACATTAATAAAATATTTTTTGTATTTTTGGAAAGCAATTTATTTTATATAAACTAAATGATTTCCATACAAGGAAGTACACTTTTGTATTTTTGTGTTGAAGTCCAGGAATTTGAGCACAGGGTTCTATGAAGAGGATATGAGTAAGAATACAAGGAATAAGAAACAACAAAGATATTGTTGTGAAGTATGATACAAGTGCTGACCGAGGCTGAAGATTGGAATAAATGTCATCCTAGATCAGATTATTGATTCTTCAGGGAGGACAGACATTGAAATAATGGGAAATTTCAACTACCTATTCAATCAGATTATTGACTCTTCAGGGAGGACAGACATTGAAATAATGGGAGATTTCAACTACCTATTGAAAAATCAACTTGACCAAGACTGTAAAATCCCCAAATTTCTCTCAATTGTCTTGTTGATTATTTCATTTTCCAGAAGACTGAAGGAGGATTGGCCTTCTTAGATCTGATACTAAAAGAGAGATGGCTGAAGAGTTAAAAACAGTGATAATTCTGTGAGGAAGTGACCATGTCATCTTGAGTTTCAAGCTAATTCAGATACAGAAATTGAAATATCATTATACATGTACATTAGACTTCAGAAAAAAATCCAGCAAGCTTAGAGAAATACTAGATAAGATCCCATGAGCAAAAATTATAGGGTCAAAGGGAACATAGGAAGATTGGAAATTCCTGAAAAGTACGGTGATGGAAGGAAATTTGCATGATTAAAAATAGGGATAAGAAATTTTAAAAAACTAAGGAGCTTTCAACTGAGTTAAGAATTAAAAGAGACATGTATAGAAAATGGAGGAAGAATCCCTATGGAGGTTTGTTGCATCTTGAAAATAATCAAAAGGTCTGAGTAACTACAGTTAGGCCAATCTGATGTTAATACAAGGCAAAACTTTGAATATGATTACTGAACAGTTGATTTTTAGCATTTAAAGACTATTGTACTTGGCAGGAGCCAGCAAGGTTCTATCAAGAATAAATCCTACTAAACCATCCTGGTCTTTTTATTTTTTCCAATCTAATAGAAAATTGGAGAAAAATATACAACAGCAGCTATCTGCCAGTCTGTAAGCAGAGTAATTTAAAAACTGAACAGACCTGAAACAAACAGTATGGTTGAATAAGATGGCAAAAGAAAAGACAGATTTGAAAATGGGTTATTGCTGCCCAGGATCTGCAGAGATTAAAAAAACAACAACACACATTTTCCTAATGCACGGGTGTCAAATTCGCTGCCTCATGTTGCTGTCAATTGACATTTTGTGATGTTCCCATTTGCAGAGCTGGGGTGGGCATGACGCATCTGGTCGATGGACCGCCAGTTTGACACCCCTGCCCTAATGTATCCCTTTGGGAGGGATAATTAAGCAGTAATTCCAAATGTTGATGGCTTCTTCATTCTAAGACAGCCTTGTTCCTTCTCAGTCATATGACCTAGAGCAGAACTATTCTTAAGAGGTTAGAAAGAGTTTTGGAAATATGCTCTGCATGCTTTCCCTACCTTGTTTGATAGAGTGACCATTTTAGTTTGACCATGGTAATGTGCGGAATATAATATAATTGATTTCCAAACATCATTCAACAAGGATGAGGGAAATGGGCAGTTTAAAAATATGAAACATAAATAAAAATCTATCCTTAGATTTTAATGCAGAATGTACCGAAATATGTGTGGAGTTACAGAAATGATAACCCTTGGGTCACAATGAGCCAGAATAATTGAATGTCTAAACAACATTTGAAAAAATCAAAGACATGAGTATAGAATAGGGAAGCTGAGATGATAAACAAATTGATGCATAATACTTTCTGGTGGAAATGACCAATTATTCATTCTTTTTGGCAGGCAAATATCCAAGAAGATTTAACAGTGAAACCTACTTTTGTTTTATTATTCATTTTCCTAAAGTCTTACTGATACAGCACAATAAACAGATTCAATTTTCACAAAATTCTTAAAAGATAAATATTGGATCAGTTTTACTGAAAAGAATTGAAAAGTTGCGTTGAAATGTGTATCTAGCTACACATACATTGGAGGGAGGGTTTCTTTTTTCTTTTTAATTATTGTAATATATATATATATATATATATATATATATCCATCCCTGTTAGCCACTTATAGTTGCATATTCAATATGGCATAGAATCATTTGTTTTGTATGTATGTATTATTTGAAGAACTAGCTGTGAAACTAATAATATTTGTGGATATTAATAACACTGAATGCTTCAATATTCACAAATACAATGTCAACAAATATCACATTCATTAATATAAGGAATTTAAATGCAAACATTTTCAATCTATAATATTTAAACCTGCTTAATTCATCTAATTATCTTGTTCCTTAATAGTGTTTGCTCATATTTAAATAATTTTTAGTTTTTTATTTTTATTAATTGATCAGTGATATAGTTTTAATTATTTTAGGGAATTTTATTGGCAGAAGCTGAAGAAAGGATTAATTTAATTCTTGAAACCATACAAAGTAAATATGGGGCACAGATATATAAGTGTTCAGCTGTAGAACTGGAAATTGTCATTGAAGCTAAACTTCAACTTGCAGCTATTGCTCAACAGAGACTCCAAACAGCTTTCAGGTGATTTTTTTTTTTAAAAAAAACTTGATGAATCCATTTTTCTACTGGAATAAAACTAACATTTGCTGAAAGTAGTGCTTCATGGATGATTGTCTTAACTGATACTTTTTTCACTTCATTTAAAACATTGGAAAATTAGAAAAGCAGTTATTCATTGATAATTGAATTAACATTTGGTGACTGTGGCAGGAAACACATTTTCCTGAGCTGTTTGGAAGGGCAACAGCTATTCATACCTTGATTGTTGTAATAAGCAGTATGTAGGGCTATCATATGTATATATTGAATTTTAAATTCCTAACAACTTCAATCTGAATCTCTAGTGTGTTTCTTTTTCTTTTTTTTTTATTGCAAAAGTTTTACAATTACATTTTCCCCCCTTTCCCCCCCCCCCCACCACCCACCCCAAACTTCCCAACCTCCCTAACCCTCCCTAACCCTCCCCTCCCCCCAGACTTCCCTATATTATACTCATATCTGGTAAAAAAAGATTAAAAAAAAGAAAAAAAAAACCTTAATATAAAACTTGTGTAAAAACTTGAACCCCTCCCTCCCCTTTATAATTTTTCTTTTTACCCTCGTTCCATTAAAATATTTCTAATACATTATTTTCAAATAAAAGCTATTTGATACTTTCTAGTTTGATATTTGTTCTGAACATATTCTATCCACCTTTTCCATTCCCATTCATAAGTCTCTTGTGAACAATCTTTTAAGTATGCTGAAATCTTCGCCATCTCTGCAAAACTGGCCATCTTCAAAGTCCATTCCTCAATAGTGGGCAAAGCTTCATTTTTCCAATATTTACCTATCAACAATCTTGCTGCTGTTATCATATACAATATCAGTTTTGTTTCACCCGATGTAAAACCCTTAACTATACCCAATAAAAACAATTGTGGAGAGAATTGAATTTTTTTCTTCAAAACATTCTGCATGACCCACCAAATTTTTATCCAAAAAGCCTTAACTTTCCTACAGGTCCACCAAACATGATAATACGTAGCATCCAAACATTCACATCTCCAACATTTTGGCTGAACATTAGGGTACATACATGACAACTTTTTGGGATCTAAATGCCATCTATAAAACATTTTATAGAAATTTTCCCTCAGGTTCTGCGACTGTGTAAATTTAACATTCTGAACCCAAATTTTTTCCCATGTTTCCAATATCACTGGTTCTTCAAAATTTTGTGTCTGCACTTAATCATACAATCTTTAACTAATTCAGTTTCTGAATCCCTTTCTAACAAAACATTATAAAGCCTTTTGATATGCATTGGACCTTTCTCTTTTATATGTCTAACCAATTCTTCCTCATGCAACATAATACCAGTTTTTTTGGTCCTCTTTCCATCTCAATTGTAATTGATTATATTGTAACCAAGTTAAATTAATCCCTTCGTCCAACAGTGTCTGCAATGTCTTCAGCTGCCATCTGCCCGCATCTGTAAAAAGAACCTCTTTGTATAACCCCCCCCCCCGAGTGACATTATATTTGTATTCCACAAAATATGACCAAGATCCAGCGATAGCGGTATTTTATAATCCCATTTGAATCGGTGCTTCTTCCAAACTCTCATCAAGGAGTCTCTAAGTATATGACTTTTAAATACTTTATCAACTTTGTCATCATAAAATAAGTAAGCATGCCATCCAAATTCAAGATCAAAACTTTCTGCATTCAGTATTCCAGCCTTTTTCCTTCCAAACCAATCACTTGTTAAAGTTAAAGCTGCTGCATCATAATATAACTGTAGGTTTGGAAGTTTAAGACCTCCTCTTTCTGGAACATCTTGCATAATTTTCAATTTCACTCTCGGCTTTTTCTCGTTCCAGACGAATTTATTCACTCCAGTTTGCCAAACTTTCAATTGTTTATCACTTTTAAGCACCGGAATCATTTGAAACAAAAAAAGAAATCTTGGCAAAATGTTCATCTTAACTGCTGCTATTCTTCCAAGTAGAGACAGCTGCAGTTTTTTCCAAGTCTCCATGTCTTTCTGCACCTCTCGCCACAACACCTCATAATTATTTTGAAACAATTTCATGTTTGAGTCTGCAACCTGAACTCCTAGATATTTTACCTTTGGTACAATCTCAAAACCTGCCCTCCTTTCAAGCTCATGTTTACGATCTTGTGTCATGTTTTTAACTATCATTTTAGTCTTTTTTGGATTCAGTCTAAAACCTGAAACTTTACCATAGTCTTGTATAATGTCCTTCATCAGGATTATTGATTCCATTGGTTGTGATAGGGTAACAACCAGATCGTCTGCAAATGCCTTTATTCTGTAATCCTCTTGCCTCATCATTATACCTTTCAAGATATTAGAGTCCCGTATTGTATTTAGCAAGACTTCTAGTGTTAAAATAAATAAAAGTGGGGACAACGGACATCCCTGGCTTGTTCCTTTTTCAATTTTGAACTCTGTTGTCAAACTTCCATTAATAATGATCTGTGCCTTTTGCTCTTGGTAAATTGCTGAAACCGCCTGTATAAATTGATCCCCAAAATCCATCTTTTTTAAAGTCTTTAGTAGAAAATTCCAATCCACTCTATCAAAGGCCTTCTCTGCATCCAAAAAGACCAGCACTGCAGGAATCTGTTTATTCTTCTCAAGATATTCCAATAAATCTATTACTTGCCTTACATTGTCCTTCATGTGTCTGCCCTCGATAAATCCCGCTTGATCATCATGAATCACCTTTTGGATTACTGGCATCAACCTGTTGGCTAATACTTTCGCATAGATTTTATAATCTGTATTCAAAAGAGATATTGGTCTGTAGTTCTCTGGTTTTTTAGGACCGACTTGTTCTTTTGGTATCAAAGATATGTAAGCTGTTGTCCATGATGGGGGTGTTTTACCCCCTTGTTGAATATTGCAAAATAAATCTCTGAGTTGTTCCACCATTTCAGCTTGCAAAGTTTTGTAATACACTGCGGTCAAACCATCTGTGCCAGGAGCTTTGGCTGTTTTTAACTGTTTAATTGCTACTATTATCTCCTCCTCTGTTATAGGATAATTCATTCTTTCCTTTTGTTGAACAGTAATTTTTGTAACTCTTTTATCGTTTAAATATTTTTCTATAAGTCCATTCTGCACCTCCTCTTTGGCATATAGTTTGGTATAATAGTCCACAAAAGCTTCTTTAATTAATTTTTGTTGAAAAATTTCTTTCCCTCCAATATCAATACTATCAATAGTCCGTATACTTTGTTTTTTCCTCAATGTGTAAGCCAACCATCTGCCCGGTTTATTAGCGTTACAAAATGTATTGTGCTTCGCATATTGTAAGTTTGTTGCAACTTGTTCCGCCATAAGCATTTGGAATTGGTCTTTCAAAAGTTTTATAGCACCGCATATTCTTTCATCTGTTGGATTTTTAATAAGTAACTGTTCTTTATTCTTTATTTCTATTTCCAATTCAGATCTTTTCTTTTGTCGAAACAGTCTATGTTTAGAGTTCATGTGGATAAGCACCCCTCTCATATAGGCTTTACTTGCATCCCACACAATTTCTATTGGGGTACCTTTATTCAAGTTTATTTCAAAAAATTCTTTCAAGTGCTTTTTAAGTTCTGTTGTGTTTTTTTCATATCTGAACAAGTTCTCATTTAATCTCCAAGAACGTCTCTCAATCTTATCCATCTCAATTTCTATCCATACTGGGCTATGGTCAGTCAAAGTTCTTGGAAAAATCTTTGTTCTTTTTGTCTTGACAAGTAGGTCATCTGACAACAAAATGAAATCAATCCTAGAGAAGGATCTATGTCTATCTGAATAAAAAGTATAGTCCAGTTCTTTTGGATTATGTATTCTCCAAATATCTTTTAGTTCCAAATCTTCTTTCATATCAAAAAAGGTCTGAGGTAACCTAATCCTAGATTTTGCTGAACTCCTTTTGTCTAATTTAGAGTCTATTACTCCATTCCAGTCTCCCATGATTAAAATAGATCTATAGTCCCATTGTAGTATTTTAGTATGTAACATTTTATAGAAATAATCCTGTTGTTGGTTGGGAGCATAAATTCCTATCAAAAGAATTTGGCCATATGTTGTAAGTAATTCAATTGCTACAAACCTACCATCTTCATCTGTTTCTATAACTTTAGCTGTAAATTTCTTTTTTACATAGATAACCACACCATTCTTTTTTTGCAACGTTGAAGATATAAAATGTATTCCTAATTTGGAGTTTATCAAGTATTTTTGATCTTGAACTGTAATATGCGTTTCTTGTAGACAAATTATATCATTATTAAATTGTTTCAAATATGTAAATAATTTCTTCCTTTTCTGTGCTGAATTCAACCCATTCACATTCCAAGATAAACACTTAAGCATCATCTTCATCTTTCTGGAGCAAAGAGCAGAATAACCGAATATCATCCAAAATCTTCGGAGTCGCTCCCCCCATGGCTCCAGTCTCTTGTGTAGTAGTCTTAGCTCCCTTCTTGTCTTGTCTTTCCTGTTGTTGCTGTTGCTTTTGTTTAAGTAATTTAGATTGAGCTCGAGTTATACGTTGATCCTTAACTTCGATCATCCGAACCGGGTCCAAGATTGGAGAAGATTCCAGCAGAGGCTCATCCAGAAAACCTCCTTCTGCGCCTTGCACTTCCTCTGGTTCCTGCTTAGACTGTTCTTGCAATTCTCGTTGAGGTTGCTTCTCATCACTCTCCTTAATCTCCAAAACTGTAGATGTACGTGGGGATGGTGTTCTTTCCTTAAGAGTAGTAGTGTAGAAGTGCTCTGCCTTCTCCACGGTGTTCAAACGATATCTTTCTCCCTTGTATCTCAAAATTATACCAACTGGGGCGTCCCACCGAAATGGTATCTGTAGATTTTGCAATTCTTTAACAAGAAAACCGAATTCTTTTCTGGTTTTCAACATTTTAGGAGGTAATTCTTTATAAATTCCAATTTGTGAGCCCCCCACTTGCACAGAGGTGTAAAAGGATTTTTGCAGGATGTCATTTCTTATTTCTCTGTCTGTAAAATATATGACCACATCTCTGGGCAATTGTCTTTGTCTGGCCACCCAAGAATTCACTCTGTAAATTTTATCTATTTTGTGAAAAACCACATCAGGATTAACTTGTAAGATCTTGGCCAGAGCCTCAGAACAAACCTGTCTCAAATCCTGTCTATCCTCTTCTCGAATTCCTCGAAGCCGAATTGCAAACTCCATTGCCCTGAATTGTACCATCACAATTTCATTTTCAACTCTCTGCATTTTATTGTCAACATCAGCAATTTTATAATCATTGTCTTTCATCTTAACATTAACTTCTGATTTAAATTCTTCAACTTTAGAATCAACTTTAATAATAAATTCTGCCAGGCCAGACGCCACTTCTGATATTTTTTTGGTCACCTTATTTTGATTCTGTTTCACCATATCTTTAACTTCATTAATTTCCTGCATAAATTCCTGGTGTGACTTTTGAAGTTTATCATCTATCTCCTGTTGAGATTTTTGAAATTTATCATCCAGAATTTTAGAAATAAATTCTTTTAAATCTCCCACATCAAAATCTTTTTTCTGAGTCTGTGTCTGTTGTTCAGGGGGAGGCTGTGTTTTATGTGTGGGAGATCCACCCCCTGTTGCCTTCGCTTCCTGCTTCTTTGAGGCCATCCTGCCACGTAAACTAGTTTTACTAAAAAAGGAAGTTCTTCTTCCTCTCCCACCTCCACAAAGACTTCTAAAAAAGTCCCCCAGATTTATTCAAATGAAAACTAAAGTAAAGCAAAGTCCAGTATTGAAAAAGGAGAAATTTCTCTCTTATTCTCTTGTTGCAAGCGAAGCAACTTTGTAGCAACTTGGTAACTTTGTAACAAAGCAAGATGACTTCACCAATCCACACTTGCTGGCTCGTTAACTCTAATGCTGAGCGCCATATTTTTTCAAGTCACTTTCACTCATTCGCATTTTTTCTTAAATTGAAAAGTCAACAAAGCGCTAATACTTGCGATTCCAAGTTTCAGGGTTCAAGTGTATATCCGCTGCTTATTAAGGTTGGTTCCTTTCGCTTTAAATGTTTACTGCAGCCGGCTTGTTCTGCAAAAGCAGAATCGTCCCACGCCGCCCGGAGTCTCAGCAGGTTGGGAGGGAGCCGCGCCTGTTTCCTCCCCAGAAACAGTTCCCTGGGGGGTTACAGGGGCTCGACCTGTGCCCTGCTATCTCTCCTCCAACAATCCTCAGGATTTTGAAGTTTTCGAGCCGCTTCTCGATCGCGAAGCGGCTCTACAGGCAGCGGGGCTGGCGGTCCTTAAAAAGGCACCATCGTCGCCGAAGGCTAGCAAACCGGATTCTCTAGTGTGTTTCTTAAACTCAGCAAATTTAAGGTGTGTGGAGTTTAAGTAAATCCATACACCTTTTAACATTGCTGAAGTTGACAAACTCTGATCTAAACAGCTGGCTTTTCAATGCAATAAGGTCTCTTGCCTTGGGCAGAGGGTTGGACTAGAAGACCTCCATGGTCTCTTCTCCTCTGTGATTCTATTAAAATCCTGTATGACTATTAACATATGACAGAGCTCCTTTGGAAGATGCTCCCATTATCTTTTTGCACAAATGAATCAAAATTAACAAGTAAATGAGTGGAAATTGGTAAATTATTACATAATCTATAGAATATTTTTCCAATACACAATATTTCATTGTGTTTTTTGGTTACAGCGCTGCACTGGTTTTTTCTACAATAAAACTTCTTCAAGATGCAGAGGTTTTCACAGATAGACCTAATTCTCAAAAAGATGCAGATAAGGTATATTTCAGTATTCACATTTTATTAAGTTAATGAGGGAGGTTAGTGCTGAGAGCATTATGGATCACAACTTTATAATTAATATTAAAATACTTTTTAAATTGTTATATTGTTATTTAATGGATTTTAGTTTAATATAGAAGTATTCCATGTGGCATAATGAAAGCTATATATTTTACACTTAACAAAACATTTTAGTAAGCATGACATATAAGAGACATTCTATATGTTAAAATGCATTAATCAGTTATAGAACAATTGAACATTAAACCTAATAATCAGTTCATTTCCCCTTTTGATCAGGGATATGATGGAAGGATTTCTACTGAGGGTTCCAATCTAATTCACAATGTAACAGCACGAGAACATTTGAATATACACATATGGCTAAAATGTCGTTTGGCATTAGTGATTGCAATTACAGCACAGGCAAGAGGCATTGAAGTAATGAAAGGTAACCAGTGGTCAATGGTATATAAAGTCAGATAAATGCATAAACAAAATTTAATTCTCAAAGCTATCTGTGTTACCTCTTCAGAAATATTTATATATTTATGCATATTTTCCCATGATTACGTTCTTGCTAGAAATACTTTTTTGTAGAAGCTGATTTTCATTGCATCTTGCTAGCACTATAAACCTCTGTGAATTATCATAATTAGACATTGAGTCCTCTTGAGCATTCAAGTAACATTGTAAATCTCTATAGGTGGTTCCTTGGTTAACAACTACTTGTTCAGCAATCATTCACACTTACAGTGGCACTAAATAAATGGTACTTATGGCTTCATCAAAGTTACAGCTATCAGTGATTTTATAGTCATATGATCGGGATTTGGGTGTTCAGAAATCAGTCCAGGTTTCTGATCTTTGCAGTGTTCTGCAATTTGTGACCTTCTGCACAAGCTTCCCACAAGCAAAATCAGTGGGAAAATTTACAAGAAGTCAGAAGTCGCAATTATGTGGAGTTCTCATTTAATGTCCCATGGTAATTCTCTTAAAGTTACTGCATCGCTTAGCAATGGACATTCTGATCCCAATTACCATAGTTAAGCGGGTCTACATGTGGTGTATTGAGATAATAAAAGCAATATACTTTTGTTAATATTTCTCATAAAATAATATTAAGAACTATGTTGGATGTGCTCAAATATCTTTTATATCAATTACAATAATAAAGTATTATAAAATGATACCATAATTATTTTTGATGGTATTATTTTACTTTTCTTCAAGAAAATGAATTAACAGAGTGTTCTAGTCTGATTAATGAAGTACAAATGGAAGCTGAAGCATTCAATGATGTTGAGACTCTTGCTGAAATTACCATGCAAGCCATTATACTTGGCCTTCAAGAAAGACTTCCAGTGGCTGATATTAAGCTTCATTTACAGGTATTAACACAAAAGTGAATTATCAATTATTTCCCAGTATCATTCTTATGAAACAAATGAATTTTGATGCTATTCATAATTTAATTTGCATTTTACAGTAAAATAATCTGAGATTAATTATTACTGCCTAACAGTTTCAGTATGTCATAAGGAAAATGCAGAAATAACATTTTCAGGCATTTGGTAGTCACATAATTTTTGCATGGAGTGAATACTGCATTAAGGGAGATTGAATCTTAACTGTTAGATTTGTGTAGTAGGTGGTTCCAACCATGCTGTTCACTGAATCTAACTTTGAGAAGAGTCATGTTCAAAACTCTGCACTGTTTTAAGAGGATTAGGGTTATACTCTATAGTTTAGTTTAGTTTAGTTTTATTAAATTTATATACCGTACTTCTCCTGAAGGACTCAGGGCGGTCCTATAGATACTGCAGTCAAGAATTGTGTATACTTATCTATAAAACAGGACTATTGCTTGGCAGAAGAGTAGTTATAGAAAACAGGATAAATTTAGAAAACATGTCTTTGGTAATAGAATTTGAGAGCTGAAAATGTAGATCTGTCTGTCTGTCTTCCTGTCTGTCTTATCTATCATCGATCTATCTTCTGTTCACACAGAATGTAATCAAATTGCTTGAAGAAAAGACACTGATTTCTCCACCAGCTAATTTACTATTAGTACAGAGTATGCTTCTGCTAGCTGATATAATGAGAACAGAAACAGAAGATGGTTCAGAATCATCTAAAACTGACCAGTTGAATGTATTAGTTCAGGCACACGCACTAGTAATTAAACAGGTAAGTATATACTAATAATTGAATGTTACTATATTTTTTTAGTGTTCACTGCTTAAATACAAATAGCACTGACCCCAGCTTCATTGGAAAGGCTTAAATTTTGATGGTTTTCATTTCATCAGTCTTATCCTCAGCTACTGCATTTTTAAGTTTAAAATTGAATGTTAAATACAAAACGAAATTAATGTCAAGTATTGTTGGATTTTAAAACCAGGAATAAAACCACATTTAATTTTATTTTTGAAATTGGGTCAAGTATCTATGAATTAGATCCACAAGTACTAATTACAAGTCTTTGTTTTACTTAGTTGAAAACAGTATTAGTTGAGCTTTTCATATAATACTGTATCATGGAGAGTTCTTCATTCCCACAGACCTCTGTTAAATTTTTTCTCTTTTTTCTCTAAACAGTTAGCGATCAGGACTTAATGAGCATGAACCCTCATTAGGGAATTTTGAGATTATTTCCCCTCCAATGATCTATATATAATACAAATTTTAATTTATGCTGATATCGGGGCTCAGAAGACATAGATTGCCAAAGTCAAATTCTGAATTTTTTTGTCATTTTTTAAAAAAGGAAAGTACTTTCTTCTTTTCTTATGGACACTTCAATGAAGCTTTTAAGTATGAAGTGGGAAATAATCTATTTAGAGACTGAGATACATTTATGTGACTTATTTTCCAGCCATTCCCTTCTCTTTGTCTTTTTCCCTAGTCAGTAAATTGATGTCCCATGCTGTTGGGCTATTATGAGTTATTATAGGGATAAATGGTTTGTCCTTTAGGATATTTTGATAATGTGCATATCTTTCATTACAAAGTTTGACATTTTCAACAGCTGTTTATTTTGGGGCAATCACTTGAACAACATGGAGAAGATCCTACTTTAACAACTCTAAAAATGCCTATGATGAACATATACCTGCCACACATCGCACTGCTGGCAAAAGTCAAAATGAGAATTGGTAAGGACTTTTTAATACAATATAAGCTTTTGTTTTTTCTGAAGATTATTTAATAAATTTAAGGAGTTTAATGTATGTGAAATCTATTAATTTCATATTTAAAGTTTTACTATAAATTTTTGGCTAGCATCAATACATATGAAGACATTGTAAAGAAAAACATCAGGATGGTTATATATGACTTACTATAATTTACAATGCCTACAACTATTTTGTGTTTCATAGTTTTGATAATTTATAGCAGATATAAACTATATAAAATGAACAGGATAATGTTTAATGAATTTATATTAAAATAATCTTTCTTTATAAAACAGAAATCCTAATTCTTCAGTCAAACATAGAAGCAAATTCTTACTCAAATGTGGAAGCTAGATAAATTTTATTTTAGCACACTTATATGGCAACCCAGCTCACACACAGGTGTCTCACAACATCAAAAATCTACAACATAAAAACCATAAACCCCAACCTCCATGACAACAGCAACATATTCAAACCAATCACTTTATTACTCCAAAAATTTTTCACTTTTGTAAGATCAGAAGCTTTGCGTTGAGCTGTAGTACCTGTTTTGTAAAAGGCAGAGCTGCAGAAATTAATTGATCTGTTGCTTCTTTCCTCAGTACATTCTCTCATGACTACCAGATTTTCCTGTTTTCAGGAATGAGCTGGTTGTAAATTTCTCTGTGTAAATTTCTCTGTTATGTTGTCCTTTGAGTAATAAAAAGTGTTGATGGAATAAACAGATATAATGGAGTGAGAATTAAGAAAATATAAATCACATGGAAGTTATATGATTTTCTATTTAAAATCAACATTCCATGGATACTGCAAAATCCCCATTCCCTCCCCACTCCTGGAGGAAGTATATTGCAAAATCTCCATTCCCACCCCACTTTGGGGCCAGCCAGAGGTGGTATTTGCTGGTTCTCTGAACTACTCAAAATTTCCACTACCGGTTCTCCGAACTGGTCAAAATTTCTGCTACCGGTTCTCCAGAATCTGTCAGAACCTGCTGGATTTCACCCCTGTTTTACAGCCCATTTATGACTATGTACGATTTTTTCAGTATCCCTTAGTCAACATGATCATTGTTACAGTCAGTACATGTTGTCCTCCTGTGCCTGAGCTGCATTATTTTTTCCTCCTCTTGCAGAGCAGAAAGATTGGAGAGAGGAATTGCAGGAAACTGAAATTTACAGTACTCTCATGAAATCGCTTTTTCTCCCGATGTCTCCACTCTGTGAGGGGAAGGGGAGAAAAAAAAAAGCAAGCAATTTCTGTGGGCAGTCATTCTTTTGTTTAACCCTTTCCTGCTGCTGGCAGAGACAGATTGCTTTTGATGTGTAGAAGAACAAAACATCTGGAAAGCAGAGTCATGGTCATATAATTTCCCACTTAGCAACTGCTTTGCTTAGCGGTGCAGTTGCTGGTCCCAGTTTGGATCATTAAGTGAGACACTACGTGTATGTAGTTTAGAGAAGATATAAGTATGCACTTCTAAATTTCAGTTGCAAAGTATATGTCTGGAATAATTCATTTCTTGTATTAAGGGACTACATTTCATTTATTCAATGTTTGACTTTTATTTTGCTTTAGAAATAACTAGTGAAATAATTTCCTGTAAATTGATTTCTAGGGCATACCTTAACTTTAGAATTATCATGTAAATCCAAACCACAAAGTGAGTTGCAGTGGTTAAAAGCCCTACAATACACAGAAACAGCACTAAATCTTTCCGTAGCATCAGTAAAAGAAGATTTAGATCTAGAAGCAGAACTTCTTTTTCGAAAAGGTAATATACAACTCATTTTTTTCTAAAGAGTTGCTCAAATTTCATGTTGCATCTGAGACCTAGAGAGTTGGTAACCTAGATCCCTAACAGTTTATAGTATTCTGTTTTGTATACTCTGTGCTTCCTATTGCAAAGTATTGTATGTATAGCTCCCTCTGCAGATGAGTGGCTAATTAAGTTATGGGTATATGTCTTGATATCCAATAACTCTCAAGCCTCAGGGAAATCAGAAAATCTAGGCAGTTTTAATGAGTATAAAGGTTTATTGCAAGTTTAAGCTCTATACTACCAGTAGAGCTCTGAACTACTACCAATCAAAGCAAATCGGTGGTAGATAAGAGTCAAAAAAATTGAAGGTGGGCTGATCGTAAATCTCTTTTGGGCATAAAGGGACTCATGACTGATGATGCATTTGACTCCTTCCTCAGACTCAACCTGATCATCTACATCAAGTTTGTATTGTATGCTAAAAGTAAATCTGATACAGAATTTAATTGAACTTGGAAATTTTTGTATTACAATTCTAAATATACACTTAGGGCATAAGTTTGAGTTTCTCTTAACATAAAATTTTAATATGCTAGATCTTAATAATCTATTAGATGAAATAGGATTTTCAGCTGCTTAATAGAATTTACTGTCATTCTTAATTTTATTTTATGATTTCTATTGTGTTGATTCCTACTATTGATATTCATATATTATTTGGATTTTAACAGTGATCTGTAGTTTTCTGTGATCTGTAGTTTGTAGTTTTCTATAGTTTAAGTTACTTAAAACTAATTAATGAAATATTTAACATTGAAACTTAATTCCTTGATACTTGTAAATTCCATTTCCTCATTTGTGTTTTATTTATTTTATTTTTATTTATTTATTTCTCTTTTCTTTGTCGTTGCCTTTTTAAAATATTCTTAAGAAAATATAATTTAAAAGAAAATAGTATTCTGCTTTATTAGCTCTATCAGGAAAAACAAAACTCTTTAAATAAATTCATGTGTGTCATTTTTAGGAAGAATAGAACGTCAACTTGATTCATTAGGTCTTAATAAATCAGAATTAGCTGTTGACAGCTTGCTGGATGCCATAAATTTCAGCCTGCTGAGTTACCAGCACTATGGGTGAGCAGTTTTTTTCCCTATGTTATTTAGATTAGTATGTCATTTAAAAGAAAACAATAATTAAAACATACAATTTATACTGAAAAGTTCAGACCATAAGACATACTTATTCACTTAAAAATATAAATAAGTATTTGCCAAATGCTAACATAAGATGTTTGGATTCCTTGCTTTTCCATTTATTTTTTGCAGATTAATAAGAAGATCATACATGGAGATAGCACTGCTTTATTTTTATTTATGTACAAACAAGGAAGAGTCTCCAACTTCAGGTACTGTGAAAGGAAGAACATTTAAGCAGAGGGTATGTATAATTGTTTATAAGGCTAACCATATATTTAAACACCAAGTTTAGTATTATATTACAGGTCTAGAAAGATATATGCCTGAATATAGAGACATTGTTATTGCTTTGTGCAACATTCTTGCATCTGGTTTGCATGAAGTTGAATTGATGAGAGAGGTCAAAATGTCAAGACAGTGAGCAAGGTAATGTGATTGAAATCCTACCATCGTTGTATAAGAATCAATGTTATATGTACAGCAGCCCTTGTTAAGTAATTGTTCACATTTACAATGGTGAGAAAAAATAAATTTGCAACCAATCCTAGCTACTGCTCCATTTAACGATCCAGTTGCTGCTGCCAGTTGAGGTTGTTCAATGAGCCATGGCGCAAAGAGCAAATGAGGAATATATCTGTGTATAGATAGATAGATAGATAGAGAGATAATTTTAATCATGCTGCTGTTATCATTTGATATTATTTACTTCTACATACACTATTGCATATATTATATATACATATATATATATAATATAGGGTACTACACTATAGACACTACTACACGTATACACTACAGACACTATTACTGCACTTCTCAACTTTTTTGGTTTCGGGACCACTTTATATTTTTAAAAATAATAATAATAATAATAACAACAACAACAACAACAACAACAACAATAATAATTTTATTTCTATACCGCCCTTCTCCCGAAGGACTCAGGGTGGTGTACAGCCAATTTAAAAACACAAGACACAACAATGATTAAAAATTAAAATAATTAAATAGATTTGGCCGGATTAAAACCCCAAAAATTTAAAATAGCCCAATTTAAAATTATTATGTTGATAGCCCGGCCTGGCGGAACAACAGGGTCTTCAATGCGCAGCGAAACACCCGGAGGTCGGAGATCTTACGTATTTCCGGGGGCAGTTCATTCCACAGGGCTGGGGATCCCACAGAGAAGGCCCTCCCCTTGGGTGTCGCCAGCTGACATAACTTGGCTGATGGCACCCTGAGGAGACCCTCTCTGTGGGAGCGGAGTGGTTGGTGGGAGGCTATTGGTGGCAGAAGACGGTTTTGAAGGTACCCGGGTCCTATGCCATGGAGCGCTTGATTGATGACTCCAAGGAGCTTTGATTTATGTGGTTGAATTTATCAATATATACTGTATTAGAAATTAAAATTGGAAAAATGTTAAAATATTTATTTCACTTTGTGGACCCTCTGAAAGGATCTCATGTTGAGAAGAACTGCATTATGCTGATCCCTGAAATATTGAAGTGGAGTATCTAAGCGCAAATCCACATAGCTTCCTTGCCTGTTGTGAGGACAACCCATTAATAAGTCTTTGATCATATATCTGCAGGCCTCTGCTTCTCTTCTATCTGGCCTTCCCCACAACTCACCCAGCTTAAGAATAATTGGAATGCTATACTTTGGAAATGATATTTTCCTGACTATCCCACATGAAGATGATGTTTATAAATGGGCATTGCAGAAGTGGCCTGAAATGATCTGCTCCATGCCAGCAGATCTTGTAGCTCCAATTGATTCTGCTAGTTTTCTGTGGAACCACTTCCTTCAGTCAGGTCCCTGACATTGCTTTGTCTTTCTTTGGCTGTAAAAAAGACCAGAACTCTCCTTTTGAAGCCACTTTGTTTTTAAAGTATTACGGACCATCTAATGCAGTGTTTCTCAACCTTGGAAGCTTGAAGATGGGTGGACTTCAACTCCCAGAATCCCCCAGCCAGCAGTGCTGGCTGGGGGATTCTGGGAGTTGAAGTCCACCCATCTTCAAGCTGCCAAGGTTGAGAAATACTGATCTAATGTGAAGACATCAAACCAGCCTTGTTAACACCAACAAGAAGTAGATGAAACTAAATAAAAATACTTGACTCTTTCTATAGTCTACCTGGCAGGAAATTACCTTCTCATTAGCTGCTGTTTTCAGGAAAGTCCCAGTTTCTCACATCATTCCCTGGCATTGTGTTTTTAGGATACTTTAAGTTCCCACTCTCATGGTAGAAGATACCCTACACATATAAGTTGTATTCACTACCAAATCTGACACCCCCCACCCCTGAACTGTTTAAAATGCCCTTATGAAAACATTCACAGGAAGTAAATTGACTGAGAATGACAACAGGAGGAAGAATCAGTCAAGAACCTGTGGCCCAGTAAATTATAATGTTTCTATTCACCAATCATATCTCGGAGATAGTATGGATAGCATGTTGACCTCCTAGGAAGAGAAAAATAATAAAAGGTCACCCAGAGGGATCTACCTAAAACATTTTGCCTTTGCTCAGGGCTGCTCAACAAACTGTCAATGCTTTTCTGGGAGCCTAGTGTTCACCTTTTTATTTATTTATTCATTTATTTTTTGTTTTTTAATTTGATTTGTATGCCGCCCTTCTCCGAAGACTCAGGGCGGCTTACAATGTGCTCAGCAATAGCCTTCATCCTTTTGTATATTTATACAAAGTCAACTTATTGCCCCCACATTATTGTTTGCATGCTAATAAAATATTATCATCATCAAACTGGGTTGCTTCAGGTAAACCAGGTTGTGGCTACAGCACCACAATAATCTGCACAATTAATCCCTTTCTCAAGCACCAACTCTTCAGCATAATTTCAACTGCTCATGTGTCTTGGCTTCACAAATTCAGACAACCAATGGTAGCAGCCAAAAAGTACAAAATATCCCTCTTGTCTGCCATGGGTAAAATAGCTGATCAATTGGCCCAAAGGCTAAAAGAATAATATACAAAATTTCAACAGGAGTGTAGTGATTAAACAGGAGAAAACAAAGTTGTTTTTACTATATTAAATGATATTAGTGGTTGAAGTATATTATTTAATGCCTGGGACACTTTGGAAAATTTGTAACTTCCTCAAAATATGTAATATATTTATTCACCAATATTGCAAATATACTTATTTTTAATTCTTTCTCCCGCCTACATGCTCTTTAGCACTCTGGCATGTCATTTTATTTGGAGTAAACATGCAAGCATACTTAGCACTGAAGCACTGTGTTGCATGTATTTAACATTTTTAAATTCTAAAAAGGCTTTTGATTTCAGAGGCCTTCTCAAAAGTAAAATTGATGCTCATCTTTCTGTTTGTAGCATGCTGAATTTGTTTTTTTTAAGTGAAAAGAATTTTAAAAAATTAATGTCAGGTGAGACAGGGACCTTGGGAAAAAGATACAATAGCACTTATTAGCACCATACTGAGGAACCTTAGCCAGAGTTTCAGAGTGCTTACTGTGTATTGAAATTGCTGGGAACTGAATGAATATCAGGTACCTTTCTGAAAGAAGCAAACAAAATTGCGATTCCATTTAAGGGACAGAACATGAACCATTAAGTAGTAATTTTCTACACACTTACATTTGAGTAAACCAATGAACTTTATTTCAGAGTAGATACGTATGTTTCCATTAAGGTTGATTGTTTTTTCATAGCATTTCGGAAGTTTTTCGGCTAGTATAATTTTAAAAATGTACATAGATGCTCTTTCTCATAATCTTATCATTTTGTACCAACCTGAATCAATCTTTGTTACATTCAGTTTAATAACAGACTTTCAACTACTTCCGAGGAAATTACTGTTCTTGAAATATACAGAGTACAAGCCTGGATTGCTGTAAGAAGTGCTGCACAGGTTTGTGGTGCTTTTTGTAAAATCTGATTTATCTTCACTTATTTTTTCCCCCCACATAGCTTTCTGATGGAGAAACACTCCAGGGAATTTATATTTTACATTGAAAGGAGTAAAGGAAGGATACAATGGCAGTATTTTGTATCTTTTATATGCAGGTAGTCCTTGTTTAGCAGTGATGAAAAAGCAACTTTACAACAGATCTGTAAAGCAAAGGAAAGCTAAAATAGGATTGTATACACAATCACTGGTTCACTTAGTGACTATTTTGCTTAACAACTTAGTTGCTGGTCCCAGTAGTAGTCACTAAATGAGGATTACTTTTATTAGACAAGCGTTGTAATTTCAACTTTAAGATTATTTTTGTATCATTAAGGTATCGCATGTTAAAACTTACAAAATCATAGTGGCTGATTTCAGCAATATTGCTGTTCAAATTATTTTACATTTTAAAGGTTCATTTAATAATTAACATTTGCAAATTTTAAATATTTTAAGGCTTCTCTTCAGTATAGAATCAGAAATCTTCCTTTTTGTATCACTGTAGTATGTTTTAACAGTGATTGTTCACCTCAACATTTGACTGATGAGATTAATTAGTCTAGTATGGTAGTTTTTATATGTTTCTAGTTTTAAGCTTACTATTTTAAATCTAGGTCAGTGAAGCAATTCTGACTTGTCAGCAATTAACTGGAAGAAAGGCTATTAAATTGTATCATATGAGACAAAGAGTGCAACAAATTATGCCTGAATTTGCTCTTCTGGATCTCAGTTCTTCTTACAAAGATTTTTTGTCTGGTATTTGCTTTTTCATATTATATTGTTACCTGGTCTAAATGTTGATACAGTAGAAAATTAGAGTGTTCATGACTGTCTGTTTTAGGTGACAGGGAAAAAAAAAAGCCACAGTGACAAAAAATGTTTTTTTTTAAGTAATAAGAAAAAAATTGCCTCTTAGAGTCCTAAACAAATCCATATAAATCTAATTTCAATTATATTGTTTGTAAACATTGCAAACATCTGGCTGAGATAATGTTAATCATAATCATAATAATTAATCATAATAAATTAATAATTATTTTGCTACTTATTTCTATATAACTTTTGTTAAATGGTACAGGTAGATGTTATTATGCTCTTGATCCCAATCTTCACAAGTGTTTGTTCATCATGCATTTCACTAATAAGTTGTTTCACAATTCTATCAGGTGGCAAAATAAAGCAGTCATTAAAATATACAGCAAATGTATACTTCTCTAAAAACTTAGAGAAAGAAAACAATCAAAACAAGAGCCTTGGTAGTACAGTGGTCTAAAGCACCCTGTTATTAAGAACAGCTGCCTGCAATTACTGCAGGTTCAAATCTCGCCAAGGCTCAAGGTTGATTCAGCCTTCCATCCTTTCTAAGGTAGGTAAATTGAGGACCCAGTTGTGGAGGCAATAAGCTGACTTTGTATAAATATACAAAAGAATGAAGGCTATTGCTTAGCGCATTGTAAGCCGCCCTGAGTCTCCGTAGAAGGGCGGCATATAAATCAAATTTAAAAAAAAAAAAAATTTTTTTAAAAATCACTTTGTTGCTTAAAATACAGTAAAGATATTGGTTTACACATGTGTGTATATTACAGGATTTAGACAGCTAAGTCTGGCAAGATCAGAAGGAAATGGCCTGAAACTAACCATAAGATAGCCATGTAATAATTAAAGCCTTCACTATTGGCAGAGGATTATTGGGTAGCATTGATAAGCTACCCAAAATATGCTTATAGGAACAGAGACAATGGGGCTTAAACTTTTGAGAATCCTTATGAATTTTCAATATTCTGCATCAATGTGACCTAAAACATGATCTATTCTCCATACAATTCCTAAAATTAGATACACATAATCCAATTAAACAATGAGTTAAAAACATTATACTTGTACATTCATCCATTGAGGAAAATGATCACAAGCTACCTGTGTATTCATGTCTGTATAACAGCTCTGTACCTCTGTCCAGAGCTCTGCACCTATGTATTATAGCTAATTCTATTGCTAAATTTAGCATAGTATAAATCCTTAAAATTTACTGCTTCGTTACAGTGTTTTATTTAAGGTTTTTTTAATATATATTTCATATTCTAGGAAAATACGAAGTTACTTATAAAATTCCCATGGTGTCTTCTGTACAAGAGACAAAATCAGAATGTGACGGAGTTGAAAGAGTTGCTTCTAAAGAAGGCCAGGGCAGACTGGAAATACCTTGGCTTCATGTACTACGCTACCATACATACTTAACCAGGTTTTTGAACCTGAGTCCGCTGGCTGGTAGGAAGCTTTGCTTTGTTAAAGAAGTAATATATCTGTTGTGACCCAGGCCCAAGTAGGTATTATAAGACGCAATCAGTTCGAAAACAAACAGACTTTATTAGAACAGCTGAGAATTAACTCATTCTCAGCGTAGTCCAAACTAATTTAAAACAAATTCTTCATAACACAATTCTTCAGCCTTATCACCAACTTTGGTCTAATTAGGCAACTTGCCAAAGGCTTTTCTTAGTAAAAGTTCAGAAGCAGAAGACGCCAGCAAGACAAGACACAAATCTATCAATGTTGTTTTCCAACAAAGAGCCCAAGAGCTGTTGCTGTTTTTTTAAGCCTTATGGAAGAGGCCAATCATCTCTTGGCCCTACTCCCAAGTCGTCCTTTTTGCTTTAGCTGCTCTTGCCTTCTGGCAGCTCTTCTCGTGTGTGCACTAGGAACAGGCTTCTCCTGTTCCTCTGCCTCTCTGCTGTCAGCCTCTGGAGGCTCCGGAGTCCGCACATCACTCCCAGATGGCCCTGGCCCTGGCCCTGGCCCTGGCCCCATCTCTGCCTCCAATGCAGAGCCCTCATCCAGGCCTTCCCTAGCCTCCAGGACTGGTCCATGTTCTTCCTCAGCCTCCTCACTGTCCGACTCCGCTGCCAGCTCTGCAGGCTGCTGGCGGACCACAAAAATATCTTAGATTTTTAATATTGTGCTACAATCAGGTCTGTTGTTTCTATAAAATAATATACCCATATTCCAGCATCAGTATTTTGATACATTACACAAAGGAAACTAGTTTTATTGTTTGATTGTTTTCCTAATTATAAAAAAGCTGCATTTTTAAATGTATGGATTACCATCCATCTTTTCATGTATTAAATAAGAAGTGTTTCCTTTTAAAAATTTAGTTTTGTAAAGGTTTTAATTTTACTTCCCACTTAATTTAGCCATTGTACACAAATACCAAGGAACATTAGGAAATCATGCAATTCCCCAGAATCCCCTCTACTTTTGACCTGGTTGAGGGCTTTAGACTTAATTACTGCAAGTAGTACAAATGGAGTAGCAGGGGTAGTAGTGTTGGGCAGTGTTTTAAATCAATGTAAAATTGATATTTTGCATGAGAAAGGTATTAACGCTCAGAGTACAATGTCTAGCACATGGGTGTCTAAACTTTTGGCTTGATGGCCCCATTGACGGAGGAAGATTGATTTTGGGTTACTTATAAAATATATAATATAGTTAATGTATATAAAACACAACATGTTAAAAGTATATAAAACACAACATGTTAAAAGTTTATGATCTTGTGGGGATGCATTACTAGCTGTCCAGGGCCGCATGTTGCCAATTTTCAATGTCTGCCAGACTAAGAGTAACACTGATGTAGCTGTATGAGAGAACTTTATCAGGATGACACAGCAGCAATCAGTGATCTTTGCAGTGTTTCCTTCTGTCTCAGGTGTTCATTTAACAACCAAGTCTCTGGAACAGGACTTGGTCACTAAATAAGGAGAGGGTAAATAGAAGTGATCTAGACGAATCAAAGATTCTACGAAAAAATATGGCCCAGGACTTACCACTAATGTTTCTAAATGTCCCAAGATCTGAGAAAAACTGATGCCAGGCTTGACAGTTACTTGAAGTACACTCTATAATTTCATGTGAGATACTATGGAAAAATCTTTACTTTGATTTATTCCTCCTGATTAGTAATGTCTCAAAAAACCTGTTTTGAAATGCAGGTGAACTATTTTGTAATTTTTATAATAGGTCATACATATTACTATAGAATTACAGCTAAATAAATTAAATACATACTTACATACCTTACTGTTATTATTTTCCACAGCTGTCCCAAAAGCAGGAAAAGGCTTATTTGTTAAAGAAGATGTGCTGTATACCTCAGTGTTTGACACAACAATTGCCCTGCGCTTGGCAAAACTTCATTCTTTTTTAAAAAGCCATTTGCCTATTTATTCTGGCTGCTGTCTTCAAGAACCTCCAAAACAGCTGTATGACTTGGAGAAGCCTTTCTTTAGCCTGACTGCAATTGGAAAGGTAACTTGAGAATTATAATTTTAAAATGTATTGATACTTAATATTCCATTTGTCTGTAAAATATGTAAGATATATAAATAAAATTAAATTATAATAAAAGTAATAAAATGATTATATTATTTATTTATTCTACATAAGCTGCCAAAGGGGTTTTGTTTTGGTTCTTTTGGCATCAGGATAGAAATATGTTTTATTAAATATTTAGAACTGTCACAATAAAGAATAAGAATTAAAAAATATAGAAATAATAGAAAAGAAAATATAATTATTTTTATTTTGATATGATTATGATGTGGTCGTTATTTGGCTGTGCTGTGAAGATTTAATCTATTGCTTGAGCAATATCAAGTAAATTCTTAAACTGGTGAGATAGGCGGCTATATAAATTTGATTAATAAATGAAGCCTATCTTTTACCATTTTTTCTTTGGGGAAAGTAGGAAAAAGACATTTTGACATTTTAGGATTATTCTCCCATCTCGGGTCGGGTCGGGTCTGGCTTTGAAGCGCGGCGTGGGGGGTTGGAGACCCGGGGTCGAGGGGGGGGGGGCTAGAGCTTATCCAGATAGTGTTTCTAACATCAATACTGTGAGTGGGAGGGGCAGATATGGCGGGAGCAGGGGGCCACATCGTGTTAGGGGAGCGCATGCTCGCTGTTTACGAGCAGTGGTGCGCTCCGGCCCCCAAGGCTCCACCCGTTCCCCAGGTTGCACAGACCCTCAGAGCCCAGGCCTTCAGCTGATGTTGTGCAATGCCAGGTCTGTAGTAAATAAGGCCCCACTCATTTGTGATTTTGTTCAGGAGGGGGGAGCGGACCTGGCAGGTATTACAGAGACCTGGTTGGGCCAGGAAGGGGGGTTCCCCTTGTTGAAATGTGCCCACCAGGTTTCCATGCATTCCATCAGCCGAGGTCACAGGGGAGGGGCGGGGGGTAGCGGTTATTATTAAAGAAGGTCTTAGACCAAGGGAGGCCACTGTTCCTCAGACGGCCGGCTGTGAGTCCCTCTTTGTGAAGTGGGGTCATGGGGTACAGATGGGTTTGCTGATCACGTACCTGGCTCCCTGCCACGTGGCAGCAGCCCTGCCCGAGCTCCTCAACGTTATCGCAGCGGTGGCGGTTGACACCCCTAGACTTATGGTCATGGGGGATTTCAACCTGCCATCCGTGGGTGAGACGTCTGAGGTGGCTCGGGAGTTCATGGCTTCCATGACAGCTGTGGACCTGACCCAGCAAATTCATGGCCCTACCCACACGGGGGGAAACACGCTGGACCTGGTTTTTGTCTCTGGACAGTGGTTGAGTGATCTTGAGATAGGGGATATAGTCACTGAGCCCTTGTCATGGTTGGATCACTCTCTCCTTCGCCTTGACCTTTGAACCGCTGCACCTTGCCGCAGGGAGCCGGAGCCGGTAAGATGGTTCCGCCCTAGGCGTCTGATGGAGCCTGACATTCCCTGAGGCTCTGGCTCATGCCTTGACTGGAGACCTAGTGGCCGCCTGGGATAGGGCGGCCGCTGGAGCTCTGGATCGGGTCGTGCCTTTGCGGCCTCTGACCCAGCGCCGATCTCATCTGGCTCCTTGGTTCACTGAGGAGCTAAGGGAGATGAAGTGCTGGAAAAGACGCCTAGAGAGTAGTTGGAGGGCCAGTCTTTCTGAATCTGACTGGACACTGGTAAGATCTCATATTAAGAACTCTCTAGTGGCGATAAAAGCAGCAAAGTGTAATTATTTTGCTGCTCTTATTGCGTCATCAGAGAACCGCCCAGTCGCCCTGTTTAGGGTGACCCGCTCCTTGCTCCACCAGGGAGTGTGGGAGGACCCCTTGGAGGGTAGAGCCAAGGACTTTGTACAGTATCTGCATGACAAAATCACTCAGATTCGGGAAGGTCTGGACTTCGACTGGGTAGTTTCAGGGGGAATGACTGAGGCAGGTCTTGAGAATGTTATCTGGGATGAGTTTGATCCTGTGACTCCTGACGACGTGGACAGGATTCTGGATAGACTGAATGCGACCACATGTTTGTTGGACCCATGTCCCTCCTGGTTAGTGCTGGCTTCTCGGGAGGTGACGTGAGGGTGGCTCCAGGGGATTATAAATGCTTCATTGAGTGAGGGTGACTTCCCTGCCGCCTTGAAAGAGGTGGTGGTGAGGCCTCTCCTCAAGAAGCCTTCCCTGGACCCGGCTGTTTTAGCAAATTACCATTCAGTCTCCAACCTTCGCTTTGTGGCGAAGGTTGTTGAGAGTGTGGTTGCACGACAGCTCCCCCAGCACCTGGATGAAACGGTGTATCTGGATCCGTTCCAGTCGGGCTTCAGGCTTGGGTACAGCATGGAAACGGCATTGGTGGTGTTGGTTGATGCTCTCTGGAGGGCTCGGGACAGAGGTTGCTCCTCTGTCCTGGTCCTATTAGATCTCTCAGGGGCTTTTGATACCATCAACCATGGTATCATGCTGCACCGGTTGGTAGAGTTAGGGGTGGGGGGCACTGTGTTGCAGTGGTTCTCCTCCTTTCTCTCAGACCAGTTGCAGTCTGTGTTGGAAGGGGGGCAGAGGTCGACCCCGAGGCGCCTCATATGTGGGGTGCCACAAGGGTCAATCCTCTCGCCCCTTCTGTTCAACATTTATGTAAAGCCGCTGGGCGGGATCATCCGTGGTTTCGGGGTGAAGTACCATCAGTACGCTGACAACACTCAGCTGTACATCTCCACCCCAGACCACCCCAACAATGCCCTTGAAGTGATGTCCCTGTGCCTGGAGGCTGTGCGGATCTAGATGGGGAAAAACAGGCTCAGGCTCAACCCATCCAAGACCGAGTGGCTGTGGTTTCCGACGTCCCGATATAGTCGGTTGGTGCCATCACTGACTATTGGGGGCGAATTGCTGGCCCCCATGGAGAGGGCTCACTACTTGGGCATCCTCCTGGATTCACGGCTGTCTTTAGAAGAGCAGTTGATAGCTGTGACTGGGAGGATTTTTCATCAGGTTCGCCTGATTCACCAGTTGCGTCCCTTTCTGGATCGGGACTCCTTACGCACGGTCACTCATGTCCTCGTCACTTCCCGCCTGGACTACTGCAACGCTCTCTACATGGGGCTCCCCTTGAGGAGCACCCGAAGGCCCCAACTGGCGCAGTGTGCGGCCGCACAGGTGGTTATGGGAGCGACATGGCATTCCCATGTAACACCTCTCCTGCGCAAGCTGCACTGGCTCCCGGTGGTCTTCCATGTGCGCTTCAAGGTCTTGGTTACCACCTTTAGAGCGCTCCATGGCTTAGGACCTGGTTATCTATGGGACCGCCTGCTGCCATCAGTAGCCTCCCACCGGCCGGTACGCTCTCATAGAGAGGGGCTCCTCCAGGTGCCATCGGCCAAACAATGTCGACTGGTGGCCCCCAGGGGGAGAGCCTTCTCTGTGGGGGCACCTACTATCTGGAATGAGCTCCCCCTGGAGATATGGAGGATCCCAGATCTACGCACCTTCCACCGCGCTCTCAATACTTTTTTATTCCATCAGGCTGGCCTGGCCTAATTTTTCCCTTTTTCCCTTTTTAATATGCAAATTTTAATTTGTTCTTAATTTATTGGGGTGTTTTGAATCTGTCTTCGGCCAAATTGTTTAATTCGGTTTTATTCTGTTTTTTAAATTTTGTATTTATATGTTTTTATTTTGTGGCTGTTCACTGCCCTGAGTCCTTCGGGAGTAGGGCAGTATATAAATCAAATTAACTAACTAACTAACTAAATAGGGGACAGAATATCAAATAATACTTCTGTTATATAGGTTGTATTTTAAATGCCTGAAGTCTGTTTTTAATAATTTTTAATAGTCCAGTTTCAAACAGGCACAAAATATTGCAAAATGAGTGATATATGAACAGCTTACTAGTCAAATCCTTAAGGAAAGAAAAATATACACCAAATACATAAAAAGAACAAAGAAAAATCTGTTATTACAACTGTACAGTGAGTTTTTCTGATATGAAAAACAATCTTTGAATGGATTAATTTCCAATTTAAGTTATAGGATATAAACTTAGTATTCTTGAGTTCCAAATTTAAAAAATTGAAATTTACTTCTCTTATAAGAGGTTTAAATAAACAAATTGTTTTCACCATCTTCTCTCCTTGATTAGTTTCCATCCATTGTTTCTTGTTTTGCCTTCAGATGCTTTAGAGAACAGGTTGACTCCCTCTTCTTTATGGTAGCTTCTCAGATATTGGAACCTGCTATCATGTCACCCCTAGTCCTTCTTTTCATTAAACTAAACATACCTAGTTACTGCAACCATTCTTCCTATGTTTTAACCTCCAAAGGTTCCCTAATAACCTTTGTTGCTCTTCTCTGCACTCTCTATAAAGTTTTAACATCTCTTTTTATATTGTGGCAACCAAAACTGGATGCAGTATTTCAAGTGTGATCTTACCAAGGCATTAGTTAGTACCAAGTGGTACTAACACTTCAGTGCTATTGATTCTAGCCCTTTATTAATGCAGGCTAGGACTGTGCTGGCTTTTTTTGGCAGCTGCAGCACACTGCTGGTTCATATTTAAGTGATTGTCCTCTAGGACTCCAAGATCACTGTCATAGTTATTACTTTTGACTCAGATACCACCTATACATTTGGTTTTTCTTGCATAAATGTAGAACTTAGTAATAACACTTATATACTATCCCATAGTGCTTTACAGCACTCCCTGGGCAGTTTACAAATTCAGCATATTGCCCCCAACAATATGGTTCCTCATTTTACCAACTTCAGAAGGATGGAAGGCTGAGTCAACTTCAATCCCTGTCAGGACTGAACTCCTGTGGGTGGAGTTATATACTGCATTCCAACCACTGCGTTACCAAGGGCACCCTGGTGAGAATTTTATTTTTCTTACCATTGAATTTCATTATGTTAGATAGAGCCCAGTGTTCAAGTCTGTTGAGATCCTTCTGTACCTTGAGCTTATCTTCTGGAGTGTTGGCTGTTTCTGGCCTTTTCCTTTTTGCTCCTTATATAGGTAAAACCTCCGAAAAAGTAAGACTGCAGCCTGCTAAGTTCCTGTTTCAAGCTCTGGAAATCCTTCTGCACAGAAAGTACATCTTTTGTTTGGACAGATTATTAGTGCCAAGATGCATAACAACATCAACACCACAGTCCTTTCTAGCATTCTTGACTATCTTAACAAAGTGCTTCTTTTCTCTGCTGGTAGTAGCACCAAGCAGATACCTCATCTCTTTCAAAACCTGCACATCCTTTCCTAAATTGACACCTTTTACAATTGATTCACCAGAAGGTGGCTTCTCTTGTTAGATATCTTGCTCACCTCACATGGCTGATTTGCAATACCTGATTCACACTTTCCCTTATCCAAAACAACTTCTTCCTCATAGAACACAATCCCCTGCTCAGTCGAGACATCATCGTCATCACAAAGAACTGAATCTTCCCCCTTAATATCAGTATTATGTTCAACAAGGGCATTGTATCTATTGTGCAGGGACACATCAAAAGCTTTATGTTTATAATCTACAGCTCTCACTCTGCCAGATCCAATACTGCTACTTAAAGGATAAGCATACCTTGGATGTATATTATTGTAATAAAATAATAGCATTTTGTAATTTGCAAATTATTAGAAATATTATGTAGCAAATTCATAGTTTTAAACATAAAGTCAAATATTCTCATAAATGGTTATATAACTTTTAGGGAACTCTAGGATCATATGGAAGTTCTCAAAAAACACCATCTATGAAAAATACTTTTACTTCTGAGATAGACATGCATTCAGAGAACAAAGCAACCTGTACTCCTATGAAGGAACTTTGCGTGCAGTGGTACCTTCCCTCTTTGGAAAAATCAGCAAATGAAGAAGAGACTTTGGTATAGTAACAAACGAAATACTTTAAATATAAAGGACTGCTGTGCATATCCACTACATTTATTTGTTTGTTTATTTATATCCTAGCTTTATTATCTTTACAAATAACTCAAGATGGCAAATATATTCAACATGTCTATAGTGTCCATGTACATGATGCATGGTCCACATTATTTTCTATTACATATAAAATTGATTAAAAGAAAAATTACAACAAGCAAGCAAGCAACTAAGAAAAAAAAGCTATTCAAGCAGGGTGCCAGATTTCTCAGGAGATTTGAAGTTTAAGCCTTTTCCAGTTGCTATAAGTGTCATCTGAATCCTTCTAGGATTAATGGGTCAGAGACCTGAGAGTAGTTGACTATTTGATATCATTTTAGTCATTGGCATATGATCCAGCAGAAGTTATCTGTTGGATGGGGAATCGGATAAGCATAAAGCTATATTACTATATATGGATCAGAAGGGTAACAAATATATATAGATCATGTTGTGGTTATTATTAAACATGCAATTTCAACAATAATATTAATCAAGTATTTCTCCTTTGTGCAGGTTTTGTTCATTTTTGCTTATAATACAAAAGCTGTCAGAATTATCAACATCAATTCTTTCAATTCAGCCAACATATACTGTGGTTATTTGTGGATCCCACTGAACAGGTAATTTAATTCGTTTTGTTTCTTGTATGTTTTATTTCATACAAAATGTGTGCCATGTTGATATTTGGTGGTCAAGTTTAACAAGCCATTTATCAATGATCAAAAGCAGTAACAAAATCAAATAACCAATGCTGGGCAGGAGCACATATGTGGCACATTCTCCATGGGTTGTAATTTCTATTTCTCCCCTAGCTACATTGTCAGTGCCCCAAAGCATGTTATCTGATAATCAAGGGTGACTTTTAGGGTGGTATGAGGGGAAAGTGGGAATTAAGTACTTTATCTACAGAATACTAATCATAAACTTTTGGATTCCAGCCAATGCATACTGAAGAAACATCTGTAGTGTTACATTGGGGAATTTAGAAGTAATGAATAAGTAAATTAGTCTGGAGATCAAATGTCAGAATATGACATTTATCAAATAAGAAATGAGAAAGTATTGGTAGCATCTATAAAACCAGGATTATTTATCAGCAGAAAGTCTGCTAAAGAAATAATTCCAGCAGAAGAATCTGAAATACTCATATTTTTAATATTAAACATAATCCAAGTTGTCAGAAAATTGTAAGACAACAAAATTTACACTTAAGACTATGTATAGTAAACAAATAATAATACAAAATAATACAATAATAATATTAATAATACAAAATAGTATTGTATTATTAGTTTCAATAATACAAAAATTCTAGTATATTTTTCCTAATTTGTGCTATAGATGCTTCCCATTTACATTTAGAGAAAAAGCTTCTGTAGAATATGAGAACTCTGAGAATGTGAAAGTTTTAGATGACCATCAAATGTAGTAGTATTTATGTAGTATACCAGCATGTGGAAGTTATTTTTTCTGTAGGTTAAAGATTTCATTTACACAGATGGAGCAGATGTTTCCACAGAATTAACATGTTAACAGGAAAGAAGCAATTTGGGAAAGGCTTGATACAATTGGCCCTGTAGGTGTAATTCTGTTTAAGTTGTTTTATGTGAGATAACTGTCAGTTCTTGCCTATGCAGAGATATCTCTGTACTGTCCATATTATGTTCTTATTAGAACACTCCAGCATATGTAGCAGAAATAGTATATTGCAGTCTTTATGTGCTTATGTTCAACTTGTAAACAGTGATCTGGTTCATGATCCAATCTGAATGGATCACTGGAAGCAAAGGTTTGTTCTTCCGAGCATTTGGGTCATGCTGGAGCCCATCATCTGGGAACTTCTCTCTCTTCACCAGAACCAGTAATCTGGTTCTTCTGTAGTTCTGAAATATACTGTATCTTCTCTTGAGATACTGATTTATCCTTGCCTACATATTTTGCTGTTCTGTTAAGTCACATTTCTGCTTCTGTTCACAAGCAGGATACTGTACTGTATCCCTTGCTGCACTCTCCTCACCCAGCTGATTACAATCATTCTGACTTCTATGTGATGGCGTTTTCATCTCCATTTTCTTGTCCTACACATACAGTATTTTCTCTTGAATTTTTCCTTCCTCTCTTCCTCCTTCTCCAACTTTTCTATGACTTGCTTCTTATATTCTGGAGTATTAGCATTTCCATTCTGCATCATTATCTGTAATTAACCATGACTATCAGGCCACAACCACATTGAATTCTCTTGCAGAAGCATTATCATAGGTAATATTTAAAAGTCTTCTCTCCTACTTTAAATGGCAGCAACTACAACAAAAATCTTGCCGTTTTAATCTTATTATTCAAGGTGACAGCTTACTCATACATGTACAATATCACTATAATTCTATTGTATAGCATTCATATTATATTCTTTTAGAGTTATTGCTGTACGTGAAAAATTGGCTGATTTGAAACAACAAGTTGAAATGTTAATACAGTCACAGATGACTGAACATACTGAACAGATTGAAATACAGAAAAGTTTACCTTCCAAAGGACTTGGAACTCATACAGGAAAGGTGCTATTGGATGAAAACACAAAGGTATCTAAACAATTATCAAAATCAATTATCTGAAATTATCAGAAATAATAGATCATGGATATCTGTGTATACAACATATAAAGACGGGCTCTTATTCATAGAACTGTTCTTGATTGGAATGTTCCTTTTTAAAGCATGACTGTTTTATGAAAAAAGCAGTAGTATCTCACTCAAGGTTAAAGAATCTCTTGTACTAAAAATGTGTTTGAAATGTTTGCTTGGAATTTATATGTATTTTTGTTCTAACAGAGGAGGATCATATTTTATGCTGTGTTTTAATATTTTTCAAGGGATAAATTTTATTTTACATCTATGTAACAGATTGGTAATAGTACTATATAATGTTTATATTATTCTGCTTTTTTAGAATTACTGCTATATTTTGATTCCCCCACATACTGATTTTATTGTTGAATATTAAACAAGCCTTACTTAAGAACAAATGGCAAGATTTCTGCAAAGTTCTTCCTCACTGATCCTTCAAGAGTTCTTTGAGAAAGTCAGCAACCAGATACATCATAAGGAGCCTAGTAATAGCTTTTCCAACTAACACATTTTATTAAAACACACCTTTCATGATCTGTAACTCACTTCATCAGATGCATAGAGCAGCTAGATTGATATAAGATTTAAATTGGAATGAGATGGAGAGTGGATAAGGGAGGGAAAGACAGCTTTGTTACGCAAATGCAAGTTACATATGACTCAAGTACAAGTACCTTATCAATCAAATCTCTGCTTTAACAGCATCACCACGTTACTGTCTCAACAGCACCTTTGAGTGAGAGATTGCTGAACTCACATACTTCAAAAAGTTTCAGCAATCTTAAAATCTTCACAAACATTGTGGGCTATTTAACCCATTTTCAGAATATTATATATATTGGGGGAGTTATTATGCTGCAAAGGTACTGTTTCTTCTTTTTCAAAGCCAGTGTAACCTAAAAAGCCATGTCAGCATTTTTGCAATCTTACACATTTTATTAACAATATACATTATATGCACATAGTTGTTGGTTAGAGACCAAAATTGGAATTGATAATTCCTTTGGTAAAGGAACTTTGCAGTCACTAAGTAGAAAATCACATGTCCATGGCAGGCTTATGATGTAACTTCACATTCAGTCATTAAGTGAATCACCACAGTTACTAATCATGTCATCAGATGACCATAAGTTATTATTTTACTTCCATGCTTTTCATAAATTCTGCTTGTTGCAAGCCAGTTGGGGAGCATGCAAATGATAATCATATCAATCAATCACTTACCATCGTTAATTTCAAACAATTATTAAATGAGGCAGGCAGTAAACGAAAACTCTCTATGCTGTTTAGTATATAGCATAAACTATAATAATATAGCTGTAATTACTTCTACATAGCAAAGCTGAGGTGGTGTTTATCTGTTGTTTTGATAGTTTCAGATCCTTACAGCTTTTCTCAAGCAACTATTCTCATGTTCCAGGCAAGTCTCTAGGGGTAAAATGAACAAGGGTTCCATCTTTTTATATTTTCAGATAGCTGCCACTTGTTTTGTTGTCTTTTTTCTAGCAACTATTTTGCAAAGGAAGTTCTAGGGAGATGTATTCTGAACAGGATTAGTAACAGTGGTGAGATATCCTGGTAATGTAGAAAATGTTATCGGTTGCATTCTAGTCTGTCTGAAACTTGTGGAGCGTTTTAGAAGACAGATACAGGTCAATTCAGTGGTGGGATCCCCTGGTCCGGTCTGGTTCTATAGAACCGGTAGTAAAACTGGAGGGAGGATCTGCCCACCGGCCACGACATCATCATGGGTGATCTGCGCATGCGCAGAAGCTTCTGCACGTACGCTCCCATTGCGAACCGATAGCAAAGATAAGTACAACCCACCGCTGGGTCAATTATATTACAGTAATCTAAGATGGAGATGTTAATCACGAATCTTTAATTCTTAAAGGCTGAACTCACATATACATTCAGATGCTAAAAAATATTGGAGTAACTTGCTTTTTTGTATATCTAAGCATAGGAATGTTAACTAATTCCAGAGGTTTAGGGATTACCAAGCACCATTAATGTATCTCTCTCTATATATGTCCATGCATACCATTGGACCCAGGGGTAAAATGCTCCCGGTTCAGACTGGATCGCCTGATCCGCTAGCGATGGAGATGGGTGATTCAGAGAACCGGTAGCAAAAATCCCTGCCCTCCTCCCCATTGCCCAGCTGAGCCGTGCAATCATCAGAGGTTTCTGATGATCGCGCTTCAGAAGCTTCTGATGATCGCGCGGCTCAGCTGAGATCATCAGAGGCTTTTAAAAGCATTTTTACTACAACCTCTTCGGCCGAAGAGGTTATGGAAAAAATGTTTTTAAAGGGAAATAAAGCCTCTGCCGATCAGGCAAGTCAGCTGAGATCGTCAGAGGCTTTAAAAAAAAAAACCTGAAAGCCTCTGCCGATCAGGCAAGTCAGCTGGGATCGTCAGAGGCTTTAAAAGCATTTTTTTACAACCTCTTCAGCCGAAGACGTTGTAGAAAAAATGGTTTTAAAAGTTAAAAAAAAAAAAAAGTTGGCCACGGCCACTCAGTCATATTACCCCCCACCAAGCCATGCTCACAGAACCGGTAGTAACAAATTCTACATTTCACCACTGACTGGACCTAGTGGCTGCTTGACCCAAGATGACTGTTGGGTGGCTTACATTTCAAAAGTAGGAACAATAAAATGAAAAAGAAAAGAAAAAGAACCTGTACTTCTGGAAAAAAGACAAATTTAATAAACCAGAACAAAAAATTAATACAATTCTAGACAATAGCCTAGCCCAATGTTGCGATGGGGGGTGGGGTGGGGTGAGCCAGGTTTTCAGAAATTTTTGGACGGATGTAAGGTGAAAGACATATAGATATCCAAGAGGATGCAATTCCAGATGGCAAGTGATGCAGCAGGTACATTTCCCGAAGCCTGATAAATGACATTGATTGATTGGATCTGGAGCATTCCACCTGATCTTACTATAAAGATAAGAGCCTGTAGTACAGTGGACTAAAGCACTGTTATTAACAACTGCTGCTTGCAATTACTGCAAGTTCAAATCTCACCAGGCTCAAGGTTGACTCAGCCTTCCATCCTTTCAAAGGTAGGTGAAACGAGGACCCAGATTGTAGGGGCAATAAGATGACTTTGTATAAATATACAAAAGTATGAAGGCTATTGCTTAACGTATTGTAAGCCGCCCTGAGTCTCCGGAGAAGGGCGGCATATAAATTAAAGCAAAAAAAAAAAAAAAAAAGTCATTGGAGCACTTTCAGCTATAAACTGCTTCCCTTTCTGAGTAAAAATGGATACTGATTGAAGAAAGGGAAGAAAATTGTGGTGGGGTGATAACCATCTTTGAAGGCATTTTATTGACAGCTAATTAAAGTTTAAAAAAATAAAAAAATCAGCACAGTCAATTAGAAAATTTCTTCATGATCTTTTACTGATAATCTGCAAAGTATTGTCAGACCAGTTGCTGGTTGATGAATGTTAAAGAAAAGTAGACATTTATTTTCAAAGGAGAAGACATTTATCATGTGACAGATTTTCTTCAATATCTACTCTGATATGATTAATGAGGCATGTGTTGGCATTTCATCTGATGGGTGCTGTGACAGCACAGACAACAGTTTTCTATTTTATTATTAAAATACTGGGTTTTGAATGGATGACAAATATTTCAGGTGGTAATATAAATATAATCAATTTAAATGGCAGTATTATTTTGTCAAAGCTAATTTAATTGACAGTGGAATATTCAGGTATTTTGACACTGAAAATGTGAATTTGAAGTGATTATATGAGTGCAAATATTTGGGCTGGTTTGTCACATTAGGAATAGTGAATTTTCATTGTTGAACTATAGAAGCTATTAATATTGTACAAAGACTAATCTTAGAAAATGGATTTTTCATTATATTTACAAATTTGCAGCTGTTTTAGGAACAATTCCATTTCTATGTATAATATGTATTTTTATTGTTCTGGTATTGTAGATTTATTTTAGATGAAGTTTATACTAAGAACCTAGCAATCAACTCTCCCAGATTTGAATATGTTTGTATTTGAATTAATGATCTTAGTATTTTTCTTATTCTTTCAATGTTAATGAAAGACTGAGAGATCAAGTATTAGTGTGCTTTTTTGTTCCATCATGGCCGCATCATTAAGGCTTATTATTAAATTAGATTTAGATACTCAGAAACTAAATACAAATATAATAGATTGTTGTAGAATTATTGCAAACATGTATGGGGAACAGGAGTTATAGATGCACTATATTTCTTACAAGATGGATTTCTTAAAAATAATGTACTTACTTGTTTTCATCAGACAAAATGAAATTATACCTAAATTATAATTATCAGGAAATTTGGGGTAATAACTTTTAATGAAGTAGTTATAGATGCATAATCGAAGAGTATAGCATAAGAAAAATTAAAAAATAAGCAATATAGTTTTTTCATTCTCGCTAGACTGATAGTAAAATCAGACTGTATTCATTTCAGTATATTAAACATTATAGTATTTGGAATTATCTTAGAGGAGGGGAAGGGATAGCCAAAACCTGTGCTACTGAGGATATTATGTCTTAATGACTGCCTCTGAATGCACTAGTGCAGTGATGGCGAACCTTTTCGGCACCAAGTGCCGAAAAGGGAGCGCATGCTTTGCGCGTGCACATCTGGGCAACCACCTGGAAGAGGAGCTGCCCAGGGTGCATGCACCTGCCCAAAAATGCACTTCCGGTTTAAGCTACTGAACTTCCAGTTTCAGCCAGCTACTCTTCTGAATTTCTGGTGTGCATGCCTGCACAACGATCAGCTGGCCAATGCTCATGCTCATTCAGGAAAACGGAAGACCAGCTCTTCCAGTTTCCGGCACTGCTGCATGCAAAAAGGCCAGCTGATCATTGCATGCACATGCATGCCAGAAACCCGGAAGAGGAATTTATTTATTTATTTATTTATATTTAAATTTATATACCGCCCTTCTCCCGAAGGACTCAGGGCAGTGAACAGCCAAAGGTAAAAAACACAGAATACAAAAATTTAAAAGCAGTTTAAAATATATTAAACAATTTGGCCCCACAATTAAAATACCCCATTTAAAATTAAAATTAAAATTAAACAATTGGAGGAGTTAGGCCAGCCCAGCTTGTTGAAATAAAAAAGTCTTGAGGGCCCGGCGGAAAGTTCGTAAATCCGGAATTGTCTGTATCTCCGGGGGGAGCTCGTTCCAGAGGGCAGGTGCTCCCACAGAGAAAGCTCTCCTCCTGGGGGCTGCCAGTTGATATTGTTTGACCGATGGCACCCCGAGGAGCCCATCTCTGTGGGAGCGTACTGGCCGGTGGGAGGCTCTCGGTGGCAGAAGGTGGTCTCGTAGATATCCAGGTCCTAAGCCATGGAGCGCTCTAAAGGTGATCACCAACACCTTGAATCGCACCCAGAGCACCACCAGAAGCCCATGCAGCTCACGCAGGAGAGGTGTTACATGGGAGCGCCATGATGCTCCCATAATCACCCGCGTGGCCACATTCTGGACCAGTTGGAGCCTCTGGATGCTCTTCAAGGGGAGCCCCATGTAGAGAGCATTGCAGTAGTCCAGGCGGGAAGTGACGAGGGCATGAGTGACCGTGTGCAAGGAGTCCCGATCCAGAAAGGGACGCAACTGGCGAATCAGGCGAACCTGATAAAAAGCCTCCCTGGCCACAGCCGTCACATGTTCTTCTAAGGACAGCCGTGCATCCAGGAGGACACCCAAGTTGTGAGCCCTCTCCGTGGGGGCCAATGACTCTCTCCCAATAGTCAGAGATGGCACTAACTGACTATATCGGGACGCCAGGAGCCACAGCCACTCTGTCTTGGATGGGTTGAGCTTGAGCCTGTTTCTCCCCATCAAGATCCGCACGGCCTCCAGACACCGGGACATCACGTCAAGGGCATCATTGGGGTGGCCTGGGGTGGAGATGTACAGCTAAGTGTCATCAGCGTACTGATGAAACTTTACCCCAAATCCACGGATGATCTCACCCAGCGGCTTCACATAAATGTTGAACAAAAGGGGCGAGAGGACCGACCCCTGTGGCACCCCACATACAAGGCACCTCAAGGTCGACCTCTGGCCCCCCGTCAACACAAACTGCAACCGGTCAGAGAGGAAGGAGGAGAACCACCGCAACACGGTGCCCCCCACCCCTAATCCCTCCAACCGGCGCAGCATGATGCCATGGTCGATGGTATCAAAAGCCTCTGAGAGATCTAATAGGACCAGGACAGAGGAACAACCCCTGTCCCGAGTCCTCCAGAGATCATCAACCAATGCAACCAGTGCCGTTTCCGTGCTGTACCTAGGTCTGAAGCCCCACTGGAACGGATCAAGATAAACCGCTTCATCCAGGTACTGGGGGAACTGTCGCGCCACCACACTCTCAACAACCTTCGCCACGAAGCGGAGGTTGGAGACTGAATGGTAATTTGCTAAAACAGCCGGGTCCAGGGATGGCTTCTTGAGGAGGGGTCTCACCACTGCCTCTTTCAAGGCGGTGGGAAAGCAACCCTCTCTCAAAGAAGCATTGATAAACCTCTGGAGCCAGCCTCGTGTAACCTCCCGGGAAGCCAGCACCAGCCAGGAGGAACACAGGTCCAATAAACATGTGGCCGCGCTAAGTCTATCCAGAATCCTGTCCACATCTTCGGGGGTCACAGGGTCAAACTCCTCCCAGATAACACTCTCAAGACCTGCCTCCATCACCCCACCTGCATCTACCCAATCAAAGTCCAAGCCTTCCCGAATTTGAGCAATTTTGTCATGCAGATACTGCACAAAATCCTCAGCCCTACCCTCCAAGGGGTCCTCCCACGCTCCAAGATGGAGCAGGGAGCAGGTCACCCTAAACAGGGTGGCCAGGCGGTTATCTGCAGACACAATAAGAGCGGAAAAATAATTTAATTTTGCCGTTTTTATCGCCACTAGGTAGGTCTTAATATGAGACCTCACCAGTGTTTGGTCGGATTCGGAAAGGCTAGCCCTCCAACTGCTCTCCAGGCGTCTTTTCCTGCGCTTCATTTCCCTCAGCTCCTCGGAGAACCAGGCGCCAGGTGCGATGCCACAATGGAGGCGACATGGTTCCGTGTGCCACTTTGGGCACATGTGCCATAGGTTCGCCATCACGGCACTAGTGCATGCACTAGTATTCAAGCATACTGATGTGTAGTTATATCATGATATACAAACACACCATATTTTCACCTAGATATACAGGAACAAACTCATTCTCTGCCTTTTCAGTGTACTATAGTAGATTTAAACTTTTCCTTTTTGTATTATAATATAATTTTGTGCCTCCTGCTGCTGGTTTCATTGGGAGACATGTAATTTAAACTGGGAAGACATATATAAAATTATTTCCATATTGAGATTTTATTTCCAAAAATCTTTTATATAGCAGGCTAGGATGTTGCAGAAGAGCTGGGATACTGTGAATGCCATTTTTTCTCAGCACATTTCATGGCAACAGAAGAAGAGATGGGGAAAATAACACATTCAGGGAGTGAAATAAAGAAAATCCAAGGAAATGGAAGCAACAGTGGGATGAAAATTGTATAGAAAGAAAATTGTATAGAAGACTTTTGATATCTGATGACTAGAAGAACTCTGCTATTATAGAAATGTTTGAAATATTTAGAAATGTAAAGCATAAGAAAAAAAAATCTGCCTCTGCCTCCCAGCAATTTGCCTCTTTGCAGCAGACAGCAAACAACCTGGTCAGCTTCAGCACAGCCTGATTTAGCACAAGCAGCTGATTGGTGGTTGGATCTGCCTCCTGGAATACCACCGATCAGCTGCGGGGATCGCTGCCGCCCAGTGCCGCTGCCTCCGTGCACCCCATTTTCAGCTTCCATGCCTCCTGCTTCTGGTCCGTTCCAGGTGGTGGGGATTGCTGCTGCCGCCTATTCCCACCGGCTGGAACAGGCTGAAAATGGGACGTACAGAGGCCGAAAATGGGGTGCACAGAGGCGGCAATAGGTGGAAGTGGGATGGGTGGTGCCAATGGGCAGCAGGGATCTCCACAGCCTGGAACAGCTGATTGGTGGTATTCTGGGAGGCAGATCCAACCACCAATCAGCTGCTTGGGCTAAATCAGGCTGTGCTGAAGCTGATCAGGCTGTTTGCTGTCTGTTGCAAGGAGGCAAATTGCTTGGAGGCAGAAGCCGAAAGGTGGGGGCTGGTGGGTGGGCAGAGCTTCGGCAACATTAGCTCTATAAAATGCGCAGATATTTCCACCCACTTTGGGAGAGAGAGTGCATCTTATAGTCTGAAAAATATAGTAATTCCTCAATTGAAGCAGACAAATCATGACTGAATGACTGAACGCAAATGAGAGTTGTAATGTCAGTTATCACAGTTCAGAGAAGAAAATGTTACACATCCACAATTCATGATCAGGAACACAATTTTCAACTAAAAACATTTGCAATGTCTTATTTCTATTTTACTTTTATTTTCCTTGGAATAGCAAGACTTGGTCTCCTAAAATTTTCTACTGGATAATTAAAAAAAACATCTTTTGGTTTTTAAGAAAATACTTTTTAACTTTGGCCAAACATGTTGACAGTATGATATGAGAAATTAAAATAAAGTAGTTCTTATTTTCTTATTATTTATTTAGGAAATGGTTAAAGTGTGCTTTTCTGAAATAAAAGCCTTGTTGTCTATCAGCACAGATCACTCTGCACCGCTTACAGAGGTAAATTATTTAGATTTTTAAATATATATTTTCTCAATTATAATTCTTTTCTAGTAGGTTTCTGTTATTGTATTCTGGAAAGCATATTTTTTAATATTCTGAATATGAAGTTATTTGTATGATTATAATTTTTGTTGTCTGGAATATAAACTCTTCTTAGGTAAAAGGGCACAATACATTATACAATATGTACATTTTGTCATGTGTTATATTAATAGTAGTGGATAATTAATGAAACATATTAGTGTATTAAATATTTTGTTCCTTCTCAGGTGATCTAAAAAAAGAAAAAGTTTTATGTATGCTTTTGTAAAGCACAATACATACTTGTAGCTTATTTGTTTTTATGTAAACTTGTAAGATTGGATCATAAGGTATCCATACAGAGAAGGACATGCTGTAATGGTGATGCCTTTAAGGCAACAGTCCCCAACCTTTGTGGCCTGGTAGCCTGGCGGATGAGGGGGGAGAGGGGAACTGGGCCATAGCAGAAGGCCAGTGCTCCAGCCAGCCACTTACGTGGCCCATTCCTGAATAGGCCATGGCCCGTTAGTGGGGTTGGGGGCCCCTGCTCTAAGAGTACCACTGTGAGGTATTTTTTTTATTATCCCCCCCCCCCGTATACTACAAGCAAACCTCACTTAAAATTCATTAATTCAAGAGGTTTACAATCCTCAAAATTCTGGCCATTGCGGTGGTTCAATAGTGACATGAATAAAAGTTGGACACACTTTGACCCACTCACATTTTATTTATTTATCCTGCCTTTATTATTTTTACAAATAACTCAAGGCAATGGAACATATCCTACACATCTTTCTCTTATTTTCTTCACAATCCTGTGAGGTGAGTTGGGCTGAGAGAGTGAGTGACTGGCTTAATATCACCCAGCTGACTTTTCATGGCTAAGGTGGGATTTGACCCCCAGGTAGAAGGGTGCAGTGGCAAGTAGGGCTGGACAGGGGCAATTGGCAGCAGAGGTGGCTAAAAGGACAGAGATGGGGTGGTGGATAAGCAGATGAGGGAACTGAAGAGGAGGCAGAGGAAGCTATCCAATCCCTTACCATAGGTTTATCAAGCCTCAGGGCTGGGAGGGACCAAAATTGGAATGGCTTGGTTTGGAGTGGGTCCTCAGTTAATGACTGGTAGAGTTTGGTTAATGGCAGCAGCGGGGAGTGACAGGATTGCTGTTGGTAAGTGATGTGGTCATGTGACATCACTGTTCAAAACTGAATTGCACAGTGATGGAGGCACTAGTTCCAACTGCCATGGTAACTTTGAGGGCTTACTGTACTGTGTAATTCAGAATCAGTTCAGGGAATTACAGTGACAGGCAGATCTCTTTCCATGTATGTATGTATGTATGTATGTATGTATGTATGTATGTATGTACGTACTGTATATTAGGCAGATTTTTTTCCTAGTTTTCTGTAGTTAAGATCTTGTTAGAATATGTGATATTAACCAAAAGGCTGAGAATTGTTCCTAATAAAAATGTTCCTCTCAAAGACTATCTTTAGCTAAGATATTCAGCCACAACTTAATTCAAACACAAGCATATTGCTTAGTCAACGCTTTTTCTCTTTTTTCCAGATCCCATTTGAGATCACTCTACCATCAATAAAAAATTTAAGCAAATTGTTTGATCCCGCAAATGGATGTGTAATAATGGCAGGAAATGTTTTCAGCTGGATACTATCTCTGCTTACTTGAATGGTTTTTCAGCAGTAAAACTTGACATGTTTCATTTAATGATCGATTTGACAGCTTTTTGGATCAATATTCCATCACTGAAACAACTGGAACTCTGTTACTTGAAGCCTAGAACTGATTCATAAAAATCTTTAGGTTTATAAAATATTTTAAGCAGTAATAATTTAAATAATTAACATAGTCAGTTGATTTTTGCAATTTTTGTTGCTCTTGGTTTAGAAATATTATTTTTAGTGCTTCGTTTTATACATCTTGGTTTAATATGGTTTCAGTTTCATTGTTTTCTTAAAAAATAATGAAAATAAAACCAGTTAACACAGTTCTTTTGAATGCATTCTTAAATGAAAACCATTCCATTTAACTATATGAGATATTTTTCTATTTGCCTTAATTGTTTAAAAGTAATTATTTGGCACCAGATATGATATTCTTCCATCAATGTCTAGTAGCAATCAGTGTGTTGCAGCTTTTCATTGAATGTTTTATTTGTATTTCTAGTTACATGTGTATATTGTTAGAAATAGGATGTCAAAATACTGTAGAAGTGACACTTGCTTAATCTTGTCTGTTACTTTTGGTAATATTTATTTTTCAAAGTTAGAAATACAAATATTATTTCCATTCTTCTCTTTTAGTTGCTATAAACAGCGAGATCGTTGCCTGTATATTTGTATCTGCAGACTACAAGAAGAAAGGAATAAAACCACATTCCTATTAATGCACTTGGCATAGGTGTAAAATAACAAATAATTAAAAACTGATAACACCACATTAACATCTATATATCAACTTAGTTTTCAAAGATTCAGTAAGAAGCAGGAGAAGTATTTTGCACTATTCTCCTGAGTAAAAAAGATGTATAAAAATCCCTTATTCAAACTACTCAGTTAAAAATGCATAACATTTCCTCATTTTCTCTTATTGTTTTTTATATCAAGCAAAAAGCTGCATTTTTGTGAAATGTACTATATTTTTACCAATACTGTGGATGTAAGGATGTATGAAAACACCATGTAATAAATTCAAATTATTAAATTCTGCAAGATGCTAGACTAGAGTGAGGCCTGCTTCCCCATTTTGCCTTCAATAAACATTTATTTAGGTTGCTCTTTCCTGTTCTGTTGCCTTAGTTATATTGGATCACAATTTCTACCAACCACCATCAACATTGCCCTAAACACTAGTAGAAGAAAAAAAACTCGAGCAAAACTTCAAAAACATCAAAGCATTCTTCTCCCTTTGAATAACTGCCCACAAACAAGCCTGTCCAAAGACATTTTTTTTGCTGCCAGCACCTGCTATTTTGCAGGCTTGATATTGAAGCCCCCGTTTATTTCAGTAACAAATTGAGTCTAATTTCTCATATAGAATTCAAGGGAGGGAGTAGGGAGAAACATATTGCCATCTGTCTAGGCACAGCAGGTCTGTGTTCAGCCTCAAGAGAATCTGCATCATTAAAGAAGTTCTGTCAGCATCTCTTCAGTAATATGAAACAATGCAATATTTATTTAAGACGTTTTATATGGTCATCCATCTTAAGCCAAACTCTGGGTGGCTCACAGTCCCAAAATAAAAATAATATATGTCAACAGTGAAATAAAAAAAAAAAAAGACCTGGCACCACAGCTAAATTTTCCCATGCAGCCCACAAGTTTGTCCCACACTAATTTCACCCTACCCGGCAACTGAAGGAAAAGTCAAATCTTGAAATGCTTTTAAGAAGGCTAAAGCAGTAGGGAACTCGTCAAGGGACACAACATAGGGCAAAATGTAAAATGGCAGCATTTAAGGATCAGGAACATCCCTATTCGATCCAATGTGGTGAGTTGAGCTTATGTCCTCAGGGAAAGGTGGTCCTGCAAATAACTGGTTTCATACTATGTGGGGCTTTAAAGTTAATAACCATCCTCTTGCACTTGGAAGGAAACGAAGTCAGTGCAGCTTGTGTTATTATGGTGCAGTTATGCAGGTGCCCACCACTGCATGCTGCTACAATCTGGGTGATCCTCAAGGTCAGCCCCATGTAGAGTATATTGCAAGCAGGAAATAATCAAGGCATGAATGACCTTGAAAGGGTCCAATTGGCACACAAGGGGAATCTACAAAGAACAACATAGCTGCTACCTGTTTTTCGAGTAAGAGCCACTAGTCTATGAAGAGAGTAGAGACCCAAATTGTGCACCAGTCAAGTATGGGAAAGCACAATCCAGGGTCAAAGATATCAAGGCCTGAGGAGCCAAAAAAGCAAACGTCACCGAAGCCAATCGCTGGCTCCTTTAAAATTACAACCCATCATATTTTGTGAATGAGAGTTCACTAGCTGTACACAGCGTTGTCCTCTGTTGCCAATAGTAGATCAAACGAAAAGAGGAGAAAAAACGACAAATGAAAACCTGCTGGAAGGTAGGTAGGGATGCCCAGACTTTATCACAGACAAAGATTCGCGCATATGATGAAAGGAACTCTAGTTCCTCGAACGTTTATGCCACGATCCGTTAGTTTTTCCAATGCTCCCGAATTCTTCCATCACTTCTCCTCTCCTCCCGGGTGGCTCTTGCTTTCTTCAGAGCGCAGTGTAAGATTACAGCAAGCATTTGCAAAATAGGAGAAACGAACCCCGTGCCATTAAAAAAAGTTCTACCAAGACCCTTTTTACTCGCTCTCCCCATTTAGCAACACCTGCTCTTCGCTAAAGAAACGCCGTCGCGGGGACAACTTTTTCGGGCTAAGCCTCGCCTCCTCGCTTCCCCCCTCCCTCCCTTCGTTCCTATTTACGGCACACGAGCGCACTTCGCTAATTTTGCTCTTTCTCGGCTGCCGTAAAAGGGTGGGTAGCGGGCTCTCGCGGTGGCTGTTGGGACGGTCTGCTAAGTTGTAAGAAGCGGGGAAAAGTCGGCTCGAAGCGCTTTGGGTCGAGCGCGCTGGTTGCCTTGGTTTGTGGAAGGACAACGCTGGAAGGGAGGAAAAAATGACCCGGACTGGCTAAAAAGACTGTTATCCGGGGTGTCCCGGAGAAGTGGGAAGGTGAGGGCGAAGCGAGATCTCTTGTAGTCTGAAGCGGAATAGGTCGGGAGCCCGGCACGCCCTTTGCTTCGTCCTGGAGCTGCCGGTCGTCTGGGGTCCCTCCCTCAATTTTGGCTCTGGCTCTTCGCGGTCTCCGTAGTGACACAGCGGACCCTGACCGAGCAGGATTGGCCCCTGAGCTTCCTCGAATGGGAGGCAGGCAGCTTTAGGTGCGAAATAGTAACCCTGCGCCTCCCCGCTGGAAAGTCTCCTCCGCTGTTTCTCCTGTGCCCCAGAAACGCTTCTTTCTCCCCAGTTCTTTGTGTGTCTCAACTAAGTTGGTTTGGTTCAGTAGGGTTTATCTTTAGAAATGCGACTCGGTATGGATTAGGAATTCTGGCTATGGCTTCCTCACGTTTCTTCTACAGGAGGGCTCCCATAGAAGAATTGGATGGTTTGATTCACTTGACTGGCTAGGCAAGCAGTTACAATGAAAGGCTTCCACCGATTTTTGGAAAGCTCCTGGAGCAACAAATGTCTTGTGTACTTTTTTAAAAAAAACATGGAGTTCAAATTTATGCGCTGTGTGGCAAATGTAAACAATACATGGAATTTAAAGCATTTTTCTTAATTTGTGGTGAACGTAATTTTACAACATTTTATACAGCCTATTTAATGGGTCATAGAGAGAGAAACGTATAACATTCCATCCATCCATCCATCCATCCATCCATCCATCCATCCTGTTTAGTTCCAAAAACAGTACATTGTGCTGTTATTGTGCAGTCAAAAGCAGGCCACTCCTGGGCTTCATTCTCTGGAAACCTGCCTGTCATATAGATATGACGTATTTATGAAAATAATTATGAATTACTATCCACTTGATTATTTTCTTCAGAGCTTGCATCTAGAAGAGAATTAACTTTATTACATAAAACTGCAATCACTGAGGCATTGTCCTCATTCAATTTTTGACATGCAAGATGAAATGCCTCAACCCTTGTTGGGCTACATTTTTGTACCTTACATGGACTATAAAGTAAATTCTGACAAAAACATAATTTAAACCATCTAAATTATTCAATGTTCCAGATGTGGTTTTTTTTTTAGCTTTTTATGGCATTTTAAAATTAGATAATTTATCTTGATTGAAGAATTATATTTGTGAATAGTTACTTGAAGTGTGTAAATGCCCTTTGCACCGGTGCTCTACATTGAAAAGTATGAAAGCCGCTCAATTACATTCAAAAGCATTCAGTGTTTCTTGGAATTAACGTTTTTAAATGGAAAGCTACAAGTCACTGATCTTGGATGATGATACACTTCTCCATTATAACATGGTTGCAATCTAAAATTCTTCTTGGATCCAGTTCCTGATTAATTAGCAAGGGACAGTTGTGGTCAGGAAGTCCCTTTGCAAAGATTTATCTGGTGTGCTAGTTGTGTTTCTTCCGGGATTGTGTTTCTTCTGGGATTTATCTGATGTGCTAGTTGTGCTTCTGGTATAATCTAGTGTCCTAGTTGTGCATCTTCGCGCAAATTCCCTTTGTATAGATATATCTGGTATGCTAATTGTGCTTCTTCCAGGATCGGGAATCCTAGTCACTTCATAGCTCAACTATTGCAACATGCTCTACATGGAGCTGTGTTTTAAGACCATTCTGAACCTTCAACTGGTCCAGAATGCAGCAATATGTGTATGCACATGTGATACCTCTATTCCATGAGCTGCACTGGTTGCCTGGTTTGTTGCAAGTATGATTCAAGGTGTAGGTTATGACTTATAAAACCCTACATGGCATAGGGCCTGGTTATTTGAGGGACTGCCTTTTTCTCGTGTGTCTGATTTGAGCCGATGGGATTGGTACATTCCAGGAGTGCTTGATTAAATAATGCCATCTATCAAGGCCCAGGAAATGTAACTTCTCTGTCACTGTTATTGCCTTCTAGAATGAGATTTCCCTGAGATCTAGGTGAGTCCCAACCTGTTAGGGTTCTAGAGGACCTTAAAGATCTGGCTGTTTTGTCATCCCTTGGCTTAGGATGTCTGGAGTTCTCTGCTGGATGTTAGATGTTGTTGGGATGCTCGAGAGTTTTGCAGGGTTTACTTGTTCTTTTTCTTATGTTTAGCTTTATTTTGTTCTTTTTAATTATATTGCCTGGTGTATAGTGAACCACACAGAGTTGTTTGAACCAGGTGTCATAAAATAAAATAAATCTGCCGAACACCTTTTTTGTAGGTCGAGCTTGTAAATGTTATGATTGTTTTTGATTGCAGAGTCTACTGCAATAACATAATGGTCTTGCCATTGTAGTATTCTTTTGAACTAGGTTTATGGACTGCATAGTGTTTGAGTCAAAATTTGTTATGACCCAGATGATCAAGGCAAGGCAGGCCTCTAGAGAGTCTTTTATTTTTCTCAATAAATGTTCCTCCAGTGGCCCTCCAATGACTGGTAAGGCTCCACTCCCATACTACCCTGAAGACAGCCATCCTCAGTCCACCAAACAATAGCCTCTATAGTACAAATAAAGTCCATAGAGTAGGAGCACACTCACAGGGCAAGATCCAGTGCACAAGACAGAATGCAGGCACAAGACAATGGCAGTCCTCAGGGCAAAGAAAAAGTCCAAGGTAGGGAGCAATTCCAAAGGCACAGCAAAGCAAAGGGCCAAAAGCATAAGACAAGGGCAAGGTCTAAGACAAAAGGTGAGAAGCAATCTTCCAAAGAAGGCAAGGCCAATGGCAACAGGCATAAATCGAAGCCAGGGGAGTATAAGCCAAAGCAAAAAAAAAAAATTGTTCCTTACAAAGACTAACTCCCCATGGATAACTCCCCTCCAGGTGTTCCTTATGAGGAGGGGTGGGGTGATCTTCTCCCAAGTAGCCTTGCATCCTTTCTCTGAGCTTGCCTACACTCCACTCTCTGTGTCCTTGGATCGAGTTGAGGAGGCAGCTGTTCTTCATCAGAGGATATCTGCCTATCAACCCCACTGCCTTTCTCTGTGAAAGCAGGCAGCTCTCTGCCTGGTCGACCACCTTCCCCAATGCCTGAGGTGGCCTGGGATAGCCTCGTCCTCAGCCCCTGGCCTCTCCAAACATGCCAAGAGAAATGTGCCATTACTGTCGGACGGTCCTGGTTCCAACTCCTCCTCTTCCTCTGAACCGGGCTCTGATGGAGCCATGACAAAATTTAATGTAGATTATCAACTATTTGTGTGCTCTGTTTGTTCAGTGCCAAAACCAAATTAGCAGTTTATTTCCATAAAAGCAAAAGCATAGTAAAAATCTAAAACCAGAATTAATACAAAATTCTATTGTAATACAGTTTGCACAATTTATGATCATTTCTTCCTTCCAAAACATGTTTTTAATAGCTTCCTGAAAGCCAATAACAAAAGTGTCAGTTTAATTTCAAGAGGGGATTCTATTTCACTATATGGGGTTGCAACTGAAAAACATAATGAAAAAGCAGACCTATTAAGTATCTCAGGGCCAAAACATGTAGACCTTGTACATTAAACCCAGCATTGACTTTTATCTGGAAATGTCTGGTAATTAGTAAATGACCACAAGGCAGGCATTGTATGATTATAGGGACTTTGATTTGCTAATATATAGGCTGCTGCATTTGAATCAGTTATAGCTTCTGAGTGGTCTTCAGGGACAGCCCTGTGTAGGATATGTTGTAGTAATCTAAGCAAACTCACATGATGCCAATGAGTTAATGCAGAAAGAGTAACTCAGCCCAGACTGGAGTGCAGCTGGTGCACCAAAGAGAGCTGGCAAAGGACATCTGGCCATGGCCTTATTTTGCACTATTTATGAGCTCATAATGACCCCAAATCCCTGACCTGCACTTATAGGAGGAGTCCCATCATGTCCTTTTAATGGGAAATATGTCTGTGCGTTAATCAAGAGCTAAAGTAGAAAATGTTGCCACTGCTGTTTCATCTGTATTATTTTTCTATATAATGGTATTGACAGAGAAATTAAAAAACATTATACCTTTTGAAAGGGGGGGGGAGAGAAAGAACCTACTTTATATTTTCAGAGTTTGAATGCTCTCTCCTTTTTGGCTGGACTTCCAAGTAACTTGACAAGCAATTCTTTTAAAAGAGTGTCCCCCCCCCCCATCCTTGAGATTTTGTACACAGTCTATGAGATTTTGTGAACACGGGATACATTTTTTTAAAAAAAATAAATCAGCCTTGATACATTCACCTACATTTTTTCCTTCAAAAATTCTCTAGGAGCTTTGGGAGTAAACAGTGCAAGCAAGCAGCACAGCGGCTTTCATCCTACAGAAATATTTCATGAAGTTTGACACCCATGTCACAGGATTTCTTTGTAGTTCTTTCTATAGACTCATTGAACCATTTAGATTTAAACAGAGTTGCTATTCATTTGTTTTTAGGCATGCAAATATGAGTGACTTTTGGGAATGTATTTGTAACCTTGAAAATTACTTTTAACAAATTACTTTTATTATACTGTTACAAGGCTAACGCTGATTCATTTTTGAATCATTACTACTGCATGAATGACCCTGCCTTGCCTGCTTCCAGTCTGACTAGCAGCACCAGAAGGCATTCACCTTTCAGATTATATTCTTACTTCCATCAACTAGGACCAGTCAAGAACTGCTGAAGTCATAGAGATTATTGGTAGGAAAAATCCAGCCTACTCCAAAACTGGAGTAGGAACACTGGAAGGTAGCTCTAGTCATAGGAAAGGAGGGGGTGTTTGAACCATACTGGGGAAATGAGTCTATTGCATGCTAAAACTGGGTAAATACAGTTGCCTCTTGAAAAAAAGCACCTTTGGGACAACCATGACCTGGATGATTGAGACTCTCCATAGACATTCCCATCCTCTTCTTCATTAATGAAAGTGGTGCTTTATCCAGGTTAACATGAGAAGTGTGGCTTTATTCTGTTGTACTGACAAATCAGGTGTTGCTTTTACTAGAGGATAACTAATACTTTATCCTCTCCTCCCCCACAACCTCTCAAAGTTCTAGGATGAGTGGAAGGCTGAGATGCAGAGAAAAATATAGATTTCTATTCATGGAATAGAATATAAGTATTAATGTAAAAAATAAATGATCTGTCTAATATCAGTAGCATTTGCGCTAAATTACAGTGAAAAGAATTTTTCTGAGAAATTTAACAGTTGGCCCATTTGTTGCATCACATATATTATACTAGCTGAATACGTGTGCTCCACTATGAAACTATGTGATCAGGCTTGATAAATCAGCACTTAAAGTTTGAAAATTAATGAGTAGTTACGATCGGCCTCTCCTCTCCCCTTCTCTCGTTCAGGCTAGTCCCACAGAAGCCTCTCCTCTCCTCTCCCCTTCTCTCCCTGAGGCTGGCCCCATAGATCCTCTCCTCTCCCCCTTCTCTCCCTGAGGCTGGCCCCATAGATCCTCTCTTCTCCCCCTTCTCTCCCTCAGGCTGGTCCCACAAAAACCTCTCCTATCCCTTTTCTCTCCCTCAGGCTGGCCCCATAGATCCTCTCCTCTCCCCCTTCTGTCCCTCAGGCTGGCCCCATAGATCCTCTCCTCTCCCCCTTCTCTGCCTGAGGCTGGCTCCATAGATCCTTTCTTCTCCCCCTTCTCTCCCTCAGGCTGGCTCCATAGATCCTATTCTTTCCTCTTCTCTTCCTCAGGCTGGCCCCACAAAAGCCTCTCCCTCTGGCTCCACAGAGGCCTCTCTTATTCTACCCCCTTCTCTCCCTCAGGCTGGCCCCATAAATCCTCTCCCCTTCTCTCCCGCAGGCTGGCCCTATAGATCCTCTTTTCTCAGGCTTTCTAGCCCCTTCTCCATGAGGCTTGCCCCACAGAAGCCTGTCCTATGCTATCCCTTCTCTCCATGAGGCTTGCCCCACAGAAGCCTGTCCTATGCTATCCCATTCTCTCCAGAGTTATTTTCAAGTTGGGAGGGGGAGTAGAATGTCTAACTAATTAGCATCAGAGTGTGTTATAATAATATAGGAAATACTAATGCTCTGATGGTCATTTTGAAAAATCGTTTCTTAGTGAGCACCTAGAATCCAAGAGGGAATATATGTTCCCTCTTGGACATACCTACCTTTTGTAGGTATGTTGTAGAACATACCTACAAAATTTGAAGTTTGTAGGCTTTACGGTTCTGGAGATTTTGTGATTAATGTGTGAGTGGTTTTTGCTTTTATATATATAGATTAGAGCAGCAGCCAAATGAATGAAGCTGAAGGAGGGATATCTGGAAGCCTCCAATATGATTATGCTCTGGATCAATATTCTGTGACCAAAGTCTTCATATTCAGTCTACCTTTCAAAAGAAAGTTTTATAACATAGAGTAATGTGTGAATGGACAATGAGATTATCTAACAAATCATACAAATGAACCATGAGTTATCATTATATTTAAACTCAGTCGTGGTTTGAATGAACATTTATTGATTTTTTTTAGCAATTATGTAAAGTGATTGAATTTGTTTATAAAGAAAAGGAAAGACATTTTTAACTAGCACCATGAACAGACTTTTTGTAGTTTTATTTTGTTTGGTAGTATTTCTTTCCTGAAACACTTGATGTTCCCCAATTTAGCAGGTTATAAATGTAGTGTTTATAGAGAGATTTAGCAACTCATTAGTTATCAAATTTGGCTCCAGTTCAAAGATTTTTTATTCACTTTTTTCCAATTAACTGTTTTTAGAAATTAAATTTTGGAAGCATTGGAGCGTAACAAAAGTAAGATCATAAAATATTTTTGTTGAATATTTGACATCTTTTTGCTGTTATTAATGACAAGAATTTATGTTTAGGTTTATTAATCTGAGATGATAAGGTTTATGGTACTTGTTTATAATTGTATGTGCCCCACTATATCGTGGCAATAAAAAACATGTCTGTTGATAATATCTGGCAACAAATGTATGTCACAACTTGTATTAATTTTATTTATACTTTATAAGTTTATCGTTCTCTCACGTACAACAAACCACATTTTTTTAGTTTGTCAGGTAGAATAATATTTAATTAAAACATATTTGTAATAATTTTAATTTTCCTTTACAGGTGTAGAGATGCAGGAAGGTGTCCGTTTTGCTTCTTCAGGAGATGATGATGTTAAAATATGGGATTCGTCTTCTATAACTGTTGTGGACCAGTTTAGTCCACATGCATCTTCTCACCCAGTTAATTCAGTATATTGGGGTAGCAACAGTATCCTTTGTTGTTTCAGTATCTGAAACTGTATTTCTGTATAGTATACTGATTAATAGCAATTGTCCTAATTGCTTTTTTATGACACCTCAGATATGGCCATTCAAAATTCTTTCTACAAGGAATTCCATATCTCAGTTGTTGCCATTGGCAAAGGAAAAAAGAATTTATATTAAAGTGAATTTTCTCTCTCTTAAACAAAAATACAGGTAGTCCTTGAGTTACAACAAAACTGTTTGAAGTTATGGCAGCACTAAACAAATGGTATTTATACCTGGTTCTTGAAGTGACACTTGTTGCAGTGTATGATAAAAATTTAGGGACTTAGCGCTTACGACTACAAGAGTACTTCAACTCCCGCACCTGCTTATTATCCCCTCATCTCTGCCTTTTGGTTCTCTGCACTGTTATATCTGGTTGCTTCATGCTCCTCCACTCCAGCCCACCTTCACCATCCTCTGGCTCTCACTGCTGACCAAGCACACCTGGCCTGGCCTTGGCAGCTGCTAGACACAGAAGGCTTTCTTCCCAAAGACTTGAGCTGAATTGTGCTTCAAAGGCTTCCTGCAGCCCCAAAGCCACAGTGTACCAAGAAACCCCTGAGCCACAAGATAGCAAGTAACCCAAAGCTTCATGGTTCTGGAGCTGCTTGCTGTCTTACAAGGCACAGTGCAGGTTCGACAAAAGGACAAGAAAGTGGGGTGGAGTTGAAGGGAAAGCAGTCCCTTATTTGGAAAAACTGAGGCTTGTACTGGGAGGAATCAAGAAGCAATGGCTTGGCTGGGGGTGAGCCCTCAACTAACCAGTGGAGTTTGTAAAACAATGGCAAAGGGGAGTGCTGGGGTTACTGTCACTAAGCAATGCAGTTACCTGACATTAAGCTTTATGTCTACATAATTTAGCAACAGAAATTCCATTTCCAATTGCCGTCATAACTTGAGGATTACCTGTATAACTATTTAACTTCTGTTCAGAGCTCTGAAGAAGCCACATACTGTATATTAGAATATGTCCTTAAAACATTTCCATGTTATTTTCCATGCTTTTGTTGTCTTGCAAAACTACTTTAGATTATGAAGGAAATAGAGTAGTGGCCTTAACAACAATAATGACAAGAACAAACTCCTCTAAGTGCTTCGCACATGCTATAAAACAGAATATATAAATGATATATGAATGGATAAATGAATAAATAAAAGGTTAATTCAACTGTCATTTTAGCTGTTCATACACATTTCTAATTTGAGTAATTCATTTAGGTGGAATGTTATTTACCAGGTTTATTCAACCATATTTGATAGAGTCATATTGTTGTGTTATAGCAATATCAAAGAATGACATGGACGGCCTGTTCAGCATAGAACTGACATGTCTGGATAAAGTCTTACTTTCCCTCTCGTTCAACTTGTTGTTTCTTATGAATGAGAAGGATATTCCTTGATATTGAAAGTAAATATTTTTTACAGTATCATTTTTATTATTTGGTTTGGATAAAATTTATGTAGTAACAGTTTTCATGCCAGGAGAGGGTTTATTTATAAAATTATGGTAGTGAGCCCTGTACTTAATACAAGACATATCTAATAATTTAGAAATGCTTTCCCAATTTCTGTAGTTTACTTGCTTAGCATAAACCACTTGGAAATAATCTGCCTCCTTAATTGCCAGACATTTTCTGGTTACTTTTGTATACCTGAAATGCCAAATGGTTGTTGTTAAACTAATGGAGAACAGGAATATTGCACATTGAAGATGGCCTGATTGTATGCAGAATTAGGGATGGCTAAACCTTCTAAAATTAGTACCATTCTAAATGAATGCTACCTGGAAACAAGTAGGTTGCCAGAAAAACAACCTACTTGTGTCTTGGTATCATGGGTTGCCATGGGTTTTCCTAATCTTTCTGGTTCAATGTTACGACTGCAGTGTTCCAGATCAACAGAATTTTATGAACTCCTATCAAGGGCAGTCCAACATAGAACATGTTGCAGTGTTCACAAAGAGCTATGTGGTATACTGATCACCTGCTTATCTGAAAAATTAAAAACAATGAAATTGAAAAGGTAAAGGTCTTAAAAAGCATTTATTTTCAGTCTCCACCTCCTGAAAAATGTTCAATGAAAAAATGAAAAAAAAACCCTCAAACCTCACCGTGAACTTCCAATGCAATAACTAGATAGGTAAGCTGTGATAGGAATAACTATGTGCCTGTATCAGTTAAATGCTTCAAAGCTGAAGTTCTAAGTCCTTTGTGGTATGGCGCACAAAGCTTTGTGTATAAGGAGATCCCTGAACTAGAAACGGCAATCTAATTGTTGCATGCTTGGAGTTCTTTGCTCATTCACCAATAAACTTCATAGTTAAAACTTGGATGTATCTTTTGAGTTTCTGCTATTAAAGTACTGGCTCAAAAAATATTTAGGGAGCAAGTTTTTAGCCCAGCTGTTTCCCCATTATAAATATCTGAAAATGCAAGCAAGAAAAAGAACAAAAGAGAAATATATTTAAAAGCTGTATAAAAGCTAAGAATTTTTGAGATAGCATTAGATTAATGCCACATATAAAAGTGATTTATATCAATTTGACATGTTGAAACCATTATTAAAATCAAAACAATACTCAGTAATTAGCAGAGGCAACTAATCTAATAAGAATCATCAATCACAATAAACAGTTGGAGTTTCTATCTAATCTGAAAAAAATCTATTATAATGAAGCAGGCAAAATCTAATATTTTAAAAAGCCTTATGTTTGGATAAACCCAAGCTTCAGATCTAATAAAAAGTCATGTGCAGAATTATAACCTATAATTTTTTTTTTGGTTAAATAAGCATAAGATTGTTTTTTAAATATAAAGTTTTTCACATTGAAGCATATTGCCATAGCTGTAAGGACATTATAATGTACCATTTCCAATAAGAAAAATAAAGTATCCTAACATCTAAATACAGAAGGGTTTGCTGTATTAGTTGTGTAAAATAGCTATGATATATTAATCACGTGTTTCCAACGAATCCCCAGTACTGCTGCACAGAATCTAGCCACCTGCACTGTTATCACTGTGGTCTATTCGTCTATTCGTTCTTAAGCAGTTACTGGAGATAAGCAGTGTTGGAATGGACAGGATACCTATTGATTATTGGGATTATTGGTCATTGTCAAAATAAATTATATCTTTTTGAAAATGACTGTTGAAAATGTACTGTTCTCTAATTTGGAAATGCATGTGATTAAATGCCTACTTAAAAGAGGTTTTCTTCCCAACTAAAACAATTTTGCGTAAACAAAAGCACATGTTGTGTTCCATGACTCTTACTTCAGATAACTTTTTGGTAACAACGACAGCTGTTGGTGATAAGATTGTGGTTTCAAATTGTAAAGGAAAACCAGTTCCACTCTTTGAACTAGCTGAAGGGGTAAGTAGAACAGCTTTAAAAAGTGGTCTTTTAATGTATTGCTATTTATATGTACTCAAGTTCCCAAATTCCCAGTAACTGTTTATAATATTCCTGATAATCTATGCTCTCCTGAAAGTAAACCTCCTCTAGATTCAGTTGATAAGATTTACAAATAAATGAATTTTACTTACTATCTGTTCTCTGTTTCAAAAATACATAATGCTTATTTATATATTTATATAAATTCATAGTCATGTTTTGGATTTGTTTCCAGAAAGATGCTTCAGAATGTGCAGGGTCATGAATGTAGCATCTGATTGCAATTCTTTATAGTAACACCTTCCTTCCAAATCATACAGCAATAATAGAAAGGGCCTGAAAAAATATGGTTACTCTAAAGCAGCGTTTCTCAACCTGGGGGTCGCGACCCCTTTGGGGGTCAAATGGCCATTTCACAGGGGTCACCAAAGCCCTCTCTTGCCCCCCCCCACGCCTTCACTCACCCTCACCCTCTGCCTCTGTTGGATCTCCGGCCGTTCGCTTACCCCACCCACTCCCAATTTATTGCTGCCTCCGGAGCCCCGGTTGATGGCTAAACTTTAAATTCTTGCCGCGGGGCTTCAAAGGCAGTGGTGGGATTCTGCCGGTTCTAGGGGGTTCAGCCGAACCGTTCGTTAAATTGCTGGCTCACCCCGCCCCTTGCCCTGCCCCTCCGCACCACTATTTATTGCCAATAAATAGTGGTGGGCGAGGGGTGGGCGAGCCAGCAATTTAACAAATGGTTCGGTGTTTTTTTGTAATTTTATTGGCCCGCGGAGCTTCAACATAGGCTAATTAGCTCTTGATTAGATCGGCTCCCGACTCTCAGCTGATTTGCTCTCAGCTGTTTTGCTCAGTGCTCTGCTGCTTGCTGGAGCAGATTTTTTTCCCCCTAGCTATGCTGAAAAAACAAAACTGAAAGTAAAGCAGGCTGTTGGCTTTGCTGTTGCTGCAACGTTGGAAAATTAGGCAGTCAGATTTCTTTTCTTTTTCCTCACCAAAAAAAGGTAGGTGCAAACAATGGAAAATTTAGGGAAAAAGAGGAGATTTCAAGATTTTAAAACACAAAAGAAAAAAAGCTCTATTTAACTAGGGAATTGTAATAATTGAGATACTATTAATTGTATATTGTGTTGAAAGCAGAAATGGTTAAGTTGTGGTTTGGAGGAATATATGGAGGAAATTATTTATTATTTATTATTATTGGTAAATATAATTGATTTGTAAGAAATTGAATTGCATGGAAATAATTGGAATATTCATGTTCATATTGATTAATATACAAAAAGGTAGTTATATAACTAATTGATTTATATTAAAATGTTGAATTTATATTAAACAACTGTAATATTACATAATTAACCAATATGAGGATGGATATAAAAATAGATGACAATGGGAAGGGGTATAATATAGAATAGAAGGGAAAAATTGAATTTGATTAAGATTAGAGATGAGGATGAAGGGTAATATTGGTTTTTTACAAAAATAGATGAGGAATAAATATGGCAAAAAGGAAATATAGAAATTGTAAATTTAATTGAAATGACTAAACACTGTTTAAATTTGTGAACCGGCCAAATACTCTGTTCAAAGAAAATACATTGTATGTTTGTATGTGTTTCTAATTATTGTTATTTATTCATATTTGTTCTCTTTTATTCTTTAAAGTTTAACAATTCTTTCTTTATCTTAATATCTTTATATTTGTTTGGGGTTGGCTTTCTTCCCTTTCATCTTTTTTATTGTACAGCAATCTTTCTCCTCAAACCTACCATCTCTGTCTTTTCTTTCCTTCTTACTTTCTCTTCCCCCCCTCTTCTTCTCCTCCCTACTTCCTCTTCCTTTCTCCTTCTCCTCCTCTCTTCCTCCCTCTCTCTCCTACTCTAATTTCCCTTCCGTTCCTTCCTCCCTCTCTATTGCTGTATCCTTTTATGCATATGGACTACTCAGGGGGCTGAAAAAGTTATTTTTGACTGGTCCTCGCACTTTTGACCAGTCCTCGAATTTATGACTGTCCTCACAATTTACGCTTTTGCCCTATCTTGTCACCATGGTGAAGAGAAGCAGTTGTGAAATGAGTGACACGATTGTTAAGAATGCTACAATGGGCATAAATGATGACCAGTCATAACTGCGAAGACCGGTCAAAAGTGCGAGGACCTGTCAGAAATCACTTTTTTCAGCCCTCTGGGTAGTCCTTTTGTGCACAGGGACTACTCAGAGGGCTGAAAAAGTTATTTTTGACTGTGCTCGCACTTTTGACCAGTCCTCGAATTTACGACTGTCCTAACTTTTTACGTTTTTTGCCCTATCTTATCACCATGTTGAAGAGAAGCAGTTGTGAAATGAGTGACATGGTTGTTAAGAATGCTGCACAGGCATAAATGTGAGGATGGTCATAAGTGTGAGGACCAGTCAAAAGTGCGAGGACCTGTCAGAAATGACTTTTTTCAGCCCTCTGAGTACTCCCTATACACATAGCCATGGCCACCCAGTCACATGACCAGCTAGCCACGCCCACCCAGTCACATGACCTCCAAGCCACGCCCACAAAATAAGCCACGCCCACAGAACCGGTAGTAAAAAATTTAGCACCCACCCCTGGTTGGGGGTCACCACAACATGAGGAACTGTATTAAAGGGTCACGGCATTAGGAAGGTTGAGAACCACTGCTCTAAAGGGTGCATATACATCAGGTACCACTGTTGCACTTCTAGGCACTTTTGTTGCGAATAGAATTCAAAAACATAAGGCACTTATATGTGTAAGACAATTTTATTTACTCTCCTTTCCACCAAAATAAAAAGTAAGGGAAAAAGACCTGCTGCTCTTAGCACAGAATGTTCCAAATGAAAAACAGGAAGTATTGTCTCTACTTGTATGTAAGAATATAATAGCAGCAAAGCTAATTCACAGGGATTGGTCTAGAACAAAATCTGTACTCCAAATCAAAGAAATATTGTAAACAATCCAGGAAGCAATTGTTGCTGTTCCTTAATACAGTATTCATTACTAAATGAGCACTAGTAGAGATTAGAAAGCTCTTCAATTTTAGATTAATTCCAATTTAGAATATTGTTCACACCTGGACAATAATTTGCTCTCTCTCGGCTATTAATGGCTGAAATAAGTCTACTTTCTAATCTGTTCTAATCCATTTTTAAAACAAGTCATATATAAGATTTATGATCACTTATTGGACATAAGAGTTGCAATCATTTAAAAGCAATGTTGTCTTGATTCTTTGCAGTTTTGGAACTTAGAATTTTCTGCTGTTTCTTATAATTGTAATAAATTATAGTAAATTGTGTAATCATAATTCCCATTGTCTATATCTGTGTTTATTGGCTATTATTACCTGCGGCGTTAAAATAATTCTGAATACATTAATAATGCTGCCTTCAAAATTAAAGAAGATCCTCAACAAATAGTGGGAAAAGTTGAACATAATATTCAGAAGACAAATGAGAAATTAGAAGGAGTGGTGGAAGAGATAAATCAAAATAAGTTACAAGAAAACAAAAACACTGAAAAGACAATAAAAATAAATACTAAGAATTGAATAGTTAATTCCTTACAATAGAACAGAGAGAAAACAAAAAAGAAGACTTCCCCCAAATAATGAAAGAGTTATGGATGGGCATCCAAATGATGCAGCAGAAGGAGATAAAGGGTAAGGCAGAGGGGACACTCAGTCTATGTAAAAATGTTAGAAAGAAACATAGAATCCAAGAGAGAAATATAAAAGAATAACCAAAAAGTCAATAAATGATGAAATTCTAAAAAGGCTGAGAAGTGACGGATAGAGATATAATACCTTCTAATATTGTGACTGTATTAAAAACTAATAGAAATATGTAGAAAGTATAAATTGGGAAAATAGTAACACATATACAGATATATAATAGAATTTATTATAACCACAAATATTGGTTAGGTTAGGAGGTTAGGTTAGGTTAGGTTAGTTAGGTTAGGTTATTATAACCACAAATAAGGTTAGGAGGTGGAAGACTATGATTAGGTATACTTAAACGTATTATGATTAACAATGTGCAAAACATATACTGGAATTTATAGCTTTTAAGAACTACAGATTCAGAGGATTTAGATATAATCCCGGGACTGATTAAATTTTATTAATAATTGGTTTTATTGGTGTTTATAGAAAACTGAGATATTGAAAATGTGGTGGAACTTGAGCAATACTTAAAATATTAAAATATTAGTGATTTAACGGGTCAACAAACACATTGTATGAAGAAATGTAATTGATGTTTAAATGTATTTTTGGATAAAGTGATAAAGAATCATAAAGAGAGAATAGTACTGTTTAAAGATAAAGAAGTGAATATGGAAGAACCCCAACAAGTGGGGGGGAAAAGTACAAATTGGGAAAATAGTATTATACACATTGATACATAAGAATATTATAATTATAATGAGCATTTTAAGGTTAGAAGTAGGAAGATTAAAACTATGTATATGTAATTGTATTATTATTGTTAGCACTATATAAAAAATGTATTGACCCAGTCATTACGCTGTCCACAAAATATATTGGTTGTTAAAGGAAAACTTCAAATAAAACATATACAGAAAAAAAAGCTGTTATTAACTATGAAATTTTCTTTTCTCTGTTCTTGTTAAGATCTTTCTGATAGTATCTAGAACCAGTACACATTTCAGAGTGAATGGTCTTTTGTCAGTGGTATTCCCAAAACAATGCCTTTTATGTTACATCCACTGGCTTAAGTTCTATAGAAAGCCATCCAGGCTCTTTTGAATTAAGCTCAGCTCCTGGTGATGTGATTTTATTAACACAACATTGTGAAACTCGCTTCTCATTGAAAAAAATATTCTGGAGGAAAATAACTTTCTAGTCTACAAACTTAAGATTTTCTGATTGCCTCTTATTTAAGCACCAACCAGCATAGCTATTTTGCGATTGGCTAACACTGGCTTGGTGTTGCCGTATTATGACTCTACTCACCTACTTACAGATATTAATAATTTGAAAATGATTTGTTTCCAGCCTCATATACAATTATGTGGTGTCTGTTTTTATAAAGGCAGAACTTTCATTTGTCAAAGGAAATGTATAATTTGCTTCAAATTCTTCACAGTGTGAAGGCTGCAGAGAAAAGCAATGAAAGGGAATGGATGATTATTCAGCAATATAAATTAAACTGTTCACGGATCATTCAATATACATTTTAGTAAACACACTGTTATTTACTAGTTCTATGATTTTATTTCAGACATCCATTTATTTAATTAAAATATTTGGATTGATTTATTTATCATTTATTTAATTAAAATATTTTGATTCTTCTTTTCTATTTAAAAAGCACCCAGAACAATTATTATTGTTCAATCACAATAGTACATTGTTGAAAGAGCAGATAATTACTATAATTCGTCTTTAATTTTTCTGCTTCTAAAAGTAATAAAATGGTTAAGGTGTTGGACTAAGTTCAACCTCAATCATGGAAGCCTGCTGAATAGATTAGGACCAATCACTTTTTGTCAGGCAGGTTACTCCACAGGGTTGTTGTGAGGGGAAAATAGAAGGAAAAAGTACAGTGTATAGTTCCATAAGTTCATTGAGGAAAAGCAGGATATAAATCTAATTAATGAAACGAATTGGTTGATATTAAAGGAAAAACATCACAATGGGCTTTCATTGGCCCCTGCTAACTTTAATTTTGGGCTATGGTGTTGGTAAATTAAATTCGAACTATTGAATAATCCATCATAGTGATGTCATTTTATTTTGTCTGTGTCATATTTGTTGAACACTGTTTTCTTCATTTCATTAAAATACAAAATGTCATTTATTTTAATCAGATCTATATTTGTGCCTCAGATTGTATTAACTTTTTATCCTAGTTTAAAATTGATGTTGATATTATCTTGATTTTTTTTTTTTAATTTATTGCCAACTAGGCAAAGCAAACATGTATAAGCTTGAGTTCGAATTCAATGTATATTGCAAGTGGAGGAATTGATAGCACTGTTAATATCTGGGATTTAAAATATAGAAAACTTCACCGATCTCTTAAGGTAAGATACAATATTGTATTATGGTCTTTTTTTGTCAGTTAATATATATGAGATTAATATCACCTGTAAATCTTTAGGCTTATACTCCAATATTTAAATATCAAAATGTAACTCATATTTTACATCACAGATGGTTTTGGGCTAGCAGAATGATAGCTATCTAGAAGTGGTGCTAGATATTACACAGACTTTACAATTAAGTAGTATGTAGTTATTGCAGAGATGGAAAAGTTGTCCACTTTCTTAAATCTAAATCTGATGCTTTTAATTGACCTTGATGCTCTTATTTGACCTGAATAAATTTCTCACATCATAGAGTGAGATATATACAATTGTAGTGATGTGGTGTAGTGTAGCAACGTATGCTGCTTAAGATGTTGGACTCATACCAGGGTGGGGGTGGGGAATCCAGGTTCAAGTTGATTCTCAGCCATAGAGTTTCATCAGGTGACTTTGGCCAGTCAGCCTTTCTCACAACGTTGCCTACTCCTCACAGTTATTATGCAGATAGAAGTGAAAGGAGTGCTATTTTACATTGCCTCGATGAAAGGTTTTATACCTAATAAATAAATAAAAAGTATTCCTCAGATATACAGGTAGTCCTCGACTTACAACAGTTCATTTAGTGATTGTTCGAAGTTACAACGGCACATAAAAAAGTGACTTATGATCATTTTTCACACTTATGACCGTTGCAGCATCGCCATGGTCATGTGATTTACATTCAGATGCTTGATAACTGACTCACATTTATGACAGTTGCATTGTCCCAGGGTGATGTTATCATCTTTTTGTGACCTTCTGACAAGCAAAGTTAATGGGGAAACCAGAGTCACTTAACAAATATGGCAAGAAAAAACGTAAAATGGGGCAAAACTCACTTAACAGAATTCTCATTTAACAACATAAATTTTGGGCTCAATTGTGATTGTAAGTTGAGGACTATCTGTATCAGTACACAAGAGTGTACGTTATTTCATTATTTATGTATATAAAGTGTTGTAAGTGGTTTAATTAAAATATTAGATGGGCTTGGAAAAATAGTTAATGAAAAAAAAAGCAAAGTATGGTTACAAGATTTTAACTACAGTCTTTTGGATTTTGGGGCAGTTAATCGTCCTAATCTGTTATTAATCTCTGTGTAGCTATTTTTCTTTGATTATAGAATTTAGTTGCTGTGCTGATTTCTATAATTGCAAAATGGTAATGAATTTCCCCTTAAATAACTGTTTGTCTGGGAACATAATACTTTGACATTTATGTGTATGCAAATTTAGGATTATGGGAAGACTGACTGACAGTTGTAAGGTAAATATCATTAATAACACTATGGAAGAAAAGCAGTTCTTGTTAAAATACAATGTTTTTGCAAAATGTTGGAAAATGTTTTATCTAAACTCTGGGAATGGCAGTTTTGAATATGTGTGGATATTCCTTTATTGATGAATAATTTCAGTTCTATTACAAAATATTGTTACATTTTAGAGCCTGAAGACTTTGGTCTGAAGTAATTAGACTATAGGTCCCAATTTATTGCAGCTTGGTCTTTGATATTTTTGGAGGATCTGGCCAATGGATAAGGATATTAGTGAGGCCCTATTTGTTTGATGTGAGGAAGCATTCAGTAATTTGAGGGTGAAGGTCATCGCTATCTAGAAAAGTGAAGTTTACCAGAGCTAGATATTGCTTTTAATATCTTTGATAAAGCTTAACTCCCATCACTATAGTTTGGATAGATATTTATTAGATAGGTCATTCTGTGCTAAAGGTGAATAGTAAATACAGAAGAGTTCAGGAACAACCTTTCCTATTATATGCTTCAGAGGCAGATTTTCATTCCTCTTAATCTTCTCTTTTGTTGAATGGTATTGGTTAAATTTGATGTATCTTTAGGGTTTTGTGTTGACGTTTGATGCCTTCTTACTTTTTAGCCATCTTCATTATTTATCTTGCAGATTAGTTTCAATTAAAAAAAATGAAAATTGCTATTATTATCAACAACATTCTTAGTGAACATGGTTGCTTTAACAGAGTTCAGCAGGCATTAAACATTTTCTCTGTTCCTCCCAAAATATTCTAGCATAACATGTTGGTTATGAATGCGGGTTTTTTTTTTTTAAAAAAAAAACGTCTTTTAAGCCTGTTGTAGAATTTGTACAACTGTTTAATGTATTTCCTTTAGAATCATGAGAAATTGTGTCATTAATTTTCACAGTAGTGGACACAGAAGGATTGGGTACCAAAGAGAAGTATTTGTAATCTCAACATTTCCTTGGAGCACATGAGTGTTGTACTAAATTAAAGCTTGCATATTTTCTTCTTCAGGATCATAGAGAGGAAATAACTTGTGTGTCATTCAATTGGAATGATTGCTATGTTGCATCAGGATCCTTGAGTGGTGAAATTATCCTGCATAGTATTGCTACAAATTTATCCAGCACTCCATTTGGTCATGGAAGCACGCAGGTACGTATCAGTGACACAGCAATCTGTTCCTAGTGGCATGAATGGATTCTATTGTAATCTTACAGAAGGTATACAACTTGAGCACCAAATTTATACACAGCTTTCAAAAACTGGAAATATCTTTTGAAAATGATGCTATCATATTCTAATTTGTGACAAAAAGGGATAATGACTAATTACATTAATGGAAAGTTGGTTGGTTCTATTTAATTTTAATTGAATGAAACTTACAGGGTAATATGTATGAAAATGTGGGATCCTTTTGATACATTAGCAGAAAAGAAGGTGATCAGATGCTAATGGTATAACCTATTTTTAGGTATATTATTGCATCTTCTTTTTGACAAGAAATTTTTGTTTTGTTTTTAGTAATCTGAACAAACTAAATATTACATGGCACAACTTTGCAAAAGATATGATAGTGGCATTGTGTCCATTAAAAGCAAAAGCCCAGTTTGAAGAAACTTTGTTGTTTTTTATTCATTGTTATCATCCATCAGTTATATCAATGCAAACTTTTTAATAGTCAGTTTACTCTTTTTAAAAAAGCCACCTCATAGCAGAGCTAATAAAGTTGTCATTGTGTGTGGCTTATTTGGGAAACTGTGTCTGACAGTTATTGATAGACAATGTGATTTTGTTTAAAGACCAAAGCAATGAAAGTAGGGATGAAATATTGGATCTTTAGTGACAAGATGCTAAAAGACATATAGCTGGATTATATTAATTGGACTTTTCTGTGTGCACTTTAAATTCCTGGCTGTGGTTTGTTTTGCCATTTATAACGTTTCATTATAGCCAGCTGAAGAAAGGTTCAATTGCTGTTAAATCTAGATCCATCTTAATGTAAAATATAGGGATTTATGACTCAGGGATGAAAATTCTAAAAGTGAAATCAGGAGCATTTATTATGATATAGGTAAATGAAATTTAAATAGTTATTATATAAAATATATGATGCTAATGAAATTATTCATTGTTTTTAATGCAATTTATGAGTAGAAACATTAAATGTTTCGGATTTTCTGCTTGTTTACTTGAAACTGAATGAATTATTTATTTTGAGTATAATATAGAACATAGGAAAGTGGAAAAGGAAAAAAATTATATAATAGGACATGAGAACACTGGAACAAAATATTTCAGATCTTCTCCTTCCTCGTGAAGTTTACACATTTCTAAAGTTTTGAAGAAGTAACCTAATTTAAAATTGGGTCTCTCTCTATGTGTGTGTGTGTGTGTGTGTGTGTGTGTGTGTGTGTGTTGACAACACCATTTTCCAACAGTAAATGGTTTTACTCTGACACTTTTGATTTTCTTGTACAGCTTTTTCAAAACACCTGCATGTTCATTTAACCTCTGAAAAATGTGTATGTCTGTGTATATGGAGCCAGTTTGGAACAGTGGTTAAAATGCAAAGGATTGAATTCTGGTCATGCCTTAGACACGGAAGCTTGGTTGGATGGCTTTGAGCCACTCTTTTTCATTCCAATCCACCTCACAGGGTGGTTATTGCAAGAGAAATAGGTGTTAGGGTCATTGTGTATATCATTGTAAATTATGTAAATAAAGGTGGAATATAAATTTAACACTATAATAAAAAAATATTTCCCACCTCTAATTATGAAGAGGTGGTCATCAGACTTCGTGGAGGTAGAGAGAATCTAGTAGTCCCCACTTCCCCAGAGATTCTTCTAGCATTTTTTCACACTATTTTTAAATGTGTGTTCAAAGCATGCTAAATGTCTAATATATGAAGGTTTGTGAAAATAATCTCATTGGAAGTATGTTCCATGGTAACAAATAATGCATTCAGTTAAAAAAAAGGCATTATCCCATCAATTTTAGCTTCATAATATCTTGCTGAATCACAGCCTCAGTCTTGAAAAAATTAGCAATAAAGAAGAGACACTAAGCTTGGCATTCTTGTCAGGATTCAAAAGTTTCCGTTGTTATTGCAGAATTGCCTACCTTGGAAAAGTTGTTAAATTTTAATTGCATGTCACTCCAGTGAAACTTATATGGCAGACTTGCTGACTAAACATTTGAAAGGGCTGCTCTTGTAATAAAGATGTGGTATCAATGCTGACGTTCAGTTAAAGGTTTTTCAGGTACTACTTTTCTGTTTCTCACTACTGGATATTGTGTCAGTTTCAATCTCTTCTCTGAGTGCTATATGCTATGCTATGACCACATAGTTGAGCCACAACAGAAAATGTGCTTTTAGTGAAAAACCATACCTGTGTCCCACTGTTTTCACTCCTTCCAACCTGACAGAATGTTGGAAATAAATAATGTAAAAGAGCTCAGAGTTCTGTTCCTCTGCAAGAGAACTGGGACCTAATTTATGTGTACATATTTTAAAAATGACTTATTCTGGTTTGGGTCTGAAGAAGTGAAAAACAAAGCTCCCAGTGCATCCCTGAGAGAACTGGGCAGCATCATCAGAATGCTGTTGGTTCCTCTAATTCTGCATTCTTCCGGGTGGCATTGCCCAGTTCTCTGTCATAGGATTGCTGTTGGGAAGGAAAAAATAAGTCGCTGTGCTTTGATATAAATCTATGTGAAATAAAGATATGTTCTGCATGTTTTTTCTAACTTGTTACTCTCTTCAACTCAACAGAATGTTGGAAAATTATTGTTCAACATTCCAAAACTGAATAAACAGGGTCTGATTTTGTGTGGGGGCAAGAAACTGGCAGAATAGTAAATTTAAAAATAGGCCAGATCTAGCAACAAATGCAAAGAAAAATCCTGAGGGGGGGGAAAAAAATAAAAACACATCTTTGGGGCAGACTGTTGGATAGTGTCTCACAGAATAGTTAATACTCTAAGCCAGTGGTTCTCAACCTTCCTAATGCCGCGACCCTTTAATACAGTTCCTCATGTTCTGGTGACCCCCAATCGGGGGTGGGTTCTAAATTTTTTTACTACCGGTTCTGTGGGCGTGGCTTATTTTGTGGGTGTGGCTTGGAGGTCATATGACTGGGTGGGCGTGGCTAGCTGGTCATGTGACCGGGTGGCCATGGCTATGTGTATAGGGCCGTGATGGCGAACCTATGGCACGGGTGCCACAGGTGGCACGTGGAGCCATATTGGTGGGCACGCAAGCTCAGCTCCGGCACACATGTGTGTGCCAGCCAGCTGATTTTCGTGATGTGAATAAAGTAGGAATTATAGCAAATAAGAAATAATGTGAATAAAATAAGAATCATACAAAGTCAGATACATAAAATCAGATCCATGAACTCTGAAGGACCTTCTCTATTGAACTCTGAAAGACCCTCTCTATTCACATTATTATAAGAGAGAAACGTGCTTGTTAGAGGCAGCTGAACCCCATTATTGTCCATCAGGAAAGCTAAGAATGGTGTTCTGGTGGATGACTGACTCTGATAAGGAGAAGAAGCTAAGCAATTACATCATAGATTTCCTCATAATTACTTGACCTATGACACTGTGTCAAACACACTGATTCTATATATTTTCTTAATAGAATCAAAACTATGGAAATACAGCTATATGGTAACATCTGAAAGGACATGCATAGGAAACAGAAAGTTACTTATTGCTTAAAGTAAAGCCATAAATTTCTGCATTTAAACATTACAGCACTTAAGGAAAGTTGTAAACTATAAAGTGATGGGTTAGTAAAGTTGTAATGGTTTAATAATTAGTAAAATGATGGGGTAGTAAAATTGTGTAGCCAAAATAATTTTATTAACTAGCATGTAATGGTTTGGTAATTAGTAAAGTGTAATGTAAGTATAATGTATTTATAATGTAACCATATATGGAAGCCGGAAGGGCTCATAGAACTCCTTGTCTTGAAAACATATAAAAGCAGTGAAATCAGAGCTTCTCTTTGTTCAGATTTGCGAGAACCAAACACTGCACTGAACCTTTGCGCAAATAAAATGCATCTGTCTGACCCAGGAATATTTTCCAGTCTTTCATTTCTATAACATTCGGGCTTTCTGGGCTCACCAGAAGTCAGGAAACACATTGTTTCCAGCCTCCGGAGGGCCTCTTGGGGGGTGGGGAAGGCCATTTTTGCCCTCCCCAGGCTCCTAGAAAGGCTTCGGAGCCTGGGGAGAACAAAAAACGGGCCTACCGGGCCCACCGTGCCATCACATGCCAAAAGTGGGGGCAGCACAGGGGGGCGGGGCACATAGAATTTTGGATGTGGGCACACGTGCATGTGACCCTACCGTGCTCCCCCCGCTTTTGGCACACGATGGCAAAAAGGTTAGCCATCACTGGTATAGGGACTACTCAGAGGGCTGAAAAAAGTCATTTCTGACAGGTCCTCGCACTTTTGACTGGTCCTCACACTTATGACCATCCTCACATTTATGCCCGTGCAGCATTCTTAACAACCATGTCACTCATTTCACAACTGTTTCTTTTCACCATGGTGATAAGATAGGGCAAAAAACGTAAAATGTAAGGACAGTCGTAAATTCGAGATCTGGTCAAAAGTGCAAGGACCAGTCAAAAATAACTTTTTCAGCCCTATGAGTAGTCCATGTGCACAAAAGAACTACCCAGAGGGCTCAAAAAAGTGATTTCTGACAGGTCCTCGCACTTTTTGACCGGTTTTCGCATTTATGACTGGTCATCATTTATGCCCATTGTAGCATTCTTAACAACCGTGTCACTCATTTCACAACTGCTTCCCTTCACCATGGTGACAAGATAGGGCAAAAACGTAAAATGTAAGGACAGTCGTAAGTTCGAGGACTGGTCAAAAGTGCGAGGACCAGTCAGAAATAACTTTTTCAGCCCTCTGAGTAGTCCATATGCACAAAAGGACTACCCAGAGGGCTCAAAAAAGTGATTTCTGACAGGTCCTCGCACTTTTGACCGGTTTTCGCATTTATGACTGGTCATCATTTATGCCCATTGTAGCATTCTTAACAACCGTGTCACTCATTTCACAACTGCTTCCCTTCACCATGGTGACAAGATAGGGCAAAAACGTAAAATGTAAGGACAGTCGTAAGTCTGAGGACTGGTCAAAAGTGCGAGGACCAGTCAGAAATAACTTTTTCAGCCCTCTGAGTAGTCCATATGCACAAAAGGACTACCCAGAGGGCTCAAAAAAGTGATTTCTGACAGGTCCTCGCACTTTTGACCGTCGCGTTTTCGCATTTATGACTGGTCATCATTTATGCCCATTGTAGCATTCTTAACAACCGTGTCACTCATTTCACAACTGCTTCCCTTCACCATGGTGACAAGATAGGGCAAAAACGTAAAATGTAAGGACAGTCGTAAGTTTGAGGACTGGTCAAAAGTGCGAGGACCAGTCAGAAATAATTTTTCAGCCCTCTAAGTAGTCCATATGCACAAAAGGACTACCCAGAGGGCTCAAAAAAGTGATTTCTGACAGGTCCTCGCACTTTTGACCGGTTTTCGCATTTATGACTGGTCATCATTTATGCCCATTGTAGCATTCTTAACAACCGTGTCACTCATTTCACAACTGCTTCCCTTCACCATGGTGACAAGATAGGGCAAAAATGTAAAATGTAAGGACAGTCGTAAGTTTGAGGACTGGTCAAAAGTGCGAGGACCAGTCAGAAATAACTTTTTCAGCCCTCTGAGTAGTCCATATGCACAAAAGGACTACCCAGAGGGCTCAAAAAAGTGATTTCTGACAGGTCCTCGCACTTTTGACCGGTTTTCGCATTTATGACTGGTCATCATTTATGCCCATTGTAGCATTCTTAACAACCGTGTCACTCATTTCACAACTGCTTCCCTTCACCATGGTGACAAGATAGGGCAAAAACGTAAAATGTAAGGACAGTCGTAAGTTCGAGGACTGGTCAAAAGTGCGAGGACCAGTCAGAAATAACTTTTTCAGCCCTCTGAGTAGTCCATATGCACAAAAGGACTACCCAGAGGGCTCAAAAAAGTGATTTCTGACAGGTCCTCACACTTTTGACCGGTTTTCGCATTTATGACTGGTCATCATTTATGCCCATTGTAGCATTCTTAACAACCGTGTCACTCATTTCACAATGCTTCCCTTCACCATGGTGACAAGATAGGGCAAAAACGTAAAATGTGAGGACAGTTCGAGGACTGGTCAAAAGTGCGAGGACCAGTCAGAAATAACTTTTTCAGCCCTCTGAGTAGTCCATATGCATAAAAGGATACAGCAATAGAGAGGGATGAAGGAAGGGAAGGGAAATTAGAGTAGGAGTGAGGGTAAGAGAGGGAGGAAGAGAGGAGGAGAAGGAGAAAGGAAGAGGAAGTAGGGAGGAAAAGAAGAGGGGGAGGAAGAGAAAGTAAGAAGGAAAGAAAAGAGAGAGGTGGTAGGTTTGAGGAGAAAGATTGCTGTACAATAAAAAAGATGAAAGGGAAGAAAGCCAACCCCAAAAAAATATAAAGATATTAAGATAAAGAATGAATTGTTAAACTTTAAAGAATAAAAGAGAACAAATATGAATAAATAACAATAATTAGAAACACATACAAACATACAATGTATTTTCTTTGAACAGAGTATTTGGCCGGTTCACAAATTTAAACAGTGTTTAGTCATTTCAATTAAATTTACAATTTCTATATTTCCTTTTTGCCATATTTATTCCTCATCTATTTTTGTAAAAAACCAATACTACCCTTCATCCTCATCTCTAATCTTAATCAAATTCAATTTTTCCCTTCTATTCTATGTTATACCCCTTCCCATTGTCATCTATTTTTATATCCATCCTCACATTGGTTAATTATGTAATATTACAGTTGTTTAATATAAATTCAACATTTTAATATAAATCAATTAGTTATATAACTATCTTTTTTGTATATTAATCAATATGAACATGAATATTCCAATTATTTCCATGCAATCCAATTTCTTACAAATCAATTAATTATATTTACCAATAATAATAAACCAAATAATTTCCCCCATATATTCCTCCAAACCACAACTTAACCATTTGTGCTTTCAACACAATATACAATTAATAGTATCTCAATTATTACAATTCCCTAGTTAAATAGAGCTTTTTTTCTTTTGTGTTTTAAAATCTTGAACTCTCCTCTTTTGCCCTAAATTTCCCATTGTTTGCACCTACCTTTTTTGGTGAGGAAAAAGAAAAGAAATCTGCCTGCCTAATTTTCCAATGTTACAGCAAAGCCAACAGCCTGCTTTACTTTCAGTTTCATTTTTCAGCATAGCTAGGGGAAAAAAAATCTGCTCCAGCAAGCAGCAGAGCCCTGAGCAAAACAGCTGAGAGCAAATCAGCTGAGAGTCAGGAGCCGATCTAATCAAGGGCTAATTCAGCCTATGCTGAAGCTCCGCGGGCCAATAAAATTACAAAAAAACACCGAACCATTTGTTAAATTGCTGGCTCACCCGCCCCTCGCCCACCACTATTTATTGGCAATAAATAGTGGTGCGGAGGGGCGGGGCAAGGGGCAGGCTTTGAAGCCCCGTGGCAAGAATTTAACCAGTTTTTTTTTCCTCTAGCCATCAGCTGGGACTCAGGAGGCAGCAATAGATTGGGAGTGGGCGGGGTAAGCAAACGGCCGGCGATCCAACAGAGCAGAGAGTGAGGGTGAGTGAAGGCATGGGGGGGGCGAGAGAGGGCTTTGGCGATGCCTGTGAAATGGCCGTTCGACCCCCAGGTTGAGAACCGCTGTTCTAAGCCATCTTTAATATGCCTCCTTCTTTCCTGGTGACATCTGAGGGTGGAATTTTCATTAAAATGCTGAATTAGGATTTAATGCTTTCTCATATTTATGGAAATAATATACACAGAAAGTCCTTTTGCAAAGGTACCAGTGTTTTTTCCCCCCAATCAGAACCCAGTGACTTGTTGTAAACAAGTAGACTCACAACCACATTTTAGCCCACATTTTCTGTTTCTAAATAAGATATTTGTTAAGTGAGTTTGCCCCATTTTACAAGCTTTCTTGCCAAAGTTGTTAAGTGAATCACTGCAGGTGTTAAGTTAGTAACACAGTTTTTAAGTGAATCCAGCTTTTGTATTTACTTTGCTTGTCAGACGGTCACAAAAGGTGATCACATGACCCCAGGACACTGCAACCATCATAGATAGGAGTCAGTTGCCAAGTGTCTGAATTTTGATTATGTGACCATGGAATGCTGCATCAGTCATAAGTGTGAAAAATGGTCTTAAGTCACTTTTTTCGGTGCCATTGTAACTTTAAACGGTCACTAAATGAATAAATGTCACTAAATGGAAGTTGAGGACTACCTGTATTGTATTTACATAGATTTTATATTGGAACAACAATATCTGGCCTCTTATGTGTTAATGTGAGAGATGTTGCTTGTTTTCTTAAATGGGTGAGATTACGAAATAGCTTCATTTAGAAACACTGCAATTTTTATGCACCATTCTTTCCAAATTACAAGTACTATACTTCTAAATGAAGTAAAATGTTTTTAGTTGTGACTGAAATAGAAACTATATCTCACCTTAAAGGCTTTGAGTTCTTAAAAAATGTTAGGTTTTTCCAGTTTTTTGAAAGATATCCTATGAAATATATAAATGTTATAATTCTTCTTAAATAATTAAAAATGCCACATCTTTTTCCAGGTGTGCCTGGCTACTTTAATAGCTGCTACAGAAGTTTCTACTTGTACGCATACATCACCACTTTCCTTTGCTTTCATATGTGATTATAACTTGAGATTTCAAGTAGTCTTCACCTGATTGTTTGATCCTGAACTGATGTAAAAAAAGAAAAATTCTTTCATTAATAGGATTAAAAATAAAATCTTAAGACATTTTGGGAATGTACATTTTACACAAATATGTATCAGCTTGAAGTCTTTGATTTATGAATGTGTGCAACTAATTACTTTGACTTAAATCTTTAGAATTGGATTTTGGCTAAGTCAAACTTTAGTTGAAATAGAAATTATGGAATACTGTCTGTTTGTTTTCTTACAGCCCATACGACATTTGAAATACTCTCCCTTTAAAAAAGCATTACTGGGTAGCGTCTCTGATAGTGGAACTGTAACCCTATGGGATGTCAACAGTCAAACTCCATACCACAACTTTGAAAATGCTCATAAAGCTCCAGCTTATGAAATCTGTTTTTCTCCCATCAGTGAGTTGCTGCTTGTAACTGTAGGTCTAGATAAAAGAATAATTCTCTATGACACAGCAAGTAAAAGGTAAATATATACTTGTCAGTATACTTATTTATAAAATGAGTAACAGCTTTCAGCTAGTCACTTGACAGTGAGATAGGCTGCCAATGTATTTAATAAATAAATTTATATCAAACAAACAATATTTTGAAATCTTTATCATGAACTCTCTAATGAAACGGAATGAAACTCATTTTAATTTCAATAGTAAATGGAAGGTACATTTGAAAATGTTTTTTAGAATGTTTTTCATATATAAAAATGTTGCTTGCTTCAGTAAAGATAACCTGATAATGATGAAACCTGAAAATGATTACTCATATGTCAAATCTTCTTGAATTTGAGTTATCTGCAATTCATTATTAGATAGATTAAATCAAATGGGAAAAGTGGAGAAAATCCAATGTTGATGCTCTGAAATTTATTATTTATTTTACTGTCTTAGACAGTTAAAACCTTAAATCTGTTTTTTATTATAAATCTATAATGGTTGGAGTGTATGAGAAGAAAATCTAAACAGAAACCATAAATAAGGTATAGGATGTTGACTCTGAGAGTTCAATTTGCCATGCCACATACTTGAATTTTTGTCAAAATTGAGAAGGTATCATGACCAGCAGTATTTAAGGATATGTTTCCACTAGAAGAATGATGACCTTTGTGCGTTAACTTTATTTAGGGATATGTTTCCAGTAGAAAAAAGATGACCTTTGTGTATTAACTTTATGTACAAATTTAAATATAGGATGAATGGGCATATTGGTAGGCATAATCATTTATTGGGAAAACGTGTGTCTCAGATCTTATTTTGGCCATGAAGGCCACTGAATAATCTTGGGTCAAATGTATAGATGTAACCAGATCAAACCCAACAGAGAATTCAATAAGATAAAAGCTTTTATTTAGAAAATTGTATGTAACATTCTTATGGTTTTTTTTCCTTTTTGTGTTCAATATCTTTATTTCACATATAAAGACAGTTGAGAACTTTAGTAGCAGAAACTCCTCTAACTGCAGTAGAATTCATGCCTGAAGGAACTTCACTCACTATTGGCTCTTCTCGTGGAAAAATATACCATTATGATTTAAGAAAGCTGACAGCACCTGTGAAATCAGTCAGTGCTCACAAAACGTCTGTGAAATGCATAACACTGCAGAATTGTAACAGTTTTTCAAAGGTAAAAACATCTTGAGCATATATTGATGAAATGTTAATTAAAAAAATAAAACTAAATATTTTCCATTTATAGTAAATCAATAAAGAAATCATGCACATTTATTAAGCTTTGAAATGTGTTTATATTTTAATTGTATTCAAACTGAACAGTTTTTATGCCTACAAAATGGCTGACATTTTCAATTATACTGCTTTGTCTTTTAGCTTGAAAATAATTTGTTTGAATGCTTTATTTTTACAAGAATTAAAAATGTCAGGATAGTTGATGCTAGCATTCTAGTCATTGTTGTAGATAAGTTTTTTTATTTGGACTATTTCTGACATACTTATTTTTATTTTTAGTCTAGTCATAAAACAAGTTCAAGTAAACAAACTTGCAAAAAAACCTGATGTCAAATTGACAAACAATACTGGAGGAGTTCAGAATGTTGGTATTTTAAAAAGTCTTACATCTAATGTACCTGCTACTTTCCTGCCACAGTCCATGCCAAGTAATGAAGTTAAAGGAAATGATGCTCTTCCAGATAAATCAGGTAAAAAAAAAAGAATTTGAAAGCTGTTGAGAAAAAAATCTGGTAATGAAAATAGTGCCAAAGAATAAATATAAGTTCTTATTTCATTGTTTTGTTTTAACATTTCTGTAACCCCACTGAAAAATTGTTTATGTTGTACAAAGTTCTAGCAATGACTCTAGCAATGGCTGTGATTTTTTTTTCCACCAAAAAAGTTTCTTAACTCAATCACAGCTGGGCTGTGGTAAAAAATTATCATCTTGGGGTCAGGGAAAACAGAATAAACAACACACACACTTAAAAAAATGAAACTCTATTTTCACCCAAATTGCATATGCTTTTAATAGATACACAATGTGGCATTGCTGTTGAATTCGGACATTTTTTTTTCCGTATTTTGATTTAAAATACCCTGTTCCCCCCAAAATAAGACATCCCCTGATAATAAGTCCAATTGGGCTTTTGAGCGCATGGCAATAAGGCCAAGCGCTTATTTCAGGGTTCAAAAAAATACAAGACAGGATCTTATTTTTGGGGAAACATGGTACTTTCACCAATATCTTTCTTTTTAAAGATAGCTGTATATAGAATTAGCATAAAACAATATAACAAAATTCTGATTGACACTGGTCAATTTTAGAAATTTTTCAGTGTGCCATTCTACGCAACGGCTAGAAAGAAAAAGTTATAGGCTTGTGGATGCTTATGGAATCTCCTACTAGGCAATTTTTAAAATATCAAATGCTTGGATAATGATTTTTTGTATGTTAAATGTATTCTGTAGTATTCATTATTTTTCTTGTTTTGAATAACTTTGCAGTCTGTCCAGAAAATTCCAATTACAGATATAATAAATATATTTAGATGGCAGCATAATACCTTTTTTAAGATTTGGAAGAGATTTTGAGAAATACTTATTTACAGAAAAACAGTGCTGTCCTATATTCAAGGCCAGTGTTACCAGTAGACAAAATGAGATAGTCATTTTGCACCCATAAACTAGCACCCATAAATTAGTGTATAACTTTAAGGTGCCCTGGCAGATACTTTCACTTATGCTGAAGAAATACTCAACTACAAGTTCACATACAATGGGAGGGATGTGATTCTTCATTCAGACAGCAAATGTTTCTGCCAACCCTTCCTGTATTGCTAATTAGTGCCTAAGGGAAACAAGCATTCTACCAGTGTTGTGGGTGTCTTGGCACAAAATTTATTAGTATTCATTGTCCACACAATTAAAGTTATTAACAGGTATGGTTGGTAATGGTTATGGCTGTTGCTTGCAACTCAATATTAATTATATTAATTATTCTCAATAATAAGCCCTATTGATTGTGTGGAACATGTTACAGATTATATTTTGGCAGCATTCCATCTTTTTAAAGGTCAGCTTCTTATTATAAATCTCTAAACCCCTTATCTGAAATCTGCTGGATTGTTTCATTATTGCTATGACTCTTCAATATACCAAATTATATTGCTTATGAAAACAGAAGTTGCGTGCATGAATGAGAGTTTAGTTTATTCTTAAAGCATGTTTTTATTTAAAAAAAAATGTTTTCCCTTTATAGATTTGACCCAGAGCAGCAATTTGGATGTGATTCCTTCCAAAGAGATGGATCATGGGTATACTTCTAATTCAACTAATTTTGAAGACTTGGGAAGAAATAGTTTGGGTGACCTATTTTCTCCACTTCGAGATGGTATGTTGATGCTGAAATTAAACTGTACGTTTATTGGTAAGAACTCTGCTTATTGCATTAGAACTCTTGCTCCTATTGGCTCTTATGGTTAGAATTCTGTAGCCATATATATTAGGTGGATCCAAGGTTGAATTGAAGAATGCTCATCAATTATTTCTCATCAAATTGGAAGGAGATCCTAAATAGATCCTTTTTTGTTCAATAGTTTTTATCAATGATTTGGATGAAGAGATGGAGCGAATGTTTATTACATTTGTAAATGATACAAATTTGTGGAATAGCTCATAATTTAGAAAACAGAATTTCTCTGTAAAATTAGGTTAAAAGTGGACTATTGGTTTTTTTCTTCTTGCATTGTCAATATCTATTTATCTGTTCTAGATATTGTGGCTTGTAAAGCAAATGAAGATGTTCCAGGAAAAAATGATGGTAAGCAGTTTTTATAACAAACTTTCTGTTATATTAATGATAGTAGCAGTATTATAGCAGAAATCTAGAAGTAACTAAAATACTATTTCAAAAGACTTGACTATGTATCAAGAAAGTTTTTAATTAAGCAATGCAAATATATGATCTTTTGTTTTGCATTATAGGTTTGGATTTTCAGTCTTATCTTTTAAGCATGGATTTTCTGTCTCAGTTTAATACCGCTTTACCTATAAGAAAAAATCCAGCAGGATCAAATCCACATATTGTTCATTCAAGTCCATTTAATATATTTGTTGGATCTCCCATTAAAGAGGAAGATGAGCATCCAGATATTGATGCTAAAAAAAACAAATCATGGAAAACAAGAATCCAGTGAGCATATCAAACAGGTATTGTATGATTGCGGTTTTGCCTTTTATTTTGCTTTCAACTTTTCCCCCTTTGCATAAAACATAAAAGCTGTTACATCTTCCATCATACAATCTTACAGGAATGATCTTTAAGATTGGATCGTATTACATCAGTTTTGTAACAAGATAGATCAGGAACACTGTGGCTTTATGCATATCTTTTTCTTCCTGTTTGTTTTGGAACTATCAGCTGTTGTTGTTGTTGTTGTTGTTAATCTTTGGTGAGATTCACAGCCTTTGAGGCTGGTTAATAGCTCAGTAGCTCGAGTCCTAACCAAGGACCTAGGAACTGTTAAGCTATCGTTGGAGGGTGTAAGCTATTCCAAGTAGGGTGGTTTTTTGTAGAGTCAAAATGTTCAAGTCCGGTAAATTTAGAATTTCTAAATAGTGGGGTAGCCCTTTGGGTATTGCTCCAAGGGCTCCAATTACAATCGGGACAACACACGATTTCTTTTTCCACAGTCGCTCAACTTCAATTTGCAAGTCCCGGTACTTTGTGATTTTTTCTTGCTGTTTATCTTCAATCCGTGCATCACCAGGTATTGCAATGTCAATGAACCATATTTTTTTCTTTTCAACTATTGTTATGTCAGGTATGTTGTGGACCAAGTGCCTGTCAGTCTGAATCCTAAAGTCCCACAAGATCTTGAGTTTCTCATTCTCTAAAACTTTCTCAACCTGATGTTCCCAGTGGTTTTTGCTGAACTCAAATCCAAACTTCTGGCACAATTTCCAGTGAATGATCTTAGCAACACGGTCATGGCGTTGTAGGTAGTCAGTTTGTGAAATTTTGCTGCACCCACTAATCAGGTGGTCGACTGTCTCATCTTTCTCATTGCAGAGGCGGCATTTGCTGTTGGTGGTAACATGTTGAATTTTTGCCTTCATGCAGTTTGTGGCTAGGGCTTGTTCTTGAGCTGCCAAAATAAAGCTTTCTGTTTCTTTTTTCAGTACTCCTGATCTTAACCAGTTCCAAGTTAGTTTCTGGTCGGCTTTGCCTTCAATACTTTTCAAGTATTGGCCATGCAGAGCTTTGCTTTTCCAATTTTCAGCTCGCTGCTCAATTACTTCTTATATTCTGCTTTTGTTTTAGTTGTCTTTAAAAGGCCTCCTTTATTTACTTCCTTAATCATTGGTTCTTCACTTTTCTGGATGTAATCATTCAAGCTGCGTTTTTCTTCTTCCACAGTCTGCTTTACTTGTAGGAGTCCTCGACCACCCTCTGCTCTTGGTAAATATAATCGGTCAACATCACTTTTAGGGTGCAAGGCATGATTCATTGTCATAAGCTTCCTTGTTTTTCTGTCCAAATTGTCTAACTCCATCTGGGTCCAGTCAATTATTCCTGCAGAGTATCTAATTACAGGTATAGCCCAGGTATTTATGGCTTTTATGATGTTTCCTCCACTCAATTTGGACATTAATATCTTACGAATTCACCGAATGTACTTTGCAGAAGTTAATTCCTTGACTTTATTATGCATTAAGTCAGAAGCTTCTAAAATCCCCAAGTACTTGTAGCCTTCTTCTGATTATACTGCCTTTATCATTTCTTCATTCTCTAGTTCTATTCTATCCTCTTCTATGATCTTGCCTGCTTTGGTTGCTATTGTTGCACATTTGTCAATTCCAAAGTGCATATTGATGTCTTGGCTGAATTCTTTTGTGTTTTCAATTAATAAATTCAGTTCAGCTTTTGTTTTACCAAACAGCTTCAAATCATCCATGTACATCAAGTGCGAGATTTTCAGTCCTTTCTTTGCAAGTTCATATCCACAGTTCATCTTCTTCAAAATGATTGCCAGTGGTAGCATTGAGAGTATAAAAAGTAGGGGTGAAAGGGAATTGCCCTGGAAAATGCCTCGTTTAATTTCAACTTCACCCAGTTCTTCTTCATTAGCCATAAGTTTCATTTTCCAGAGGTTCATTGAAGATTCCATGAATTTTTGTATGTTGCTGCTGATGCCTAAGATTTCCAGGCATTTCTTGATCCAGCTATGGGGAACTGAATCAAACGCTTTCTTATAATCTATCCAAGCCATGAACAGGTTGGTTCGTCTTTTCTTTGAGTTCTTTAGGATTAGTTTGTCAATCAGCATTTGATCCTTTGTTCCTCTTGAGTTTTTGCAATATCCTTTCTGTTTTACAGGAAGCAAGTTATTTCTTTCCAGGTATCCATAGATTTGGTTTGCAATGATACCAGTAAGAAGCTTGTATGTTGTTAGCAAACAGGTGATTGGCCTATAGTTTCCAGGGTCCTTTCCTTTTCCTTTATCTTTTTGGATCAAAAATGTCCTTCCAGTTGTCATCCATTTATCATTTTCAGGTGTTTTTAGGATCTGGTTCATCCGGGTTGCCAATCTTTTGTGTACACTTGTAAGTGCCTTTAACCAGAAGCCATGCAGCTTATCTGGTCCAGGTGCACTCCAGTTCTTCACTTTTCTTGACTGTCTTTGCACCATTGCTTTTGTTATTTTCACGTCTTCCACTTTATACACTTTAATAGAGTCCTCAACCTGTTTGATCCATTTTGCATTTCTGTTGTGCTTCTTGTTGTTTTCCCACAAATTCTTCCAGAATTTCAGAGCTTTCTCTTTATCAGGCTTTTCATTTGTTGTTACTCCGTCTCCATTTTATAAGCTCTTATAAACACTGGTGCTGATTTGCTCTGAACTGTGAGTTTTCCTTGAACTGAGTTACTCGGTTTTCATACCTTTTAATCTTTTCAGCGATGGCAACAACCCTCTGCTTCAGCTCTTCAATTACTACTGCAATCTCCTTATTCCTCAGATCGTATCTTGCTTCCAGGCTGCTTTTGACCTGCTTGTTCTTTAGCTGACCTTGCCTTATGTTGTTCAAGTTGCTCAAATCTTCACGTACTTTTTTGACCTTCAATTCTAACCAAATTTTCCACTTAGGCTTCCCCTTCTTGCCTCTTTGGTTCTTTTGTATTTTCAACCCCAGTTCTTTGCTGGTTATGATGGCTGCTGCATACATCAGTTGATTTGTTTTGGCTAATGTAGTGGTTCGAATAGTTTGCACAGCCTCATTGACCTTTTTTAGTACATTTCTCAATTCTTTCCAGTTCACTTGGTTCAGCTTTGGCAAACATGTTCTTTCAGCATCTTCCATTTGATGCTTTATTTTTCCAGCTAATTGATCACTATCTGTTGGTGTTTGTTCTTTAGTGCTTCCTTGTTCTTTATCTTCATCCATTTCAGTATCCTCTTCCTCAATTTGCTTTTGAGTCTGCAAATCATTCTTGATGTTACTCTTCTTTGTTGATGTACTCAGACCATTAATTGCTTTCTCTTCTATTGCTATTAATTCTTCTGTAATGAAAAATTTGTGGTTTAGGATTACACGTCGTTGGTCCATTAACCTTTGTTCACTGGTGTCACAATCCGTATGGTTCATCTTCCAAATCTGATACATTCGTTTTTGAAATCCACGTTTTGCTGGCTCAGACAGATAGTAAGCTTTCATAATAGAGGTGTTTTCTTCCCTAGTCCAGATGATGATGATGATGATGATGATGATGATGATGATGATGATGATGATGATTGGGTCCTAGAAGCAAAGGAATGATGAAGGCTGCCCATAGGTTGGGCCTTGCTTTCTTGAATGATTCCAGCATGCCAGAATTATGGTACTTGCTTGCTTGACAGTTTGACACTTTGTTCCAGTATGACAGTTTATCAGTACAGTGGTTTATCAAGTGATAAAAATGGATGAGTGCTTTGTAAGTCTGTGTCTCTATCCTTACTTGTTTTCACCTCCCTATTTATTCATTTATCAAATTTGTATCCTACCCATCTCACCTAAGTGAATCTGGGCAATTTACAAACAACATCATAAAATAATATAAAAATGGGACTAAAAAGCACAGTTAAAATAGATAGATGCTATAGATCTGTCTCTTTTTAACTCTGTTTTTAACTGTGCTATTTAGTCCCATTTTTATACAAACCCTGATATTGCATGGACAAGCTAAGAACAGATATGGATTCTTAAAAATAAGTAGATAAAACCCCAAAAGCCTTGTGTACGCCCTCTTGGAAGTTTTAATAAGCAGATCATATGTACTTTTTGCATTTGAGGAAAGAAGAGCTGCCAGTAATTTGGATCTCTAGGATTAGGATCCTAGTATGTGATAAATAGCATTCAAATAAGAGAGAAATTGTTACCTTGCAACATTAATGCTGGTAGCAAAAATAACCACTTATTGTACTTTAATAGATCTCTCCTATCCTCTTTTTACATTGTCATGGGATATTAAAAGATGTTTTTTCTGTCCCCCGCTATAGTTGAACTCCTCGAACTCTGATCCTTCAACTCTGAATACTCCACCTGTTGCAAATTTAATCAAGAGTCCTGATTCCAGAGAAAGACTTATTAAGAATATCCAGACACAACTTTTATATGAATCACCAATTAATGGTACTACCTCAACAAGTATGTGTAACTCTCTCTTTTGTGATATAATGCTCAAGAAATGCCCACATTTTTAAAAAATGCAATTGTATTTCAAAAGTAATTTAAAATTTTTCTTTAAACCATTAACTGTTTACATTGCTGAGCTGAAAGGTAATATGACACAATCTAAACTAACTCTGTGAATACAGCATAATTTTCCAGATAGTATCTCCATTAGTATGTATTAGATTTTGATCGGTATTTTTCAAGGTTTTATCCTTAATAGTTTGGTCATAAGTTTGCTTTAAAATTGTACGCTGAGTGAGGAATTCTTAACGACTCTTCCTTACTTTGCAATATAGATGATGATGAGAAATGACATGGTAAGAGTAGATATAGATGTCTTTTCAATATGCTAGTTTTCAGGCTGCTTCCCTTTTTATTCCTGTAAAATTGAAATGCTCACACTTCTTGGTTATTTTGCATAGGTCCAAAGATAACTTCCAATATTACTTCTGGAGTTGCTAGTACACTATCTGAGAAAATAGTAGATACTATTGGAAACAGCCGATTGAATGCACCTTTATCATCAGTACAAATTCATTTCATTCAGAATATGATACAAGAAACTCTGGATGATTTCAGGTAAAGAGAATTAGATTAATATGTTACTTTACCATATTTTTTGACACATTTATTTTTCATGAGTTTTACCACTTAGTAGATGTCGTATATAAAATATTTCAAAACTGAACCGTTCTGAATTTTGGTGTGCCCTGATTCAAGAATGAAACAGGGTTTTTTAAAATGTGAAATGGCTGTCTTAATAATGTTATAGGTCAGTCTTGAAACAACTGCTAATGCCATTTTCATATCAAATTCTAGTTATCTTTTCCTATCTTCATATAACTGTTATGGGCTGTCACACATGAAATTCCCTGCTGTTTCATCAGTAGGTATCTCCTTTCCAATTCGCTTAGCAGAAAATACCTCAGGTGCTGAAGAAAATGAAAACTGCCAGTGATCAGGAGAACTGTTGTGGAGCAGTATTTGGTGGGCTGGGTGTTGGCTCAGATTTTATACTATTGAATCTGCTCAGGATCTACTATACTTTATCCATAGAATTCCAGAAAACTACTACAAATACTATAAATGTTAAAGTTCAACAGATTCATATCACATTGTTTATCTAAAGCACTGCAGATGCTCCTTTAATCACAGGTCTTCCTTAACATTCCTTAACTATAGTATATTACTTGCTTCTTTAATCATTATGTTTCTTTACCTGGATCCACAATTTTCTAAAAGCTTGCCAAGATAACAAAAATAAATATTGACATATCAAAATACAACCAACTCCTATTGAACATTGCCTCACCTGAAAGTTGCTTGTAGAAACTGGATGCATAAAATATTTTTTTTATTTGATACATTATATTATTATTATTATTATTATTATTATTATTATTATTATTATTATTATTCATTTTTAATAATGTAATATACTAAAATATACTAGTAGTATACTAGACTTAGATGAACTCACAGATACTGTAACATCATATGTCAGCTTCTGTGAAGACCTATGTGTACCGACCAGGAACTTGCGAATATACAGTAACAATAAACCTTGGTTCACAGCTAAACTTAAGCAGCTACGTCGTTCCAAAGAGAAAACCTACAGAAAAGGTGATAAAATGCTGTACAGTCAGGCCAGAAATGTATTAACAAGGGAGATCAGAGCAGCAAAAAGAAGCTACTCTGAAAAGCTAAAGAATCAGTTCTCAACAAACGAACCAGCAAACATGTGGAAAACTCTTAAAAATATCACTGGTTACAGCAAATCTCCTTCCCAGGCTGAAGGAAATCAACAACTGGCAGTTGACCTGAACATGTTTTACTGCAGGTTTGAAAGGAAACTACAGCCACCTATCTCCACAACCCCCATCTCAGACACACCAACAACAGCCAAGCCTCCTACAACTAATCCCATCTCAGACACACCAACAACAGCCAAACCTCTTACAACTGACCCCATCCCAATGGGTTCCTAACCTTAGTGATCACAGAAAAGGAAGTGCAAGACCTAAAGCCAGGAAAAGCTCTAGGCCCAGACAAGATAATTCCTTCTTGCTTAAAAGTCTGTGCTGAACAATTGGCCCCCATCTTCACCCGTATCTTCAATAAATTGCTAGAGATGTGCTATGTTCCTTCTTGCTTCAAACGCTCTACTATCAACCCAGTGCCGAAGAAGCCCATTCACTTCCCATCAAGGAATTGCTCTAATATCTGTAGTTATGAAAACTTTTGAAAGGCTAGTGTTGTCCCACTTGAAAACCATCATGGATCCGCTGTTAGACCCTCTGCAATTTTCATACTGAACAAATAGCTCAACAGATGATGCTGTTAATATGGCTCTGCACTACATCCTACAACATCTTGAATCGCCAAAGACCTACGCAAGGGTCCTCTTTGTAAACTTTACTGCAGCATTCAACACCATCATTCCAGACATTCTTCTAACTAAGCTAAACCATCTAGCGGTACCTGAACACACTTGTAAGTGTATAATAAGCTTCCTAACAGACAGGAAGCAGCAGGTGAAGCTAGGCAGAATTACATCAGACCTGTACGATCACACTTGTACAATTAGTACAGGGGCCCCTCAAGGCTGTATGTTTTCTCCACTTCTCTCTATATACCAATGACTGCATCTCAAATGATCCATCTGTTAAACTACTGAAGTTTGTAGATGACCCAACAGTGATCAGTCTCATTCGAGACAATGATGAATCCACATACAGACAGGAGGTTGAACAACTAGCCTCGTGGTGCGACCAGAACAATCTGGAATGAAAACACTCAAAACTGTAGAAATGGTGGTGGACTTTAGGAGAAACCCTCCTATACTATCACCTCTTACAATAGTAGACAACACAGTATCAACAGTAGAGACCTTCAAGTTTCTAGGTTCTATCATATCTCAAGACCTAAAATGGACACCTAACATCAAAAACGTCATCAAAAAAGCACAACAAAGAATGTTCTTTCTGCGCCAACTCAGAAAGCTCAAAACTGTCCAAGGAGCTCTGATACAGTTCTACAGAGGAATTATTGAGTCTGTCATCTGCATCTCTATAACTGTCTGGTTTGGTTCTGCAACCCAACAAGACAGACACAGACTTCAGAAATAATTAGAACTGCAGAAAAAACAATTACTACCAGCCTGTCTTCCCTTGAGGATCTGTATACTGCACGAGTCAAAAAGAGGGCTGTGAAAGTAATTATAGACCCCTCACATCCTGGACATAAACTGTTTCAACTCCTACCCTCAAAATGACGCTATAGAGCACTGCACACCAGAACAACTAGACACAAGAACAGTTTTTTCCCGAACGCCATCACTCTGCTAAACAAATAATTCCCTCAACACTGTCAAGCTATTTACTAAGTCTGCATTACTATTAATCTTCTCATCATTCCTATCACCCATCTCCTCCCACTTATGACTGTATGACTGTAACCTTGTTGCTGGTATCCTTACAATTTATATTGACTGTTTCCTAACATGATTTGATTGCTTATTTGTACCTTATGACTATCATTAAGTGTTGTACCTTATGATTTTTGACAAATGTATCTTTTCTTTTATGTACACTGAGACAAGACAAATTCCTTGTGTGTCCAATCACACTTGGCCAATAAAGAATTCTCTTCTCTTCTCTTCTCTTCTCTTCTCTTCTCTTCTCTTCTCTTCTCTTCTCTTCTATTCTATTCTATTCTATTCTATTCTATTATTCTATTCTGTACAAACTTTAGTTTACTAAATTAAATCAGTCTTTTTCAAAGAAAGGCTGTTAATTAACTTTCTTAACAGCCTACAAGAATCCAAAGAATAAATAATCGTAATCTTACTATGGTTGGCAGAAAGCCCAGAAGCAATTTGCAGAGAACTAAGATCAAGATGCGAAGGAGAGTGAACGAAGTTGTTCCCTCCAAATTGCCTCAGTCGTCGTCCTTCCTTAAATAGACTAAGGGAGTGGCCAATTAGCCCAAGCCTTACTTTTGAGGAGACCTCCTCCCGAGGAGCCACTTCTGCCTTTTGGCAGCTCTGCGTGCCGTGCATCGAGAAGAGGCTCCTCCTCTTCTTCCTCTTCACTTATGGGAGCTTCTGGAGGTTCTGGCACCACATCTTCTCCAGCCTTCTCATTGTCTGACTCGAGTGCCAGCTGCACAGGCTCCTGGCGCAGCACCACACCAGCCTCCTCCCTGTCGGAATCAGCTACTAACTGCACAGGCCACTGATGGGCCATAACAGCTAGTATATAGTGGTGAAGGAGCTAGATTAACTCACCCTTAGGTTTAGCAGGCAACTAAGTGATAATCTCTTTCTGTCGGCCATAGAAAAGCGTTATGCTCTGTAACAATCCGACTGAAGAATCTCTTGTCAGGTAATGCATTCATTGATGGCTTTACTGTATAATAACTAGGCAAGCGCAGTGCAAACAAGTGGACACTGTAACCAATGCAACAAAAATTTGGAAGAGAACTATTTTTATTTATTAGAAGAAGTAACCCTGTGGAAAACTATTGAGAATTAAAAGAATTTTTTTCTATTTGTACTTATTTCAATTCATATCTAAAATATAGCAGATATTTTAAGACAGTGTAATTATTTTACCAAGTGTTTGAAAATAAATTTATTAAATAAATTTAAATAAATCTAAATTTTTGCCAAGGCTTCTGTATCCAATATTTTTCAAGATAAATACAAATAGACTCTTTTAATACATAGGTACTGGTACTGAGTATCCCACGTACTATAGGCAAGTTACACATTTTTGAATCTATGAGAAGACTTCTAATTTAAGGGATTACTTAATACTTGTGGATATAAAACGGTATGTGGGGAGAGAGAAACAGTCTGAGACACTGAAGCAGTGCAAACACTACAATATGTTTCCTAAGAAGAAAGAAACAAAATAGTCAATTTCCTCAGTTTCCAATTTAGGATTCAGCTAACTGTATTGTTCATATGCACACACATATCCATGCTCATGCACACAAACTGGTGCGTAGCTTGTGCCTGCAACAAAACATACAAGTTCTTATTTGTCATATTATGTCACAAATTATATTTGTCCTATTGTATTTTGTAGAAGTATTTGTAGAATTATACATATTTTGCAGAATTTCCTACCGAAGAGTTTTCCAACAGGAGAGTTCTGCACACTTCTGTTTATTAAAATAAACAGATGTTTTTCTCTGTGTTTCATTTACCAGAGTAATTTAGAAGCCTGATGCATTAGCTGTCATATTGGGTACTTGACACTGGAAATGCAGTAAGATGAAGAGGAAAAGTCTCTTTCCTAATAGCCTTTTATTTCTAGTAGGTTCCATCAAAGAGATACATTAACATTGAAGTGAGGGGATCTAGTGGGATGATAGTTTATCATTTTGAAATTACCTGTGTAGTAGTAAATCTCTGAACTGGAGAAAAAAAATGACTAGACGTGACATAAATTGGTGTTTTTCTCTCCTCAGGGAAGCTTGTCATCGTGACATTGTAAATTTGCAAGTAGAAATGATCAAACAGTTTCATGTTCAGTTGGTATGTATACAAATATAAAGAGTTGTACATATATGTTGACAAACTTCCCTTTCATTGTAGCACTTAATACTTTATTATTCTAACTCTGGGGCAGGCAATCTAGATGTTTTAAAATGCAATTCCGTAATCCTTTACTGTTAGTCATAATGGATGTGTAGCCAAACATTAGGAAAGCCACTTTTCAGCAACCTAAAGGAGAAGGTGGAGCCAGAACAAAAATGGTCCAAGATTGTCAGGTTTAGGAATGGTCATTTCCAGATTAGTGGTTTACTTAAAAAGTAAAGAATGTGACATTACTCTATTTTGGTTGTTTTTGGTTGCTTGTGACAACAAAGTCTACCTTTCTGTAAAAAAAATCTAAGGTACTTTTTAAATGATGTTGTTAAAATTTCATATTTAACAGTAATTTAATATTAATTCTCCTATTACATATTGATTTTCTTTTCTTTCCTCTAGAATGAAATGCATGCCTTACTTGAAAGATATTCTATAAATGACAGTTTAGTAGCTGAAATTGAAAGATTGCGTGAAGAAAATAAAAGACTTCAAACCCACTTCTGACAGATTCCTATTCATGTGAAGAAAATAATTTGATATTTTTGTTCCAAATGGCTAAGACATCATGGTGTCATCTGATAATTTCTGAAGTAGAGTGTAAATTCAATATTTCTTTCAGTACCAAATATTTTTAATTGTAGAAAAGCAATAGATACTGACAATACAGAAAATGCACTTACATGTGTATCGAAGTGTTTCTATGGTAAAGAAGTCAGATGAAATTTGAGGCTAACAGGATTATTAACCAATTCCCTATCTGTATATAAAGTGCCTTTATAAAAAAGGAAACTAAATAGGAAATGTATTTTGTATAACAATTCATCAACCTTCTTTGCCTTGTGTGGTGTTGATGGAACTCTCCTTTTTGACTGAAAAAAATGCAAGTGCCTGACTCTTGATTTTTATATTGTGCGTGCTCTTTAAAAGCCCGTATCTTTCTTACAATGGTTACTTTGTAAGTGTAGAATACAACTCTAATATGTAACTCAATTGTAAACAAAATATCCTCAGTTTTTCTATATAATTTCAAAATACAGTTTGAATAAACAATATGTGTAGTCTTGTCTAAACATACTTGACCCAATAGTATTACTATACTAAAATCAGCAATTCCTCAATCTGTTCTTTCAGCATAGTTTTATTGATTTCTAGTGCAGCCACAGTCAAACTCAGTTATTTCAGTTTGACTTTGGTATTTGTTAGATTTTTGTTATTAAAGTTGTACAATTGAATGAGCTTAATGTAATTTAATCTGCAAAACAAAAAAACTAAACTATTCAGCTACCCAATGGATTAAAAATATGTCCTGGATCTTCCTGTCACCAATTATTTTTTAAAAGTACACAATTCCCATTATAGAAACATGTGCCTCTGATGTAAATGAAGAAAATGTTTTCTGATAGTCTAGTTGGTATATTTTTAAAAACTTGTACCAAGTTGATACAATTCAGTAAAATGGTTAGTTTATCCATTTTAATATAAATTTTATTGAGATTATCATAATATAAAATACAAATGAAAATAAAGTTGGTAGAGAAATGGGGAAGGAAAAGAAAAGGGAAGGAAAGGTGTCGGATAATAGTGAAGAGAGAAAAAAAGTATTCCAACTTTTTTTCACACCAGTAAAATACAAAAAAATGGTTAATTATCCATGAGGAATGTGTACGTGGTGATACAGTCCATTCCAGAATAAAAACAGGCTGCCTTTGAAAGCTCTTTACTTATTGCAGCTTTGTAAACCCAATTGGTCTGCTTCAGGATGTTGTAGTAATGGGATTTTATCCATCAACAAGGAGTTTGGATTACATTTTAAAAAGATTGTGTCATATTGTCAGGTACTACACTAAATTTCACAAAATGTAAAGATATTTCAATATTTTAATAACATGAATAATGCAACTTGAATTTGCTTTTCCAGATGCCACTTAGTTGATAACAAACTAGCATAGCTATTTATAAGTATAGTAAACTGATTTTAGGAAGGAAAGTTCTGATTTCCAGAATTGTCCTGCATTTAATATAAATGGCTCCATTAAAGCCCTTTGTTTTCCTATTCACACCACAAATCAAAAGAATTACAGTATTCAGAAATGAATAATATGCAGCAGTTCTATATACTTTCCATAGGGGACTTGCAGTAAATGATTATTTTAACCCTGAAATTGACAATGAACCTATGGGAATTACTGTGAAAGGCAGTGTGTTTAAGGACATGAATCAGTTTTAGTTTCTTATGCAGGTAAGGCATATTATTTTGGCAGAAGATATAAAATACTTGGAAAATGTGTCAAAACCTTGTGCTTGTCTTCCTTATATATTTTCCCAATATCTAAAGCATTTGATAATTTCAGGTCTCTTGTTAGACATAGCAGAATTTATATGACATGTTACTTTCTTTTATAGTCTGCAGAGTCAAAATCATGAAATTGTTCAGAGTGTTTAAAAATGTAAAACTATGAAATGCTTTCATACAGAATATAACCTATTCAGTACTTTTTGTATATTTGACTTAAAGATTTGACTGTTTTCTGTTCCCAGTAATCTGGCTTGGAAGGTGCTTGTCTTTCACTTGACCTCTTAAAATCATTTACAGAAAACTGCAACTGTATTAGTTTCTTTTGTAAACCTGCCCTATACAGAAGTGCTTCCAAGATTCTATCCAAAATTCTATGCAAAATTCTATGCAGAAGAAATGTTGAAATTTAATGTATATTTAAAAATCATACTGTCACAAAGTAAAAGAAAATCTTCAGCTAAGTATTGTTATGAAAGATCTGTGCTAGAATACTGCTTTTGAACACATGGAAAATAGCCAGGATTTTAAAAATAAGACATGGTGACAAGCAATATATAAGGTACATTGATGGGAATGTTGGCTTTGGTGAGTGGAAACCAGAATGAAACTCATGGTGAGTTCTTAATTTACAGAACCAGTTTCCCACTGTGAAATCCACAGGTTTCTGTTTTGAGTGAATTTTGGCATGCTGTTCCATTTTTCAGATTAATATGCTTTCTTTGTTCATTTACTAAATACAGAAAGTGTGTGGTATCATAAAATAAATACAATCCAATTAATTTTAAAAATATTTTAAAGTAAATATTGTCCTTTTATTGATATCGCAGTTATATGGTTGCTACCATTATGTTGTTTATTATTATAGCATGATTTTATTGTACATATAGTATCTCTCTGAGAGACATGGATGGTTCAGAAATGTGAAAAATAAATAAAATGAGATTCAAGGCAGAACCCATACATATGTTCATTTAATATGATGAGAAAGAGTGGACTTTATTCTCCTTTTTAGAGAGAAAAAATGTTCACATAAATAAAATTAAATAGTATTTTTTGAGGATGGGAATATATTAATATGTGACTCTTAAATCCTTTTGGGGAAAAAAGCACTAGATTAATAGATTTCATATATGGACAGCAATTATGTTTTCATTAAAGGTAATGTATTAAATTGAACTGTAACACTGAAATTTAAGTGTAATAAAAACCAATATTAACATACATACTATCCAAGAAATTACAACATTGACTAGTTTTGGTTATGTCATTTATATAATTAATGGTAGTTGTTTAATCCCTGTGCTTGTATTTAATTGGAGTCAAAATTCATGTACCGGTAACCACAAAAGTAGTTTTAAATTATTACCCTGATTTTCCCTTGTGATTTTCTACTTAACTCATAACCTAATTCTAAGTGTATGGAGTTAGGTTTTGCAGCTCAATGGTTGCGATTTCCATTGTATTTCATATTTATGGTAAAGTCAAGGGAGTGTCTCTTGCACATATATACATCAGAGGTGGGTTCTACTTACCTTTACTTCCGGTTTGCAACGGGGCTGCGCGCTTCGCTCAATCGCGCGTGCACTCTTCTGCACATGAGCAGAAGCATTCTCATGACATCGGGGTCAGTGGGTGGAGCCTCCCGCCGGTTTTACTACCGGTTCTATAGAACCGGTCCGAACCGGGGACAACCCACCACTGATATACACTCAGGCTGGGTTCACACCTTACTTAATTATATTGGAAAACGGCTTTACATCATACTACATCCAAACCAATCATAGTATGTTTCAGTGCAATGTACAAACTATTTTTCTCTTTTCACACTTCCTCTTTTATATGATTCTAAATTAAAGCCTCTGTTTCCATAGTGACATGTCATTTAGAACGGAAGACTCAGTGGACTGAATGGTTGATGAAATAAGCAGCTTCAAAATGGAATGAAAATGAATATTGTCCAATCCTATAGCAAAGCATTTGATATTTATTGGGATTCTTTTTTGTTCTGGAGTATTGTGTGGATCTGAAGTGGGAATAAAACTTTTTCCAACATCCATGCTTTTCTTTTGGGGTATTCTTCTTATTTTTACAGCACTGAAATGAAAGCCTCTGCTTTCTGATGTATATTTTGTTGCCATAGAAACAATGATCTCAGTGGCAGGGATATCACTAACCTCTGCTGTGAAAACAAAACATACAATTGCTTAATATAGAATGCTTTGAAAGCTTGGGGCAGGCTGGGCAAGTGAAAGAATCTAATCAAAATATCCCTTGTTGCAAGAACAACGAATAATGTGACTGGTGTTGCTGTTTTGCCCCTTAAGATTTATTTTGTACAAAGTTTAGGAACCCTTAAGGTCACGTATTTCTAATAATGAAAGCAAAAAATGCAGGTTTTTTAGCCAGTAATGCTATGCATTCTTTTCTGACCGTAAGGTCTGCTGAATTTGGTGGGATTAATTCTGAATAGATATGTATATAATTACATTCTAAATTGCTTTTTCTAAAACAATTTCTTGTTTTATTACTTTTCTTTTTTAAGCCACCTTTTAATATACACCATTTTTACTGCTTTGTTACAGGTAACCCAATGCAATATTTAAGAAAGATATATACAGAAAATAATGTTGGTTTTATTTGTAATGTGCATTTTGTTTCTTATACTTGCATTTGCTTATTATAAGGCAAAATTAGGTAAGGCAAATGGTTGCTTGTTAGGGACTATAGGAGCAAAATTCCAGGTACAAAATGACACAAGTCATTGAGATCGGAATAAAGGGGAAAACAATGTGTGTGTTTCAGTAGACAATAGCTTACCTGTTCCTTCTAAACCATTTTCTCTCTTAAAAATATATTTTTATAGGATCTTGTTAACCTCTTCCCTCCATGCTTGTATCTCAAGTAAATTATGTGTAAAATGGGCTTCTATAAGAACGGCAATGTCCGTATTCTGGAATCATCTAAATGAGCTCACAAAGACTTAGCTATTTCTGTCAGTCACATATGAGAGCTGGGTAGTAGGAAACTCCTGCATGGAGATTACTGCTAATGTAATGAGTAATTTTCTTTTGTGGATTTACAACCCAGTAATATTGCAAGGAAAGAAGTGTACTGTATTATTTTTTAAAAAATTTAATTAACATTTTTACATAGGCCCATCTCCAAATACTTAATTTCAGCTAAATTCTCAACTAATTCTACAAGTAAATTATAAAAATAACAAATACAACAGTTTGGTCATAAGAGAAATAGTAAAACACTAAAAATGGAGATTGAGCCAACTGACCTTCATTTAAGGTGCCAGTCTATGGTCGGGTATTAAGTTTGCAAGCAAAGCCAACTATCATAAGAAATTAATTTTGGGGTCTTGGTCAGACAAAAGTTTCAACAAATTTCAGATGATTGCTGAAGAAAATGTTGAATAAAATCATAATATAGTGCAGTGTGTTTGAAAGATAAATAGATTCAGTTAGTATAGCATAATATTCTGAATCTGCCTTCTATGCCTGCTTGAGGGTAACATCTTGTGCGGTAGCATAAAGTCTGTCATATACAATAAGCTGATCAAGATATACATTTGATTTAAGACTTAATTTAGTGTGGATTCCGTTAATGCACATTCCCATAACTGAAACCCTTGGTAAGGCCTACTTTGGCTTCTTGGTATCCCAAGACCATCTTTGTCTCAAGAGAATATAAAAGTTGTGGGTAAAATACTAGCATTAATCAATAATTAAACATAGTGAATCATTTTCTTATTTCAGTTGTAGCTCAACCCCTTTTTAATATAGAGTTTTGCATGCAGACATGGCACACTACTTGGAACAGCTTCCTTTGACTGAACATTCTCATTGTCTGGTAAAAGTTGAGGCAACACCTTGATCTCCAATTTTTTTAACACTGTAGCTGCAGAGATTTTTTCAGCTCATTATATGTAAAAATAAAAATAAAAATCACATAATAGCTAACATTATTTTGAGTATTTTCTGAAGTGTATGATGATAGAGGGCTTTTATACCTCTCTGACTTTGGAAGATCATGTGTACTGTTGTTATTTAAAATACACCACTTGCTTGGTCTTAATGCTAACTGATGCTCCAGACTACATTTGTAGGGGTAGTTTTTTATGATGAAGGCTAGGATCTGAGTTTTATTAAAAATGAAAAGGCAAATCCTCCCATTTGGCGATTATATATATATAATATAATTATATAATTATATAATTTTCTTTGCATCAGCCTGGAAGTGGCCACTGTATTCTGGGAGGGTGTTTGACCTCCCAGTCTACTCCATAGGCCTTGGATTTCCTGAATACCAATACAAGAGAATATTTGTAGTTCAGGGTTGAATGGTGGGATATTTGAGGCTCTCTGAACTTAACTTGCAGACATTTCATTATCAAAGTAGGTAACATCAGTTCCTGAATGATAAACTGTCTGCCCCTGGTCAGATTTTTCATATCGGTACAACTTCATCAAGTGGACTGTATAAAAGAGAATCAAAGCTATAACTTTCCTTAACCCTATAACAATTGTTTTGTGCTCGTTTCCTGGCTTAGAGGGATAGTACTTCGCTTTATCTAAAGAGCCCATTTCGGAATCTATATACTACTAAAATTCATTGTGTTTACCTGTCTCTACCCTCAGGTTAGCCCAAATGCTGCATTATACTGCAACAATTGTTGAATCAAGGTATCTAAAATCTGCTAATTTAAAGAATATAAAATATTTGGGACCCATTATATCTGTGCAATTGAAATTTTCACAAATGTTCAGGTCAGATTTATCGGCAAAGTTGTGGCAGTTGTAGCATTCCTATGGTAATATGTGATTTCCTACACTTCCTGCTGACTTCCCACAAGCAAAGTCAATGAAGAAATTGAAAAGAATCTGTAGGTCACTCCCTCTGGTATTGCTTTTTTGCCCACTAGTGGTCATTCTGTATATCTGCTTAGGTAAATAAATATTGACTTCTTAGTGAAGTTCATATACCATTAATTATTTTTCTGTTTCTGATATATATTCTTAGATGATCATGGAACTGTCCGGTAAAAACTATGGTCAGCCTAAAATGTAATATTCATTCTAGTTAAAAAGACTGCACTACCTTTCTCTCAAAGATGACCCAACATGCCACAGGGTTGTCTAATTGATTGTAAAAATTAAATAATGGTCAAAGATAGATTGTAGCTTTATATCCTTCCCACGTAGGCCTGTTTCTGATGTCCTACCCTGTTTTCCCCAAAACAAGACATCCCCTGATAATAAGCCCAATCGGGCTTCTGAGCGCATGGCAGTAAGGCCAAGTGCTTATTTCAAGGTTCAAAAAAATATAAGACAGGGTCTTATTTTTGGGGAAACACAGTAGTAAATGAGAGAAATGTAACTGGGAAAGTCATAGATTTTCCCATAAATAATGTCAAAATACTGATTGATAATCTGTTCTGTGTGTAGGGCTCATTCAGATGTTGCAGTATATTTTTGTAGTATATTTTTCTGAAATGTTAGGACTTGGTCCCTTATAAAAAGGCTGGCTATAAAGCCTTCCTTTTGTTTTCTGCAATATTCTCTAAGTCCAACTTGTCTAATAACCTCCGGTATAAATACCTGGCATAGATTTGCTGGTACTGCTTAATGTTAAAACAGAATATTTGACTCTGTGTTTGTGTATGTGTCTGTGTGTAAAAAGTTTGTAGCTGCCAACATCATTAATGTGTATATATTGTAACTACCATGAGGTGGCACTCTGACTTCACTTAATTCTGCTTTTAGAATCTCTGCATTTAAAAGAAGAGTGGTTACTTTAGGAACAGGTGTACCGTTTGTGTCCAGAGCTAAATAATGAGATAAAATATAATTCCAGCAAATAACAGACGGTTATATATACAGTAGTTAGAAGTAAATCAATGCAACAAAAAGTAAAAAATATTTTTACATACTTCACAATTGCCTAAGTACTCAAAAGTTTCTGGAGTAAACAGAGGCCAAAAAACTATCAGAAAATTGCTCACTTGAGGCCTAGCTAGAAACATCATTTTAGAGGTTTTCTGTGCTCTAAAGCTCCTGCTAAATCAAAGTCACATTTTTGATCCTTGATCCATGAATGTATTACTCTGAATAAGAAAAGTTTGGTTTGCTTAGGATTGGTAAAATGAAGACTGGCAATGGGAATTCTCACTCTGCCATTCAGAAAGTATAATTTTTACTCTTTTAAAAGAACTACAATCGGAAAATATAAGTTCCATATACCTCATGTTTTTAAAAAATGATCTGGAATGTCTCTGAAAATAATGGTGTGAGATATATCATCATTTACAAGATCATTGAAAAAAAATTTCAAACAGTGATTTGAGCATGTATTTTACATGGGAAAAAGCCACTGTGGAAGGACCATATCTCATGAATAAAGTGTTATCTCAGATTAACACTCAGGTTCGGTTCCTCAGCTAGTCTGGAAAAAAAATCTTGCCTGGGACCTTGGATTGTTACTGTCAGTGTATTAATAGCAGAGGTGGGTTTCAGCAGATTCTGACCAGTTCTGGAGAATCGCTAGTGGAAATTTTGAGTAGTTCGGAGAACTGGTAAATACCACCACTGACTGGCTCCGCCCCCATCTATTCTCTGCCTCCTGAGTCCCAGCTGATCGGGAGGAAATGGGGATTTTGCAATAACCTTCCCCTGGAGTGGGGAAGGAATGGAGATTTTACAGTATCCTTTCCCTGCCACGCCCACCAAGCCATGCCATGCCCACCAAGCCACCAAGCCACACACACAGAACTGGTAGTAAAAAAATTTGAAACCCACCACTGATCAATAGTTAGTCTGTATGGTCCTATGAACTAATTCTATTCAAGCAGCTTCTTGTGTTTGCAGGAAAATGGCTCCTGCAGTGTCCAAGTCTGATTCCTTATATAGCCAATATCACACAATTCACACAAACGGAAGCATTTTCAGGCGTCGATAACCACAAATTTACAAATGGGTAAACAATCCGGGTTAGAACACTGGAAAAAACCAAAGAGGACTCATATGCTCAGTGATGATAGGATATTGGC